CAGAAGAAATGGGAGGAGAGCTGACAGGGAGAGGGTTACGGCTCAGGTAACTGTAATAAAAAGAGAAAGGTGAGCACACGCGGCCCATTTATGTCCACAATGGAGGGCTCTTTGGCCGTTAAATATGTGTCCAGCGCTTTAAAAGGAGCAGTAGCAGGAGGAGGGAGGTGCAACTGAATTACAAATGAGACGATAGTGTTTGGCCTCCCCGGTTCGCTCCCTCACACCGTGTCAGTGAAATCCTCCCACATCCGCTCTGCCAAGATGCTGCCGTGTGGAATGTGAAGATGTCGACATCCTCACTTCCATACAGCCCAATACCCCAGGTCCCCCCCCCCCCCCGCTCCTCCTCAGTGCTTTCCCTACAACGGAGTCACAGAGACGGCAGTATCTAGTTAATTAAGGGGATTTTATTTTAAACAGTTTGGCTGCCTTTCAGGGCATCTTCAGCTGGAATTACTGCTCATTCTCCACATTGGCTGAGTGGGTCTGACCTGCATCCCCTCACATTCCGGCTGGGGGTTTGTTAGACAAGGAAAATGCAAAATTGGCAGAAGGTATCTTGACTAATGGCATGGAAATGTCTGTGTGACTGAAAAATAAAGTAAGCCACATTCGTTATGGCATTTTCAGACAAGATAAGCTGCTGGCCTGCTACCAGTGTAAATAGTGCTGAAAACTCGCCATTATCAGGGAACGCGTGGGTGGTTTTTGTGGGCTACACTATGGAACGATCTCTCGCAGTGAGCTGGTGTCAGCGTGTGAGCGAATAGTTAACCTGAACACTTCTGCCAACAATATCCTCGACCCCAGGAAAAACTGTGCTTTTCGGGAGAACCCTCGGCTGGCCCCGATCACATTAATGACATTTGGCATTGCTTTGCGAAAGACAAAAGATTTCTGCTCATTTCCTTTGGATCAGATTGGAGCGACTCCAGCTGTCTGGCAACCCTGGGGGCCAAACACAAACATCCCTGTGGGGGGCTCCCAGTGTGACCTCAACACAAGCCAAGAAGGATAAGAGGAAGAAAGGGGGAGGGGGGTTAACACGGAGTTGGATGTTGCAGGAAAGCCACTATCGTTACTTACAAGTTGGAGGCAAAGCATGTTAAAAGTCAGTTAAATGGGCCGGGAGCAACAAGGATAAAAGAAAAAAGAAAAAGATATCCTCACATTTGATATCTGTGGGAGTTAACAGGGTTGCAGAAGACAAGACACACTTTGTGAAACACAATGTGATGCTACCTCCCTAATATTGGAATGTCATCTGACTTACAGTGCAGTTACTGCCCCTTTTCATCACCAGCTGTATGTACGTGTGTGTATGGGTGTGTGTACTTAGTTGCGTTTGTGGTCCAATATTGCGTCTTAGAATGCAACACGATTGCAGTGACTCTTGCGCATCGACCTCCCTCCCTTCAGATTCATCCATCCTGTCTAATACGATTTGCCAAGTCAACAATAAACCTGATGGATCCTTTCTGTTTCTGGTCATTGGTAAGGAAGTCTAAATGAAACTCATTTATAAGGATACCGTATAAAACCCTGCAAGATCAACATTCAATTCAATACAGCTGAGTGTAAAACAAGTGTTATATTTAAATAGATTGCTACTAAAATGTTTTTATGAAAGCATTTCATCCGTCTAGTTTATATGTTGGATAAGAGGTACTACATTTAGAATAGGGTCATTAAATATTGCCACCAAGTTTAAATCAAATTCTCCAATTGCATCGCTGATAAAAAATAAAAAAAAATCATTAGGCCCATTTGGCGAAATGAACATTAACTTCAGGCTTTCTACAATTTAGTTATTTACCATTAATGGGGTCACATTTGCCACGAACAAACACACTTGCTTGGCATCACTCACATCTCCATTAAGCTGTAAATCAACGCACACTTTTACGCCTGCATCAAAATAAACTCTTAAAATGTGATAAGGCAGAGGAGGAGGTTATTGATGTGTCATTTAAACAGGAAGACCTGCTAGTAAGTGTGTGTGTGCATTCGTACCAGCGAATGTCAGGGACAGAGCTACACTTTCCCACACACACACACACACACACACACACACACACACACACACACACACACACACACACACACACACACACACACACACACACACCTGACCTTTTAAAATCCTTCCGACATTTACAGGAGCGATGCAAAGGGGCGAGGACAGCTCATTTACATAATGATAGGCCCTAACTGAGACAGCCATTAACACAAGAACCAAATCAAGACCTAAGCCCCTCACTCCACTGGAGCTAATGAGATACTAAAGGACTTACTTTTTCCTTCTTTTACTCGGGTGGAAAAAACAAACCATTCACATCATCCATCAAATTCCTCTTAACAGACTGAATGTAATGCTCTCTGTACCGCTCTGTTGTAATGATGAATAATCTCTGGCTGCACTGTCCACTAAGTCTTTACACATTTCAAGAAGGGAGTTAGAGCAAAGTGCCTTAGCTATTGCACAAGTAGAGTTGCCAAACGAAACATCACGTCACAGTTTCTATTTGCTTATTTGTGGAGAGGGGGGGGGGGGTGTTGTAAAAATACTGGGAGGGAGCATTTTTATCGCTGAAAAACATGTTGAGCTCACATGTGTTTAACTCTCCTGTCTGCATGTCGTTTCTGCTACAAAACGCTTGCCCTTCAGTCTTCTGATGGTGAGCAGGGGGGGGGGGGGGGGGGCTATTTGAATAAACCAATGAGTAACATCCCTCATGACAAAAGCACTGGACCGGAGAGAATGAGATAGATGTAAATAAAGAGGCACGAGAACAAGGCCCCCCGTATGTACAGGGCGGCAGAGGTGGGGGAGGCAGCGAGGAAAGGCGGGGAGTTTGGCGGGTGGGAAAGAAGGGGAGATGGGGCGTGGCCTGTTTTAAATCGGACGCTGCCAGTCATGTCCTCCAGCCAATCACGGAACGGCCGCAGCCTGCTGCACCGAATAAAGCCACCTGTTTCGTCCATAACTGAAGACGGAGCGCCGTCTCCGAGCAGCTTGGCACATGAGTCAGTCCTCCACCGGAGGACTTCAGGTACACAAGGACCAACATTGTTTCGTGAGCGGGGAAGGAAGCGGCCTCTCTCCCCTCCCCCGGCCCTGACCCTGCATGCCCACCAGTCTTCTCAAGGCCGCCAGCCAGCCGGCCGCCCCCTGCACATACACACGCAGCTTACTCAGCCATAAAGACAATGCTGCCAGAGCCCCCCCACATAAGCCCACCCATCTACCAATAAAAAACATCTCCATGGTAATGGGCCAAGCGTTTGACCCACATCCATGGTCCCTCACGGGCTTGACTTGGGGGGTGGGGGTATTATTATGTTGTAATTTCAGAGCCTAACTTGGACCCCCACCAGCCAGCTTCTATTAAGTTCTGTACACATATGTATGGCCAACTACAGAGGTCTACTTTGATTAAAAAACCCATCAACCTGAATAAGCATTTTGCTTTCTCCACATTACAGCTGGGCCATATTAAAGTGGAAACTTTGCAGGGAATTAAATTAGCTTCTCCCAGACGCAGGATGGAAGGTGGAGGTACGTGGCTGCTGTTGTAGCTTGAGAGGAAACACAAGATGCAAAGTAGACATGGGAAAAGTTCTGGTTTCACAGTTGCATATATTACCTTTACCCAAAATGGGGTCAGAGGTTGATGCTGAAAGCTGACGTGAAAATGAAAGAAAACTAAAAGCTTCTACTGGTTGAAGCTTTGCGTTTTTTTTCCTCGCTCATAAATATGTAAAACCTTTTGTTTTGTTTTCCCTCACTTTTCATCCTAAAAGCCCTTCATGCTCAGTAAAATGAAGATTGAAAAAAAGAAGAAAAAAAAAAAGAAAAACGGTCCACCACATGAATAAGTCAAGAGCGAGTATGCTTATGACTCGTGATTAAAAACAAACGCACAATCAACTGCATTTCTGTACACTTCTGCAAACGTATGCTGGGCCAGAGCGTCAGATCTAGTCCTAACAGCCATGCCCCAATTTTTGCACAAAACAAATAGCTGGCCCAGCAAAGAAGCAGAGGAAACATTGAACTGGTTTCATGCATTCATATGGTAATGAAGTGCATGCCAGAGATATTTCCTCTCCTCGCCTGAGAGTCTACTCACTGTGACAGTGAGCACCTGTAGGCTACACCCACTGTGGGATGGAAAACACCTGAATAATGTACCAGTTTAAAATGGTTGCCAGGGAGGCAGATTGGCCTGTGCCCTTGTTAAAAGATGAATGCCCCTCAATTTACGATTTAAAAAAAGGCCTAAACCCGTGAGGGGGGGGGGTCACTTTATGGAAACGGTGCTGAAGTTGCGCCAACAACAAGAAGACAGAAGGTCAAACGTGTTGTCGAGCTGCTGGGCCCTTGGGTTACCTGCCTCATTTTTCACAGCTGAAGTGCAAGAAATAGAAGATAAAAAGGGCGGACAGAGGGGGAGAAAATGAGCACGGGGAAGGTGGAGACAAGGGAGAAAACGAGGACAGGGCTGCGACCGTGAGGGACGAAACTCAATCGGCCAGCGGGCAGGAAAAAACACACACAAACACCCTGCTGCTCCGCACAGGGAGCGCGCGCGCCACACCTTAGACAGCCAAACACGGCGTTGAGTCACCGACCGAAACTCGGGTCAAAAGATCGATACAGACGGTCCGCGAGCGCAGAATGAAGAAGAGGAGAACAATAGTTCTTATCAACTTTGATTTTGGAGGACCGGGGTGGATAATTCGTTTGAAATTATGTTATCATGTTACAAGCTGAATAAACTCCGCCAACACAACGAGGGAGGAAATCACCTGCCGAATATTCACCCCCCCGCTGACAGGTGTTGCGAGTCCGTTTTAAACGAACGTCGCTCTTGAATTATTAAAGCTTGGGGCAGAAATGGACGGCAAGTAGGCTGCATTCACGCAGCCGCATACTAACGTTACATAAAGTTTTTTCTTCATACGGATAGAACGTAAAAGTGTCCATTTCTTACCGTGTGAGGCGAGCATCGACGCGACCAAGCAGAGCAGTCCGATCATTTTGGAGCAGTCACGTCTCGCCGTTGGTCGATTACGGTCCTTTTGAATGAAACCGGGCACCCGGCGTTTCTGGCACAATTGTTCTTGATTTTATTTATTTTAAATTCTTTATTTTTTTTGTTAAGGGCTAAATAAACTTGTTTGTCTTAGGGACAGCACACAGGAGTCCGACGCGCAGTGTCTTGCTCCAAACGGCCCTCGGCGCTCCTCGACGGATGAAGGAGAATCCGCGTGAATTCGTCCCGGCGACGCTCAGGTGAATATTTCCTCTCCGGACGTGATGAAGTGCTGCCCCGCGCTCTCCGCTCCAACAACTAGTTCCCTGCGAGGCGCGCGGCTGTCCGGGTCTGTGCGTGACGTCATCGGGCGGAGAGACGTCACCGCTCGCTGCCCGTCCGAAAAACCAATTAGGACCGTCGACGGCAGGAGGAGGAGGAGGAAGGGGGATACTGGAACAACTTGTTGAAATTGCCAAAAGTTGCTTTTAATGTAAAACAAATAGTACACATATGAGGTATTTTGGCGGATGTGGCTTAAGGCGGAAGTAAACTATCCAAAATCTTGATTTACATCCAGGAATATTTCTACTAGGTTATTTTTCCCAGGTATCACCTCCGGTCATTTGAGCTCAATCTAGTCTAAAAGTAGTCTTGATCGATGCGTACAAGTAATTAATTAACAATTAGCCTAATACGAATGCAGAGCGTCCCCCGACATAAATGGGAAGTTACTCCTCAATTCATCCGACTCACACAGTTCTGGTTGTGGTGAGTGAGTGAGTCCTACGTGGAAACAGAGGATTCTTACGCCCTCTGCTGTATGCTTCTGCACACACACGCGCACACACGCACACGTACACACGATTGGGGCAAGCTCATATAAACTCAGATGCAGCAGATGGCAAAATCAATAAACATTCGTTAATGGACGCCAAAATACAAATCCAGTGGCAGTCAGCAAAATCGAATCAAGAGGAAACAGCTTCTGGCGTATTTATTTACAGACTCTTGTTCAAGGGAATTTTTCCTTCCAACAAAATGACTTCCAATTCATCTTTGCCCTATTTTCCTCTGAGGCAGGATGCATAGCGAAGACATTATCTGGTTTAGTTCTAATCCCTACCCAAGTGTTTTACAGCCAATGTAATTACATCTCCATAAATCCAACAGTTTAAATGGTGCTGCTCAGATGAAGCAGAAGCTATACAGCAAAATATACAAATTCAAGGAATAGTGGATGAGGGCGGCACAGACCAAGAAATAACATTTTGCTTTAAAGAAAACGCTTCTCTCCATTCCTGTAGTGATGCAGTGTCTGCACAAACACGGCTCAGTATCAGGGTATAAAATGAATGAAAACAAATCAGAGGCAATGATGATATCTGCAGGTTGGCTCGCACAGTTCAATAAGTTGATTTCCTTTCATTGATCTAAACAAGGATTTAGATATTTGGGAATTCATATTGCACCTTGCCCCACACAGTTGTTTGATGCCAATTAGAATAAGTTAATCAAACAAATAAAAAAGGACATGACACGGTGGGAAATCGGCCCTCACTCGAGGAGATTTGGACAATAATAATAAAAACACTTGAAGGACCAAGCTCACTCTCAAGGGCTTGTAGCCAACATTGAATTTCCTCCCGCTATGTGGGATATTGGATTTAGAAGATGGGCAGATAAAGGTTTTGAAACTATCAATCAATTACTTGACAAAACAGAACTCAAATCCTTCTCCCAGCTAAAAGAGGTGTATTGACTTCCATTGAATGACTACCTTCAAACAAGACACTGTATTACAAACCATAGACAGACAAAACCAAAGACTATTTTATTAGTATTGCAGAAAAACGTTTTCCAACTAAAAACCACGTCTCCCACATAAAAGGTTTACAGCTGACAATTCGCGAAATACATGAAACATCAAGGAAAAGTGGCATTTAAAATGAAATGTTAGTGCGTATGCTGTGCGTATGTGGGTGTAGATGGTTGTGTATGTAAAGATTAGCATTTCTACTATTTGATAAACTATTGATACTACTATAACTGTCTTGATTATTTACTTTATTTTTTATTATATTTATTTAAAATGTCAATGATTTCCCTGATGTGTTGAAAATGCAAAATAAAAAGTTTTTAAAAAAAGAAATCCTGCTGCCCTGTTCGTTCTGTTCTTTCCTCTCCAGTGCCACCCTCTTATCTGTCAGTCTGTATTTCTGAAGATGCTGAGAGTGATCGGAGGTCAAACAATGTTCTGCACACCAGAAAAAACAAATCAGCGCAGATACGTTCCTATTTTGGAGATCCGTGTCTCTGAGGTGACGGGAGGGGCTTCATTTTCCTGCCCACAGTAAATCCAGAGAAGGAGAAAGCAGCTGTGGGTTTTAAATGCCAGCGGTACTTTGCAAAGCCACATTCTGTTATTGCAGCCTTCTTTTGTCCGTGTTGCTGAAAAGTTTGCTCCCCAGAACAGTCATGGAACGATCTGCTGACACCACTGACTTGCACGAATAAGGAGCTTCATAGAAAACAGTTACCAAATAGAGGATTCCATTACATTTCCATCCCATCTATTTTTCATAACCATACCAAATCGACCTTCACACGTTCCGCTTTCCAGCTACCACCCGCTTTACTGACACAGTGCATCACTTTCCCTCGCCATCTTACGCCGTCCCTTCGTTGACACTTCACTTTTCTCTCCTTCCCCACCATTCCTCCTCCCCTTCTCTTCCCCATTCTCATGTCATTTGATTTCCTTTGTCCACTTGTCCTTCACTCCTCGCTGCTATTCATCCTGCCCTCCATCCTCGTGCTCTCCGGGGGTCTGTAGCAGTGATAATGAAGCGCGTAGTTAACAGATATTAGCTCATTGGCAGTGGATTCATCAGACGGAGCCAAGGCTTATGGTGATTATTTACCCGTAGGGGAGGGGCCATAGGATCAGTGTGCTCTGTGTCAGCAGCCGCAGGCTTATTTGAAGTCACACAGTCTCTGTTCCTTTGCAATGCACATCCCTTCTCCCTGTTTTTTTTTCTTCTTCTCATTCTGTCTGAGCACCTCTCCCTCCACATGTCTCCGTACTCGCTGCACTCTCAATTTTATTTTTTTCTCTTTCCCTGTCATTAGACACCCACAATACACATCTGCGCTCTCTCCCTTTCCCTTCCTTTCGCTATCTCTCTTTACCGCCCCCATTTACCCAATGGTAATTATGGAAGAATCTGTAATAGTGCTCAGAGGAGCTGATAATACCTTTAGCTTAATTAAAGACATTTATGGGATGTAAAGACATGTAGCCTAGAGGTTACTGTGCACCCACACTAACTCAAACTCTTTATTCTTCGCTTTTTCATCTCCCTCAATTCCTCGTTTTCTGCTATTCTTATCGTTTTCTCTATTTCACACACACACACACACACACACACACACACACACACACACACACACACATTGTGATGCACACCAGTACAGGCTCATTCCTTCTGTCAAACTACTTGATCTTAAGGTCAGAAGTTCTGCAACTAATTCCTCAGACGTTCAGCTTTGAAGTGTTTTTGAAATGTTGTAGACCCTACATTGTTGCGCACGGCTACATGTGTGGGTTCACAGTAATACCAGGACATGTGGTTTATCTGCTTTAAGCACACGCATGATGGCACTAGTGACAGTCTTTTCCTGTTGATTATCTCAGTGCCGGCCACATCCTGTTGGGTTGAGATGCACAGCGTTAACATGTCAGTCAGAGACGCCAGTAATATTGCAGGAAAAGGGAAATATTCATGGTGCATACTTAGAAGGTCACAGTGTTCAAGAGCTGGTGCAGTGAGAACGCCTTTTCCTCTCATCTTTCAATTGGTGATGGATTCTGCATTTCTCACCATTTTTCTTGTTTCTACCTTTGAGGTTTGTTCCTCTCACACAGGCATCGCAGGTATGAAATACTAAAATACATTTGGTAATTTTTAGAAATGATGCCAAGCTGATCTGGAAAGGGAGTCAATTTCTGAGCCAATGTTTTTAGAGTGACTTGAATGGTTTGTGTTTCCACCGTATTTATTGGCTTTAAGCCGACCATCTCTAAAGAAAAGGTTGACACGAATCACATGTGTGTTCTTCATTGTTCATTGTAAATGTTCCTCCTGCCCGAACTGACTGCAAAAAGATCCCTTTTTACGCCCAAATGATTTATCGTTAAAAATAAAGCTGCAGTGCTTTCTGTGTAAATAATGTTATGTTGAAGCGATTGAAGCTAATATCTAATGATTTTGTTCAGTAAGATGGATTCAGTGGTAATCCTCCAAAGGTAGTGGTTTTTTTTCAACTAAATTCTTTATTATTGTTTCTATCATTCTGCTGCAACTCGAAGGAAGGACAGAAGGAATACTTAAAATGGTTAATAACCTTTTATAGAAGGCCCTCCACATTACCAGCCTGATCTCCAAAACCTGTTCGTAAAAATGTATACGAAAATCTTGAACATACAAATTCGTAGTGATACATACGAAATAAATACGGACTGCAACTGATGACGTCACCCTATTCAAAGTGAATGGGGACCTGCACCCCGTAAACACACTTCGTGAAGTCTAACAATGTAAAATAAACGTATTGTGATTGCATTTTTAAAGAGAAATCAATGTTAACTTGTAAGAATAGAATACTAACCCTAACCCCCTCAAAAAATCCAACATGGCGGAGAGACGTTCACTCAAGAATCCAACATGGTCCGCCATGTTGTTCACTCAAGGAGCGTGGTTAACCACCGCCAAGTTCGTATGTATTGTTACGAATTTGTATGTTCAAGATTTTCGCACACATTTTTACGAACAGGTTTTGGAGATCACGTTGGAAATGACACAGTTATAATGCTTGGGTTTATGTCCTCTCTCTCCCCCAGACTGGGAAGATGCTATGGTGGTGAGAGAAGGTGTACCTACGACCTTGGTCTGCACTGATAGGTCAGTGCGCGGTGCCGTGGCCATTAACTGGAGGGTGAAGTCACTCGGTGTGGACGAATGGAAACTGGTTCTATCGGCCAGCGAAAAGGAGAAGTTCTCTGGTGGTGCCTCAAAGGCTTCCATGCAATTGACTGACCCGAACTTTCAAGACACCGGGGTTTTCTCCTTGTCTCTTCTTCCCAGGAAGGAGGACAGCGGCCTCTATTCATGCTTGATAAGGCAACGGGAGAGGAAAGTAAAGGAGAAGATTATTCTCTTGGCCGTGCTTACGGGTAGGAAAATCACATGACAGATTCGCTTTAAGATGTTTAAGTGGTTTTAGTTTCTACAGCAAATGAGTGCAGATCAATATCTCCCTTTATCTATTTAAATATTAATTCACATCATGATGTCTCATAATTTAATCATGTAAATGCATTTTTATTTGCAGCCTTTTAAATCTCTATGAGGCCTCTTGATATATACACACGAAATTACCTGTGTGTTACTTCATTTACATTTGTGCAGTAGTTGTACAGATTACTACTGTAACTTAATTTGAGTATTGCTATTACTATACTCACAATTATATGGTACTTTTTCATCCACTACGATTTAGTGACCAATCAGTATACAGATTGATACTTGACCAGATGCAACACTAAAATGCCGTTTAGGTGTTATTTCGTTGTTGATGACAATGCACTAATAACTCCTCCTCATCTGCAGTCACTGTTGCCCCCGCTGCACCCGTCCCTCTACGATGCACTCTGCGGCTGACTGCCAGTGTTAATCCCAGCTATGCCGTCACCAAGATCGCCTGGGCGGCCCCAGGCGGCATTTCAATGAAGAGCGTAAAAATAAAAAATACAGGCTCAGTGGCCAAGGTGCCACAGGTCCAGAGCAGTGACGACGGGGCCTATGTGTGCACGGTGCGCCTCTGGGGCAACAGCAGCCACACGCCTTTCGCCTTCCACGTGAACGTGATTGTTGACGGTGAGGCAGATTTGAGAGGAAGAAAAGCAAAATCTTTGTGGAGGTGAAAACATTTATTGTTGCCTCTGTTGGTGTATGAGTGCATCAAAGCGAGAAACTCCAGCAGCGGCATTATTTATTTAAGCATCCTGTAGCTACAGTTCTTCAAAGTATTTACTTTAGACCAGTTTCAAGATTGAAAAGTCTACTGTAGACCTTGACTAAAATTCTGCTAGCCCCCATGTGAATATTATAGTTGCTGCATTTATCTTTTATTCATTATTTGGTTTTTGCCCCTCCTGTCTTGCTTCTCTTCTCTCCATTGAAGACAAGGTGGCCTCATTCACCAACATAACACATGGTGAGTGACTTTGTAAACACAAGCAGTTTGGAAGTAATGTGTCAGCAGCTTGATAATCAGGCCGAGCAGAATGCAAGACCAACTCAAGAAGTAACTTTCAGCATATAATCCCTATTGTAGTAGGATTTTCTTCCTTATCTCCATTCGCCCACTCTCTCACTATTCTGTTTACTCTGTCGTTATCCGTCCTCTTTTCATCCTGAATTCCCTTTCGTCTGCATGCACCCTTCTTCATATCTATCTCTACTCCATCTTCCTCCGCGAGCTCATTTACTTCCTCACTATGGCTTCTCTTTCCTCTTCCTTCCTTGCCTGCAGAGCCGGGGATCTTCAGCGCCACCCGGGCTCAGACACCGTTTCTCCTGACCTGTCCTGGTGTCCGGGGGGACTACGTCCGGCTGTACTGGGTACCTCCGGACAGCAAGACGCACAGTGATATGAAGAGGGTGTACATGAATGACTGCTGGGGGGGTTCCACCTATTCTGCCGATCCCGGCAAGAGACTCCAGCTCGCAGGTCCACCCTACGATGCAGAGTCTGGGAGCTTCACCTTCCTTCTCAGCCCTGAGTTGAAAGACGGCGGCCTCTACTTATGCGAAGTGTTCCTCAATGACGTCGCCTACAGCCGCAGTACCACGCTCAGCGTGCTGAAAGGTACGGATCGGGGTCGGGAGAGACGGAAAGACACAGAGGTGGTGTGTTGGGAGGGATAAAAGTGGAGAACGAAATGGTCAGGCAAACCAATGGATGACAAATTACCATCAGAAATGTCTACTGTGGGATTGAGTATTATTCCGTCATGTGGTGTTTGTATTGTGAAACGTTCCATAGGTGTTTGATTGGGTTGAGATCTGGTGACTGCAACACATTGCTCACAAATGTAACATATTCATCACATCATTCAGACTCCTCAACGCCTCGCCTATAGTTATATTTACCCAAGCCCTTTTCCCCCAAAAATAATATTCAGCTTTATTTCTAGTATATCTAAAGGCGTAACAGCATGCAGGTGACGAAAAACTCCATGCAGCCAACAAATGCAACTGGGGTGGTAAAAATAGCGAGAGTAATTGGGAAGCAGGAACAAGTTTGTTGAGTGCAGAGCTAACGAGAGTCCGGTGAAACCAAAGTGATACAAAACAAGAACGGAGAGCACTAAACATAAATGAATGACATTCAACCTCAACTGAACAGCCATATGCATACAAAAACATACACAACATTGACCTTTGTATTTTACTCATCCTACGCATTAGAACCAATGGGCTGTGGCAGACCGACTGTGGAACAACTTCGCAAAGTCACTTTGACATGCAGACACGGGCAGCAGGGCATATTTTATATTGTATTGTATATCATATTATTCTGTTTTTAGGTTTGTTAATTATTCAGACACTCTCTTCCAATCGTCAATCGCCAAGGCCAATTGTAGTGTTGAATTCTGTTGTTCGAATGAAAAGTGAAATAGGTAAAGGTATATTTGTAAATATGAAGAAATAAAGATTAAGAGCCCTTCAAGTTCAAGCCCTTGCAGCTCTCTCACCTCAACACAGAAAGCTTATCACAAAATTGTCAATTTCTGAAAGTTACAGAAATGCTGGTACACCCCCCCCTCTTCTCGTTGCCTGGCAACCTAACAGTGACGGCAAGACTCAACGCATCCTCTTATCACAGCATGTAACTCCCCTCAGCCACAACTTGTCTTTGTATATTTCTGTTTGTTTCTGTTAAACAAATGAGACATAATTGAATAGCGGTAAGATAAATCAAATCCTGGCTCCAGCTCCACACCGAGTGCACAGGTAGACATGCAACGTAATGTCATATAACTCTTTAAATCTGAAACGCTTTCGGGGAAAACAAAATTGTCAGAGGGTAATAATGATAGTTTAGTCAAAGGACACACGTTTCAAGAAACCAAAGGCCTGCTAATGTATCCTTAAGCAAGATAGTGAGTCCTCACAGCACCCATTTAAAGATGCATCTAAATTGAGCAGAACACGCGTGGATTTTTGTGAGACCGCCTGAGGTTTCAAACTTGTCAAAGCGCCTGAGGTTTCAACCTTTTTTAAAAACATGCAGAATACAGTTGCATCCATACATGCAAACGCCAACACACACACACACACACACACACACACACACACACACACACACATACTCATCCAAAGCCGAGCCGTGTCATGGCGGCCTTGGAAGACTTTACTAATCACAGTCTCACCGGCATCCATCACAGCCGCCCAGACGTGACCGGTCGATCCGTCACTGTCACCCTGCTGCATCCCTCATACACACACACACACACATCCACCCACGCACTAATCATGTGACGCATATATTTTTACCTCACCTCATTATAAGTATCATTATGTATGATTATACCTGCAGCCCTCCCACCAAGGCTGTATGTGGCCCACACTGATCACACTAATCAAGGCTGAAATGTGCGTGTTTTTATGTGTGTGTGGGGGGGGGAGGGGGAGAAGGGGGAGGGAGGGGGGTCTGTGGAGCTTGATTACACCCAGATGGATCCTCAATTCAGTTTGTCGAGACACTAAGCATCAGTCACAGTCAACCAATGCATTAGCCGCAAATCACTTGAATAGATATTATTTTGCCCCCCTCTGAATTGTTCTTTGTTTTCCATATCCTTTTCCCTTCACCCCATTACTCTCTTTCTGTCTGTGGCCTTTTCTGTATTCACACACTACCCTTTAACTCACTTTCTCACCCTGCCGCGCTCCCTTCTCTTCCCTCTTGTCTTTTTGACTAACTCATGGAATCCTCCATTTCTTTCCTTTTCTTTCATGCCTCTGTAACATTCTCTCTCCCTTATCCTCCCACACTCTTCTCTCCTCCCCCTCGCCTTTCTGCCACAGTTAAAACCCGCCAATCCTCCTCCATGCTGGAATTGGTGTGCCTCTACTCAGAGCGGTCCCAGGTCAAGAGAGCCAATTGGAAATACCAGAACAAGACTCGTCAGCTGTCCTTGATCAGCAACAGCCCCGGCAGCATCAGCACCATTCTGCCCTTACCCATCACCCCTGACACGGCCGGGAACTACACCTGCTCCATACAGCTGGAAAATGGGCAGACTGCCACAGCAACGCAAGTTGTCCAACTGCCCCATGAACCCGGGAGGGATGGTATGGTTTAACAAAGACTGTTTTCTGACTTTCTTTCACAACACTAAATTATTTTAATCGCACTGGAGTCGGGGCAGACTCCCTGTCAACGCAGTGAAGATAATGAACCATGAATGTGTAAGATGTGGTCCGTGAAGTGTTCTGCAGCGCATTCAAGCCAACCTCGGGTCAATCCATCTGCCAGACAGCCCACGGTTTATGGAGGAAAAAGCTTCTGGCAAATACCATATGTTACGCTTTCTTAATGTGGATAAAAAGGTCACAAGTCAAGGCTTCTGTGACTTTGTGATACACAGATAATATCCAGCAGGAATAACTAATGTGCATTTATAAGTCCATTTGTCATAGGAATCCACCACAATCTAATACTGTGCTCAGCCTCTATAGAACATAAAACTCTCCACCAGTTGATATGCGCTTTTAACAAGACAGGACCTTAGGACACCTAGCCCTACATAAACTAAATTATTCAGGCTTATTGTATTGGTCGCTGTGGGGTAGCACAGGAGGATGTGACAGTTGAATGGATCCCTGAGCAGAAATGAATTCACTCCCCGTTACCCCAATACATCACTTGAGGAGCCCAGAGCTCATCACGATGCACGCTGATGGTACTCCTGTAAGAGTAAATGGCAATGGAGGAAATAGAGAGGAGGCGAAGAGAGAAGAGAGAGAAGCTAGGCAGCATGGTTTACCTGATTTGAAAGGTGGGATCATAAATAAATATGCTATGTGACATTTGTCCAGTGTAACGAGAAATTCATCCTGAGAAAAGTGAGAAGTTCAAACAATAGGAATATTGGAAGACCGACATATACATGGCGGAAAAAAATTGACAGGCTGCAAGAGTTCTTGGTTGCTTATGAATAGTATGATAACAAGTGATGACAGTTAAACGTTTATTAATAGCTGTTCTGGTTAGCCGGACATCCAGGGTGATTTATGCTAGAAGGAAGCTACATCATCAATACTGAGATATACAATTTAGTGATGTCTTATGTGCTGTAAGCCACATAAAAGTACAGCGACTCCTTATGATAAAATTCGTTTTACCGCTGGCAAAGTTCAGAGAATGCAAAATGGAAGCAATCATTGTGCTTTGAAGCACATAAAATACTTCAAATGTCAGGGATGTTCTGCAATCATTTGCTATCCTGAGATGGCCCATCATTTGCAAAGCATTCAAGCAGTTCTTCGCTCTGCCTTCTACGAGACCACCCTGCTCTGCAATTGCGCTGATATGACTCGCCCCCCTACCTCATTTCAGATGAAATAGAGAAGGAAATGAAGAGGTGAGAAAAAGGTGTAGTAGGGAACAGGAAGAGAAGTGCTAGTGAGAAACAGGGAGCGTTAATGCCTCACTTCCCTGCACCCAATTACCATAATTCATACCTTAAAGCCGGCGTGGAGAACTGAGCAGGTCGGGTCAGCACTCACCAGGGTATTCCATTAGCAACCTGTACACACACTCACCAATCAATTACACCTCACACAGCACATAAAGATTGATCATGTTGATGCCGCCTGGAAGCTGTGACACCGGGACCGAGGTGAAGGCCGCGGGCCAAACCTTTCATCAGACATACATCTGATGAGAAATCTGCGAGGACTTTACTCCGGGCCAAGTTTCTTTCCATCGGAGACCCACAAGCACCACAGACAGACAACGAGCAAGTTGTTTAGCAAAAGATGATTCAATAAAAAGTTTTGGTTGTTCTGCAGGGAGCAGACCAATACATTGGATTCGATTACAGCAGCCTGCAGAAGCGAGTTCTTCCCTCTTGCTTCCCACTTCACTGCGCGGCTGTGTTTTGCGACACTAATGTCATCCTCATTACAAAACAGAACAAGTTAGACGGCATGCACAAGCGCTCCTAACAAAATTTGACTGTGACTTATGTAATGTTTGCGATAATCTGGCCTACGCCTTCTACGCACCGTTTTTTCCGACGCTGCATTGACCGGGTTTGGCTGAAAGACTATTGACATTTATTTGTCGGTGTGCCTGCAGGCAGTTTGCTGACACATTGTTAATGACAATGTACATGCTTTTATAATCAGATAGGGAATAGATTGGCAAAGAATGTCAAATCAAACTACTCTGCGTGCAAGTGGCAGCATCTGGTATATGGGTGCTTTTTTTCTTCTGGGCCTCGTTTCATATTGACAGTGTTTGCTGTCCAGACTGAGGGTCTGTCAGATCGATGAGTGCTCAGCTGTTACAGACAAGACAGATTTCATCGGCTTTTTCCCACTGTGCCCATTGTCTGTGACCGACAAATGCACGTTAACACGTTTGAGAAATCTCAACCGCAACATGTCTTTCTAAATTTACAGCCTCAAAGTTTTTAGGTAAAGGAACAGGTTGCCCCCCCCCCCCCCCCTTGACTGCAACAAAACGGCAAACTGGAGAACAAACAGCAATAACTTCTCTCCATATCATTCAACCACACACGCTCTTAGCTCTACAAGTTTTTTATTACTGTTCTGAGAAGCATTCGTGGCTGTTTTCTGTCTCACACTTTTTCTCCTCTCTTTTAGTCGAGGGTGTCATTGTGACCACCCCCTCCCTGCTCCCTTCTCTCTCTGCTTTATTACTCCTGGTGCCCCTGGTTGCAGCAGCTGTCTTTGTGTTGCTATGGAGACAGAAAAGGATTTCTGATCGCGGTGAGTCTTCCGGCGGGTTTTTTTTTTGACAGCTTTCCGTGTTCTGTCCTTCTTTGGCCCCTGTCGGCTGCCACTGAGTGATGTGGGCCGTGACATCCTCTGGGGTTGTTGTAATGAATCTGCCACTACCCCCCTTCCTCGCCTCCCTGTGCATTTAAGCGTCTGTGTGTGTGTGTGTGTGTGTGTGTGTGTGTGTGTGTGTGTGTGTGTGTGTGTGTGTGTGTGTGTGTGTTTGAGAGACTATATCAGTAACCATCTCTCTATACTCAGGTATTGAGCAGTCTCTGTCTGTCTACTCGGGTGAAGCAGAGAACGTCTATGAGAATCCTGACGATATCAGACAGGTGATCAATTCAATAACAAAATGATACTTTTTCCTTCTCATTTCCATCTTATCGTCCTGTCTCCTCCGTCTCCCTTATGGTACTAAGCACTCTTTCTCTCCTCTTTCTTTTTCCCTCCCCTTTCCTGTCTCTATTGTGCACTTTTTAAAATTTTCCTTGCTTTTCTTCTCCGCCTCTGTTGTTCCTCTGATTTTCATTATCCCTCCCTCTCTCTCACTTGTTGGTCAATAAACCTGTTTTCTCCGCTCTCCTCCCTCCCAAGCAGGCTCCTCCCCAGGGCTCAGTCTACATGGTGAGTTATTGTTTTGTCCCTCGCGCAAACACGAAGGCGAGGTGCACATGTGTGAGTTTGTGAGGAGATGTGGCACGCGCATCCAACAATATATACAGACTCTCAGTCTCTCTAATGCTTCTTCCCTGAGCTGTCAGCTGATTTGTCTTGTCTCACATTTGAGGTCCTCTCTTCCAATCGGTCAGCCCTCTCTCAGATGAGCCCATTATCTATCAACTGTCACTCTAACATTAGTGGTTAACAAATCTCATTAGAGGGCGACATAAATCTGGCCACAACAATCATGCAGTTCTCTCTTTCTCCTCCTCTTCACTCACCCCTTTCCTTCCTCCCTTTCCACTTTTCTTCTTTGTGCCAGGATTTGAAGCCAAGAGGAGAAGATGATGTCTATAAGGAACTGGAGCGGTAAGCAAAAAGCCTTGCATCACCTATGTGGGCTTTTTGATGCTGAACTATATGTGTGTGTGTGTGTGTGTGTGTGTGTGTGTGTGTGTGTGTGTGTGTGTGTGTGTGTGCGTGCGTTAATGTTTGTGTTTGCGCTGTCACTCATCTGCCCCTCACATTCCTCTCACACTCCCCAATCACGCTGCCCTGAACATTACTCTGACATCGTGGCATACTATCACGCCATGCGCTGACAGGCAGCGCTACTTTGCCCATGTGTGTTGTTGTTGCGTGGGCTGTCTGTGTTTGTGTTTAAGGAAGAATAAAAGAGACTGGGGGACTTGAGATTTGTCGGCAAAATTGTCTTTGTGCTCTGTTTTCAGATACTAACAGTGTCAGAGCTGATCACCTACCGGCATCTCATCCACATCCAGCTGTCACATCCGCTCAGGTCCCAGTTGCAGCTGAAGGCCTTATAAACAAAAGTAACAACTGAATGTCAGAGTTAGGATTTTAAGAAAAACTTCAGTGCTTCGGGGAAATGCCTCAATTGCTTGGATGTTTTTTCTTTTCTATTGCTCTTTATAAGTACTTCATTACTGAATTGCTCTGATGGCTGGTTACCCATAGAGGAAACATAAAACGTGTGGAAGTAATTATGTTATATTCATTCTTATTTGAGAAAAATTGTTTTGTATTTCTATGGATATTTTTCCTTAATTATATACATGTTTTAATAAATAATTATGGATCGTCGCCTGTCTCAAAATACTTTTTTCCCCTAAAAAACTACCACGCGCTTTCGCCTTTGAGTTTATGGTCAGTCCGGGCTTCCGTAGCTCCCGTAGTGGAAGAATGGCCGGCTGGATGTGGCTCCGCTGTATAGTAGGGCCTCACTTGCAACGAATTCATCGTTCACCGGACCAGTCTCGCCTTGAGGGCAGGGCTGGGAGGAGGGTAGGAATATCTATAACGTGTTGTCTTTGTTTTAGAACAGCCAACTGCAAAAAAATAAGCGGTATTTAATCGCTGGGCACTGATGTAGCCGCGGCTGTGTCCCGGAAGTGTCAAGTGTTTGTTTTTAAAACCCAACTGTCACTGCACAGTAGAGCCAGGCTGCTCGTATATGGATCAAGTGACAGGTGCACATTAATACGCTTGTTTTTGCACCTTAAATTAATTTATGCTTCACCAAGACAGCATCGGCCCAACTAACTGACGCTTCCTAAAGTGTTTTCCTCGGCGCCATTAACCTTGTTAAGCTAACGTTACGTGGGAAGCAGTTTGAGGGGAATATTTGCCAATACGAAAGGAGGAAATGTAGAAGCTTAAACTGAAAGCGAATAAAAATACACGTTTGTAACACTGTAAAGACAACGGGTAGCTGGTTTATCTATCGGCGGATAGGGAGGCGGAGGAGGCGATCAGTGGCATTAGCTAACGTTAGCTAAAGCTAGCTGTTCAAAGGCAGACGTTAAAACAGCGCTTCTGAATGTGAACGTTTTCTCTCACAGCAGGGATGGAACTACCAGGGCTCGGAGTCTGGGAGAAACACACCGACAGCATCCTCGGTTGGGTCCGTATAGTTGTATGATTGATAATACTGTAAAAAGAGAGAGAGATGAAGAAGCTGTGTCGAGTTAAGTTTGTCTTCTTCCTCCAGGCTTCAGCACTGTGGTCTCTGTCCTACTACAGCTCTCCTCTTCTGCTTTGCTATCTGTACAGGAAAGGTACGTTTGGTTATAAGAATTGTGTTTTGTGGGAGAAAAAAGGGGGGAGTAATTTCTTCACTGCAACAGTTCTCATTAGAGCTGGGATGATTGGAAGTACATTTACAATGGTTGACCAACTGAAAATAAATGAGCCACAATATTGAAAAAGCATCATGCTATCGTTGGTTCCAGCTTGCGAGGATGTTCTACTTATAGTTTTTAAATATGTGAAATCATTTTTTTTTGTTTTGGGCTTCTGGTTGGAGCAAAATATTTCAGCTTGGCCACGAAGAAACTGGGAGACTGTGAGATTGTCATGATTTTCCAATCTCTAATTGACCAAAATGTATCTTCAGTTGGGAAATATCATCAAAAGAGTTGTTCCCAAGTGGGACAGAAATGAAGACGGGTGACTAGGATTGGGGGGACGATTCAGTTTTGCTTTATCATGTATATGTTTTCTTTCTACAGATTTTTTTCGTCAAACATTTCTGAGAAATGTGTAGATCTAACATTTTAGTTTGATAAATGTGACACATTTCATTAATAAGTAATTCATTTTACTTTGTTTAGTTTTGCATACATTTCACTTGTGTGTCATATACATATAAACGGTATATTAGAACATATCCAGATTAGGGTCAGGATTATCATTTTTGCCTCATCCCCGAGTCCAGCTACAATCACAGTTTTGGGGAAACTATTAGAAAAATAGTATTGTGACTTATTACATTTGAATACACTTTTTATTTATGTTACGCTTGTAAGCTTGACATTTTTCAGTAGAAGTCATTCTCAGTCATGCGATCAAGCAGTGGCAAATGTCTAAAAAAAAATGTTTTTACCATATAATACATTTCTCCTTCCATTAAGAAAGAAAAGCTGCCACTCGGGCAACGTTCTCTGTTCTCCTGCAAGTGGGATTAATATGAAGTTAATCAACTGAATCACCCGGGAAGACCGCACCACAGTAGAAATTAATTGCTTGAGGTTGTGTGCTACTCAGTAGTGTATAATTGAGCTTCTGATATTGATTTATGCATATGGTTCTGGGGTAGTTGTCAGACTGTGAATCTTCTGAATCTGTGCCTGTTAATGAGGCTGAAGTTTGGGAGGGGGGGGGGGGGGGGGGGCCGCAAGTCTTGGTCACCGGAGCTTTGTGTATTTTTAGGTTACATCTGCAGCAGTAAGCTGGTTCCAGTAAGTCAGTATGTGGGAGCAGTGCTGGTGTGTCTTCTAGGAGTGGCCTGTCTTAGAGGTGAGAATTCAAATTTCAACGGCATGTCAGGCGATGACTAATTTAGTACATTCATCTTAAAGATATCGCATCATCTGCTGTATAGATGGTGTGCAAATAAGATTACATTAACATTGAGAAGAACAAGGTCTGCACCCAGAAAGCATCCTAGAAGCTTTGCAACAAAATATATGTTTTCTGTTACTGTTTTTTTATCGGGCCTCCCTTTTCTCACGTAGGTTGGGGGAGATGGAACAACTCTGAGTATCTTCACTTTCTCTCCATTCTTGAAGAAACCAAAAACAAGCCCACACCATCAAATAAGGTGCGCTCATAGAAACCTGAAGTACTCATGAGGATTTACTTTTGATATTTGCATGAACATTTTTTGGAGAATAATAAGAACAAGAATTAATCCTGTCTTTATAAGTATCCATATCGATACATCAGAACTTGACTGAAGTTCTCAAGTTCTTTCTTCTGATTGCTTTGCAGAAAAAACTGAAGTGCTATGACTTTGACTTCTCATACTGGCCTTTGGATTTCAGCTGGACAGAAGTCAGCAATCCGTACGTTTTCTATTTTATGTTCGTTATGTTCAGTTCATTATGAATACATCCACTCGAAGTACATTGGATAAATGCACCAAACAGATGTCAAATACTTTTTGGTTCATCTGTTTCATTGTAAGTCTTTGTTAAACAGAAAACTATCCACGGCTGGTGTTTCACTGCTTAAGCCAGAGCCCAAATTAAGAGGAGCAGCAGACAGTGTCCTCCACTCAGTGCGTACTCTACCATGCCACATTATCAGGTAAATGCATTACTCCAGGACACCACTGCAGCGAATGTCTGTGAGGGGGTTGATGTGGTTTGCTTTATAGCAAGTTTGCGTCTTCTTTCGTCCCCTTTTGCAACAGTGTCTTCATTTTTTCCCCTCCAGTTTTCTGATTGCCCACTCATTTGGAAGGAGGATGCTGTACCCTGGCTCTGTCGGCCTACTGCAGAGAGCTATGCGTCCCATGCTGCTGCAAGGCCAGGCTAGGTTAATAGAAGAGGTAAAAAAATAAATTTAAAAGACACACATCAAGGATTTGAACTTTCTATATTCATTTCAATAAATTCACATCATCATTCTCTGTTTTCACAGTTTGATGGCCAACGGAACAAGCTTGTGGCCTGCGATGGCAATGAGATCGACACAATGTTTGTGGATCGAAGGAAGGACGGGGAGCGGACTGGCCGAACACTGGTGAGTGTCCGCAACAATTTGTTCTCTTCTTTTCTTTTTTTTTTTTTGTGCCTTGGGCTTGTTTTTCCATAACTCAGTCACACAACGGGTGGCTCTTAAAATGCATGAATTCTGCCGCAGGTCATCTGCTGCGAGGGGAATGCAGGCTTTTACGAGGTGGGCTGCATGAACACGCCACTGTCCCACGGCGGTGAGGTTTTCCCCTTCTTGGAATTGTTGCTGTTTTAATTGTACTGTAGTTAAATCTTGTGTCGATATGCACTGTAGGTGACTACTCTGTACTGGGCTGGAACCACCCCGGCTTTGGAGGCAGTACGGTAAGCAGTGTTTTCAGATTCGCTATTGCATCGTTAAACTAGCATTGTTTCGTTAGTAAAACAACATACTAGAAAACAACAGCATGTTGAAATTCTTGTTACAATCGGACTGTATTGCACAGGAGGATGAGGTACACTCTCGTGGTCGATATTGTAGGTGTGATGAGAAATTATTGTAAGACTGTTTAGTCTTTGTAGGTGAGTTGAGCGTTACTATTGTTTTTATAACAAATGGATATTGCCTCTTTCTGCCAGGGAGTACCATTCCCCCAGAATGAGGCCAACGCCATGGATGTAGTGATCCAGTTTGCAATACACAAACTGGGCTTCGAGATCACTGACATTGTTATATATGCATGGTCCATAGGAGGATTCACAGGTACAGAAAAAAATAAACGACCAATACACAATGGGCGCCACGCTATGAATTTGAACAATGTTATTTAGTGCTTACTTCCTGGTTCGGCTGATTTTTTTTTAAATTCTTTTTTTTTTTTCTCCCTTCTCAGCCAGTTGGGCAGTGATGTCGTACCCAGAGATCCAATCGATAGTGTTGGATGCCTCCTTCGATGACCTCCTGCCTTTGGCCCTCAAGGTCATGCCCAACAGCTGGAGTGAGTCCAAGAGCACACTATCTATTATGTATTAGAAGCAAGGAGCTTTAGTTTTAGTAACTGAAATGTCTTTGTTCTCTCTTAGGGCCGTTGGTACAGCACACAGTGAGACAGTACATGAACCTCAACAATGCTGAGCAGCTTCTCAAGTTAGTGTTCATTTATAGTGCCACCAATCATTAAAGTCCAAGCTGGCATTATCAAACATTAAGCAACATGTTGCTATTGTGAAAAACAAACCTTTCAATGCTGTTACACGCAACACTTTCTCTTCCTCCAGATACCAGGGACCGGTTCTGCTGATCAGGAGAACCAAAGATGAGATCATCACCACGTGAGTCTTCAAAAATATTTGTATGGTATAAGCTGGTTTTCTTTCATTTTTGTTTTGCAATGTTAGCAGGACACATTTGGGTTGAAATCATAATAATATCTGAAGTTTGTAAATGTTGGGAGCCACAAATGCTTTTCTCTAATAAAAGAAAAACTACCACCTTGGCACAACTGCCGTTTGTATTGTTTGTGGGAATATTTTAGTACGCCTACTAGATTGTTATGAAATAATAAGTAACATTTGGCTAGTATGTTTTATAAAACTGCAATAAATAAAATTGTTTGGCATTTGCTTTTAAATGTGTCATTGGCATCTGCGTATATATAATAGAACATTTTCTGAACATTATATCGCTATACCTTACACCATAGGTAGAACACATCAAACATAACCCCACAGTAACGTCCAGTATATCGAGGGCTAAGTGCCTTGCTTGTTAATCCAGATATGTCTTGTTGTCCATTGTCAACCGCAAAGTCAAATTCCTTGTATGTCTTAACATATTTTGGTAATAAATGTTCCTGATATATCATGTCCACTGTATGTTACAGGGGTCCAGAGGACATCATGTCTAACAGAGGAAACGATCTCCTGCTTAAACTGCTACAATTCAGGTTGGTATTCTCAATGCGATCAATGAAATTTCACTTGTTGAATGACACAAGTGGTCTTTTTCTTTCCCCCTATCTAGGTATCCAAAGATAATGACAGATGAAGGAGTTCGAGTGGTCAGGCAATGGCTGGGATCCTCCAATCCCATAGAAGAAGGTATGCTTGCCCACCGTTTCACTCTGTTGGTATGAGAACAGGTGTGTTTAAAGCCATCTCCTTCTCCACAGCGTCTGTGTACAGTGGCTACGAAGTGGACGATGACTGGTGTGTGACTGTGCTGCAGTCGTATCAGCCAGACAGAGAGGTCTTGTTTCCATGGAGTGTTGGTAAGCCCCTTGGTCCTCTTCACATTTACAAGGCAAATCGACTGCACACATACATGTGCCTCCCCGTACATGCAGGTTTGGCTTCACACACTGTTTTGTGTCTGTTTCCAGGCGAGGACATGGATTCCGATGGAAGACGGCAGCTGGCTCTTTTCTTGGTAAGAAGTCTTGTCATACATGCACTCAAACTCTGTGTGTGCAGTTTTCTGTCTGGTTTAGGGGGGATGGGGCACCTGTTGTCTTTATCACGCTGCTCCGAGCCAGAATACAGAGTCTAATTTCCTTTTCCCCAGGAAGCCCCATTGAAGGCTTACCGTACCTCTTCTCACACTCACAGCTATTCACAGACATCATTAGCACAGAGGAACACTATTCTAGTCGCCATAGCAACCAGCTCACCTGTGCTCTCAGGTTGACTGGTGTAATATATTTCGCCCCGCTCAGCTTATTGAAGTCATTTAACATCAAACAAGACCAGTGCCATCAATTACAGCTAATGCTATGCTTTTCCTCCCTCGGTAATTCCTTTTGAATTGGGCTTTATTCACCTCCTGTGTAAATCCTTAAGAGATGGGAGATTTGTAAGGCACTGAGGCACATAGACTGAACCTAATATAATCAAGTCCTACACTTTTTGTATATTGCCCTCCCACACCGCTCATATCTATTCCTCCTCCATCCCCGCTGTCTTTTTTCCATTCTCCCAGGCACGGAAGTACATGCGAAACTTTGAAACAACACACTGCACTCCCCTCCCCGCCTCCGAGTTCCACTCACCCTGGAGACTGAATAGAAGAATGGCTGACTGGATGTGAGGAAACCAGCAGCAGAGGATTCGGATGGCCTGTGGTCAAGAGCGTGTTCATGGCATGAATGTTTTACTGTAATTTTTGTCCGAGAAAAATTCGTTGTCATATTTAGTGTTCCTGTGATGGCATCTGGAAAAAAAAGGGTCTGGTACTACGCATCTATAGGCACAAACCTGTGGTACTTTTTTCTGTTTGATTTATTTGTTAATCAAATCTATCTCCTAGAAAGCAGAATTTTGTGTAAATGCACAAACCATTTCTCTCCCTCCTTGGCTGGATAGCTGCATTTCGCAGATTATTCCAAGTGTTAAAGCTTTTCAGATTTATTTCTGTTCTGTAGACTATCTTTCCGAACACAGCCGTATTCTAAAACGTTGTTCTTATGTGTTCTGTTAAATAAGCGGAATAAAATGTTTGACACTTATTTTCCAATTACTTAATCGAAGTGTTGAATTGCACAGACGACAAGAGACTGGGATAAGCTCAGAACAATAAACTGCTGCAAACATTTTCTGCCATAAGAACTTTATTAAATTCCCTCTGCACTACAATCAACTTGGAAAATACAGACATGAAAAATGTGGAAATAAATCCTGATTTACATGATGCTAAAGGAGAATTTATATCATTTTCCTGAAGTTGTCCACTGCTTCGTTTACTTTCTCAAGTTCAGTTTGGTTCTGCCGTAGCTGTGGAGAAAAGTCATTATTTTCTTTAAGTCTTCCTCCCCAAGAAACTACAAGTCAATTTATTTCTCTCACCTTCTCAGCATCTTGCTCCTGCACCTTCACTGGCACCTTCTCCTTGTAATCACTCTTTCCCATCTTCCCTCTCAATTTTTCCATCTGTTTCTCCAATTCACCTTTCTTTGTCATCAGCTTAGCCACTTCCTTCTCCACATCGATGAGACCCTTGGGGAATTAAAGGGTAGACGAGGGCTGGTTACAAATAATAATCTTGAACGATTATCATGTAGCTGTGTTGCATCAAGACTTTTCAGGTTGAACTGTGACAAAACCAGTTCGTTTGAACACATGTTGTCCCCACCCCCCCTCTTACCTTGAGCATGAGGTTGACAGTGCATCTGTCAGAGGCGATCGCCACGGCACAGCCTCCTGGGACGGGCTGCTCAGCCGCCACAGCGATGACGGCCTGAGAATACGACAAGGTCTGAATCGGCAGACTGTACTTCTGCACCTGGGACACAGTGGCAGCGTCGATGCACTGGAGGTAGCCTGGGAGACAAATGGGGCACATTGAAGTTTAGGCATCATAACATAACTAGTTAGATAAATGAAGGGAAGCAGATTATTGTTTATGGGAAAATTATTGAGGTCATTGATTAAGGCAACAACGCCACAATGTGAAAATACATGAGTTATTAAAAAAAAGCCACTATACAACATTGGCCTCAAATAGAAGTTAAATATATAGTATTAGATTATTTCTAAACACCTCAAAATTGGATTGAAGTAAAGTACATAAGTGAATGTGCATAGTTACTTTTCATCATAATGGAAGTGAGCCTCTTGTGGTGTGAGAATTACACCTCGGTTGACAAAAGCTTGTCATTTCATTTCTAATCTAGATGATAAATAGATGTCCTAAAACCGAGAGTTATTTTAGAGGAACTGTTCCGTCAAAGCGCCCGTTTGTCATCTCACAGTCAGCTCTGGTCTTGGTCAGGTTGTAGTCGGCTCTCAGTGACCGGATCGTCTTGATCACAGTCATCACGAACTCCATGTCGCGGTCGACCTCCGCGCTGTGCCAACAGAACTGCAAGCCACAGAAAAACACATTGCACACTCGCCCCTTTGGAATGTCTTTAGAACCCCAGTGAGGTTTGATAACAACCCTCATCTCACCTCCTCTGTATCGGGGTAGGATGTGACGCAGATGCTCGGTGGATCGCTGTGAGGTCGTCGCCGCGGTAACCTCTGGTATAGTTCCTCGCTGACGAAGGGCATCACAGGGGACAGAAGGCGCAGGCCGACTTCTAGACAGGTGTAAAGGGTCTGTCTGCACACCAGGCGCTGGCTGGTGCTGTCTTCCTCGGACTTAGCGAACACTGGTTTCACACTTTCCTGGGAGGACAAGACAATAGGACGAAACAGCTTTGGCACCAGGTATTCTGCATTTACTTTTCACTTACCCTCTGGGCATAAATCAATTCACGACGAGAGGAGACGGCGTCTCAAAGTTTCTTACCAGGTAGACGTCGCAGAGCTCGTACAACCAGAAGTTGTAGATGGCCGTTGTGATGGTTGGGAAGTCGTAGGCCTTGAAGCCGGCATCACAGAGACCAACAGCGGCACTCAGTCGGGACAGAATCCACCTGTCTGATACACTCTCGTCTCCACAGAGCTGACGGGGTTTGAGCGGAGTGCGAAAGAAGAGCTTTGGTTAACGCCGCTCCTATCTGGGTACCTCTAAGTTAGCGGGTACACATTTATGAATGCAAAGCAGGACAGCGCGTGGGTCACGATTACGCACGTCATTGGATCAACATGAGAAGAGTCCTCCCTGTCCGTCATATTTTACCCTGGTCTCACCTGGGCTTTCTCTGAGGGTACAAAGTTGTCTCCCAGTGTCTTCATGGCAAACTTCACAGCGTTCCACAGTTTGTTGCAGAAGTGACGGTAACCCAGGATGCGGTTGACATCCAGGTTGATATCTCTACCTGAGAGAGAGAGACACACACACACACACACACACACACACACACGGAAGATTTAGATGTGTATTTCTCTCATGTAGACTTGATTAACAACTGGCCGCAAACTACTGGATTGAGATGCTGTTTCCCGGTACGCATACGTAATGCATGTAGTCACGGTTGAGATCCAGGTCAATGGAGGCACAAAAAGAAAAAGACAAGTGAAGTTCACCTTGGCCAGTGTAGGCACATAGGGCGAACCGGAGAGCATCTGTGCCACACTCCGGGATGCCATTTGGGTAGTCGGACGTCTGGCCCTGCTTTGCCTTCTCCACCTCCAGAGGATCCAAGTTGCTGTCGATCAAAAGGGCATGAAGACCCTGGGGGATGTGGAGACCGGGAAATAAGGAGGGATGTCAAGTGAAAAATTAACATGGAAAAAAAAAAGAAAAGAAAACTGCTTGTTGGTTTAAAAAAAACAAAAAAAAAAACAGAAAGGGCTTTGAAAAGAGTTTTATTATTACGTGTAAAGTATAGTTTAGTATAGACTACTAGTCCTTCAGTGCCCTCTGTAGGACAGCTCTGCTTCCTCTGACTGCGGTTTTCTCCCCAGCTGGGGAAGAAATTGATGGCCTCAATAACAGCTTTTGGAAGCAGAATAGGGGGCTTAATAAATCTTAAAAGAATATGACCCTAGAGGGAGCAGTGTGTGTGTGTGTGTGTCTGTGTGTGGTGACCATGTAAGAGACAACCCAAATGGGCGAGAGGGAGGACTAAATGTATGTGAGAATCTGAACACGCATCAAAGCGGGATTAGGCTCTACCTCCAGGGAGATCCCTGTAATCACATCCAGAGGGTCAATGACGTTGCCCAGAGATTTGCTCATTTTCCTTCCATGGGCGTCCCTCACCACTGCATGCAGATAGACCTGCAGGAAAGAGCCGGCATTAATTAGTCAAGTCCATCTAATAAGATTGGTATCCCGTTGTGTTGTGTTCCGGCTATCTCGGTTTTGATTGGTCACACCTCCTTAAAGGGCAACTTGCCGGTCAGTTTGAGGCCCATCATCACCATACGAGCAACCCAGAAGAACAGGATGTCATGGCCCGTCTCCAGCAAGGTGCCAGGGTAGAACACGTTCAGGTCCTGGGTCTAAAGGAAGATGGCAAACAGCAACATCAATGATGGAAACACAGCCAAATTATATAAGAAGGAATTTGGGTGGCAGCATTTCCAGTTTCTATTTGCGTTTCATGATTATATATTTGCCGTTTCGGAGCCGTGTTTTTCTACTGAATAAGACATCCTTACTGTGTGCAGCAGAAACCATGGCATTTGTGTCAGAGAGAAAGGTGGTTGACCCGTGTCTTACCTCATTAGGCCATCCGAAGATAGAGAAGGGGAAAATGCCAGACGAGAACCAAGTGTCCAGAACATCCTCATCTGAAAAACAGGGACAAAAATGTAACTAACCTGTATGAATATGAAGTACAATTATTCACATTTGGTCGATCTGTGTAGCAGCAACGCCATAACTGATTAGATAACCTTTTACATTAGTTGTGGTAATGAGAATGCTTAATTAACTTTTTTTTAAATCTCACCTTGTCTGAGAGTTATTCTCTCAGCAGACACATTGAAGCGTTTTGCTGCTTTCTCCCTGGCCTCCTCCTCCGACTTCCCACTCACCCAGTAATGACCGTCCACGTCCTGTGGGAGAAAAAGCCGTGGGTAAAAGAAGAACAACAGATTTAGCCTTTCTATGTTATCTGGAAGTTTCCTTGACAAGAGTGCCAGAGATCGTCTTACCTCTCCTGGTTTCACGGAGGCGTCGCTGACAGTGATGAAGTACGCAGGAATGCGGTGACCCCACCAAAGCTGCCGAGAGATACACCAGTCCCTGAGAGGAAGAGGAAATGAAACATGAAATGCAAAATCATCTCTCCATCTCTGCAAAAATTATTTGGTACATTAATTAAGCAACAGATTAAAAAAAAAAAAAAAAGTCTGAGCAACAATTTGATTAAATTACTTATTTTTTTTATCAACAGCAAATCAGAAAAAAAGAGATATTTTTTAAGTATAAACAAGTATAAAAAAAAGAAGAAACACTGTTAAAATAAAAGGGCCATGTACCTGATGTTGTCCATCCAGTTGAACCACGTCTTAAGGTGGTGATCAGGGATGATTTTGAGCCGCCCCTCCCTCACGGCGTCTGCGGCCTGCTTGCCCATATCCGTGCAGTTCACATACCACTGCGGCTTCAGCAGCGGCTCCACAATGTCCTTCGAACGACTGATGGAGAAGATTCATATGGTTGCATAATGCTTCAAGGAATGATCTCCTGACTGAGATGAAAATATCCAAAACACGAGTAACTTCCTTTCTATCTATGCACACATGAACCTACTTTACCTGCAGACTGGGACAACCATAGGGTTGTCTTTGATCTCTTTGAACTGCCCTCTGTCCTTGAGAGCCTGCAGAACAGTCTTCCTGGCCTCAAAGCGCTTCATGCCCTGGAGGTGGTGGGGGGCGGGGAGGGGGGGGGTGGGGGGGCAGTTGGAAATGAAATGAAAATTTGCAACATAACACTGGAAACTAAGAAGAAGTTTGACTTTAAGTGGCATGGTGGAAATGCACAAACTGCAGGGGCAAGGATGATAATGAGGCACTATACCAGGAACGGGGGGGGCACGTTAATGAGCAGGCCATTTTCATCCAAAATGTTGATGAAGGCCAGATTGTGTCTCTCTCCAACCTCGTAGTCATTATGGTCATGAGCTGGGGTGATTTTGACAGCACCTGAAGCGAAAATGGTGCAGACGGACGGGAGAGAAAAAAAGACAACAGCCATAATTAGGAAGGAGGCCTGTGTTAACGACGTGTTGTCATTACTTATTCTCAGCACACAGAGACCCATCTCTTCCTGTAACCATGCCTACCTGTTCCAAAGCTCACGTCCACAAAGTCATCGAAGACAATCGGCATCTTGCGGTCACAGAAGGGATGCAGCACCATTTTCCCCTTCAGGTGCTGATACCTGGAGTCATCGGGGTGGACAGCCACAGCAGTGTCTCCCAACATCGTCTCAATACGGGTTGTTGCCACGATCACTTCCTCGTCTAAGCAACAGAATAGAATAGTGTGAACAAAAAAGGGATCACTGAAGTGCCACTATGTGCGTTTGTCGAAAGTATCCTGTAAATACCTGATCCGTCCACCTTGTAGGCAAAAGACACCAGCACACCAAACTCCACCTTCTCTTTGTACCCAGGGACCGGCAACAGGGTCCTGCCAGTGAGCTCCTTCTTATCCACCTGCAAACCAACCAACCATGTAACATGAGTGAGCACAGGCAGCAAGGGAAAACTGCGTCGATCGGTAACCATCGCAGCCCCATAAGAGGCTCACACAGTAGCGCTGGGGACGTTTTGAACAAAAAACAATGCCAAAAACCCAGAAATAAAGATGAATAGAAGTCGCCTTGATGGTCAGTGTTTCCCGTACCATTATATTGGAGGGAGGGTGGTGGTCAATAATATTGGTGTCCGTCCGTACCCTCCCACCCGCCTTCCAAAAAAAACAAACCGAGGGGAAACTGATCTTCATCACTAATAAAAACATACTTGCCTCTATGTCGGAGATGGCGGAGTTTAGCGTGCAGGACCAGTTGACCAGACGCTTGCTCCTGTAGATCACTCCCTCGTCATGCATGCGGATAAAGGCCTCCTGAACTGCATAGGAAAGTTTCTGCAAACAGGACAGGACATGATGAGTAGGAATTCGGATTTTATCCACACTACTTCAGGGATTTCAGAAAACTCACCGGGTCCATAGTGAAGCAGGCTCTGTCCCAGTCCAGAGAGGAGCCCAGCTTCTTCAGCTGGTGGTAGATACGGTCTCCCTTCCTACAAGGCAGAGGGACAAAAGTCATTTCACTGTTCTTTATTCGGATTTCCAGCCACCTCCTGTCTCCGCGCTCCTTCACTCACTCGTTTTTCCAATTCCAGACTTCCTTGATGAAGTTTTCCCTGCCCAGATCGTGGCGGCTCATGCCCCTCTCTCTCATCAGCTTCTTTTCTACCACCACCTGTGTGGCGATACCAGCGTGGTCACAGCCCGGGTTCCACAGGGTGGTTTCACCTCGCATCCTGTGCCTAGACAGAGAGAGGGAAGCACCTCACTTAAAAATCATGGTCTGGATGAAAACAATATCAAATTAACTAGAAACAGAAAGGAAACACGTGATTTCATGACGCAACCAAAGTCTCACTGAGAATCTGGTTTTGAATTTAAGGAATCAGTCCACTTGTAGATACCATCGAGTCAGAGAGTCCTGAATGGCGTTGGTGAGCGCGTGACCCAAGTGGAGTGATCCCGTCACGTTGGGAGGAGGGATACACATCATGAAGACGCCACGGGGATTCTGGTCACTGATACTCTTCCTCTGCAGAATACAGACATTTTATTGCAGAGCAATGATAAATTGATGTTCTGTGGGATGAATATACCCCAAGGTGTGGGCACTTCTTTACCCCGTACTCCGGCTTGAAGAATCCCTTCTTCTCCCACCACGGATACCAGGCAGCCTCCACGTACTGAGGACTGTAAGAGTCAGGAAGCGGGCTTATGACATCTTACACCGGAAGAGAAAGAGAGAGCGAGAGGGTTGACAAAGGGAACTGAAGATAATCGCAATAAGACACGACAAAACTACATATTTTGGATAAAACACATGATGGTTTTTACACAGATCTGTGTGTGTCATTAGAGAACGGCAGTTAATTGGATGAAACATCTGTCAAAGTCTTGCGAAGTAGGAGTGTCAATCCTCACATACTTTTTTTCAATAGAGACATTGTTGATGCTTTGAACGCCTGTCGCGTCACACCTAAACTTCTCCGTGGCTTTGAGTACACCGCATGTGACAAAAGAAAACACACACACACACACACACACACACACACACACACACCTTTCTTCTCCCCAGCGGCAGTGGGAACACTGTATGTGATCACTCCCAACTCCTTCTTTTCCGGTTTGGCCTTTTTCTAGAAGAGAAAAAAGGCCATAACACATTAGGTTATGTTGTTGATATAGACTATTTATAGGTTCTAAAAGCTGCTCCCTAACACCTTACAAGACGTTGTTTTTGTTGAACATTCGTACCTCTGTTGATGGCTGAGTCTTTTTCTTTGCCTCCGTGTCCTTCTTCTGCTGGAACTTTTCCAACTTTTCCTTCTTCTTAGCTTCCTTCTTCAGCTGGGCTTCTGTCTTTGGTGGGCCTGCAGGACGAAACATGGAGAAAAATGAGAATGACGATTCCACAAAAAATTCACAAACTGTGGCACAATGTTCACTGACCATTAGCTGTGGCATCGGCAGGATCACCAGCGGGACCGGCATTAGCAGCTTTAGCATTCGGAGGAGGGTTTGTATTTAGCGTAACTGGCACCATCTTCTCACAAAGAGTGATCTTCCCCAACACCTTCAGGAACTGTGGCTGATTTGTGCACGTTGTAAACCACCGTGTAACATTGGTCAAGACTTTCCTGTCTGAGGGCTCTAATACCTAAAACAAAAAATATTGAACTCGTTGAGATTATGAGATTTCCCAGAACTAAATGTTTTAGCATAGAAACATGCTGACACACGTGAGGGTTGCACCGCATACTTACGTATTTAAAAGGGAGAAGAACCGCGGTGGCAACAGCCACATCGGCCAAGGTGATGGTCTCCCCCACCAGGAAGGTTCTCGGTTCCAGTGCTTTGTCGAGAACCTTCAGAACGCGGATCAACTCAGCGCGGGAACTCTGCTGGAGCTGAGAACGCACAAGTCCATTTAATAAGAAATCCTCACATGATGTATAAGAAATAAGGACAAGATGAACCTTTGGAAATCACCTTCTTATCCACTCCCGTCATCCCCAGGAGAGGGAAGACCACAGCGCAGGACACCGGGGTGAGTTCATTGTCCGCAAAGCTGAGCCACTGCCACACCTGGCTCTGCTGCTTTGGGTCCACGCCGGCTCTCTTCCCCTGATTGGCCAGGTACCACGACACGGCGCCGGCCCCGCTCAGGACTGCGTCCCCATCCCCAGCGTCCAGCACCAGGATCGGTCTGGAGCGGGCGCCCAGGGACGCGGGAGGCTCCTCCGTGAGAGTCCGCGGGGAGGAGGAAGAAAACTCTGCAGCTATGAGAGCCAGAAGGCTCCTGAAGTCATCAGGGTGAGGGGACACGAAGAGAGCCGCCATCTCTGGTGGAGACACAGACAACGAGCACAACGTCAACGGCTTTAGATTAGTGCATTCTACATGTTTGCTTCCAGTGAGTAGTGTGCCTGCTGTGCTGTCACAGGCGTTCTTCTTCTGCCTGAAAAGTGAAAGTGTTTTCGACTCATACGTGCTGGGAAAAATAGGGTGACGATCCTTTCCGGCGTTAAACAACCCGGTTTAAACATGATTAATCTTTCATATTTCATCTTTCTTGTGAGACGACAGCTGTGTTAGCTGGTGGGTTTCACTTTCTGCACAAACATTGCCTCTGCCACCTGTCACAGGCGCACCTAAAGTCGAGCCAAACCGGCTAGTTAGCTTTAGCTAATCAGACAAACTAAATCTCCATTTTCTATGACCGCATCTCATGAGCTTTGATTTCATCCATAGCGATAAACTTTTTTTAAGTTGCCGTTTATTGAACCCGTGGCGTGTTACTGATGTGTATGAATCCATACCTTTTAAAATGAAACAGAAAGAGGACGTCAGCTTGCACAGCTCAGGCACATGAATCCTCGCTGACTCTCTGTTGTCTGACGCAACATGCAACGTGTTCCGGGTTTGATCGGCAGCTTCCGCCACAGACCGGAAGTCCATCAAATGCTTTATTCAGAATTCAATAATAAAGTTGGAGCATTACAATCACAACATTACTAAATTACAGTCAGTCAAATAAAAGTACTTAACGCTAAGTGTCTTCATCAAATTTTTCCAGTTAAATTTGCAAGAGTTGCTGCTTTCAGTGTTGTACTATAACTGTACCATATTGACTACTACTATCTTTAGCATAAAAAATATATATCGTGGCTCATCGAGCTCCCGCCCATTTGAACTACTTACACTATGTATTTTGCATGTAAAAACCTTGATCTGTAAAGTAAGGTGAAGGAGAATGGCTCTTTTGAGAGAGTTATTATATTAATGTGTGTTACCGTGTTGGAAAGAAGAGGACAGAACGAGGATCAAAACAATAGACCAGCATCCGTTTTAATTAAAATGTACACGTAAGCAAACATTTATCATACAATAATTGTTTTGATTAATTACATCCAAAAGCCTTGTGTACAGTGTTTTTTAGTCACAGTTGGGTCTCTAATCCCGGCAGCAGATTATACAGAGAATCTGCCCTAGTGGAGTGTAAGACTTAAGGGGTAAGACATTTGTGATTCACAAAGTGTGGTGCAAACACATATGCTATCCTTGTCCAACTGATCTTCATATGACATCAAACTGAAATAGCCCCATCTGGTTCGCTTACATGCTAAAAAATTCACAAACCAAAATTGAAGCAACTTGGTTCCACTTTCATTCTGACTCCTACTCAAAAGCCATTTTCCCCGCACCAAAGACTGTATCCACGATGCCCAGTACTAAACCCCCTCCTATTTTAAACACATTACCCACCCCAATTCCACTTCGACTCGCCAGCCTCCCAAATCCTCCGCCGACAGCTTGCACCTGACCCCCCATCTCTGACACCACTGTTCCTACGTAAGCCTCACCCTGCTCCCACAGCTGGCCTCCGAAGAACTCGGTGACCCACCAAACATTGTCCAACGCCCCGCAAAATATCCCCACTGAGTCTCCAGCAAGGGTCCCTATGCCAGTGACCCCAGTGTGGCAGCTGTTCAGCAGGGCCTCCAGCATGGAGGAGACGCAGTAGTAGATGCTGGAGCAGCAGTCTTCCCCGATACCCAGCAGCGTTTCTCCAGCAGAGCCGGTCCAATACAAGAGGTCAGAAGTCAAGAGGTGGAGTAGGGAGAAGGTTTCACCAGGAATTGCAGACAGAACCTCGAGGTCTTCCTGCAGAACGTAGGTCACCTGAATAGAAATACAAACGTGTTACTTTCGGGGTTAAAAGAGAAAAAAATGAGGGAATAACAAAATGACAGAATTAACTTTTTCAAGGTTTTGAGGGACAATCCATTTGTCCAGTGACTGAATTCCAGTCACTGGGAAGAGGCTACTGGGGGATTTATAAAACACAGCTTCTTTCTCTACAAATTCCCTACACTGAACATTTTCATGTTTTATTTGTTAAAGTCGATTTTCGCCTTTTAACAAAATCTAAACTTGAATGCAGAAACAAGGTTAGTGACCCGGTTAGTAATATTCTGCTGTTATGTCCTATCTTCATTTATTTGGAAATAGATGATCGGCCTATTTTTTTGTATTCAAGCATTTGCTGTTATAAAATAATGCATATGCAAATTAACCGTTTCTACTCATGGTTTACTAGACTTGTGATGAGGAGTTCTACTCACAACAGTTGTATAATGTCTTCTGCTGCTCTGGATAAGCCATCTATAGTATAACAAAGATACCCCGATGATAGTCCTCAGGCTTTTATTTCGAGTAAGCTGAAATCAAATGTCTGAAGTGTTGAGTAACTCGTTTTACCTGTCCAGGTAATTTAGTGACGGTGGAGACGACCGGCTGCAGCGGAGCCTTAAGGATGGACACGGTGGTGGAGAGGACGTACATCAGAACATTGAACACGGAATTGTTATCCGTCTCTTGTTCATCCGCAGTTTCATAGTCAGCTGATTCAGGAGACGCTAATCGCACGGCTCCTGAACGGGTCACATCACGCAGATCAATTCTTTCAGCGGCTTCTGATCCAACCTCCTCTCCTTCAGCGACTTGACCAGCTTCAGTTTTTGAATCTACACCTTCAACGCCTGTGTTTTCACCAGTATGATCTGCATCCAGCTTTTCTACGTTGCCCGGGAGGCCCTCACTGCGAAGACCCACTCTGACCCCGGCAGTCGCCCCATCTGCTCCTCCGCAGCCCTCTGAGAAAAGCTCTGCCACTCCGAGAATCTCCCCCAGCTCCTTCACGCTCAATTGCCTCTCCCCTTCCGCTGTCTCTCTGATTAACCCCATGCTGAAGCCACTCTTCCCCTCTGGCAGAGCGCAGCACACTGCAGACCACAGCGGCCTCGTCTGACACTTCTCGTGTCCATCCTCAGCAGCCCCGAGACCTCCGACCCCGGTGAGGATGTAGAGATCGCCCCCTAAAGTGCTGCACTGGGGAGAGATGCTTGACTTGACCAGCGTTGTGACGGTCGAGTCCCAGTGATGAAGCGGGGAGTCTGTTGGCGAGGCAGGATGAGATGGATGCTTGCCTCCTCTGAGAAGGGCCGGTACTGCAGATTTAATGTTCTTTTCTTCTTTACTTGTCTGTTAATTTAAAAAAAAGAAACCGTTAACTTCAGTTTCTTCCCTTTGTATTCTCAAATATGAATAATTACATTTTATTTAATTGTTTTTTAAAATAAGAGTTTAGAATTTGTCGTTAAATGTATTATATGAACATAGATACAATTTGCAACGTGTAAATGTCAGCAATATTGTGTAACGAAGTAAAATGCCAGAGTAATAGACAAATATTACTTCCTCTTTTTCTATGTAATACTAATAATACAACCTGATGCAAATAGCTCGAAGTTACCAATGAATATAAAAGGCAAATTCATATGAAGGATGTGAATACAAATGTTCTCCTGTTTCATCTTTGGTATATTCCATTTCTTTTAACGCATGGACCTGAAGTAGAGTAGAATCTTTACAATGTTAAGTGCAATGTTGGAAGATATGTTCTTAGATTATACACAACCATATATAAGCCATTTACAACTGAATGGATTCAGAACTACAAGGTTGAAGTATCAGAGTATAACTAGTAGAAATACTTATTCTGTAGTTACTCTAATAAATCAAAGTGTTTGTCAGATTTTGTATTTATTTTTTTATAATCATTTATAATCAGCTTTTTGTAAAATGTCAAACATGTAGGTATATTGGGAGTCAATAGTATAATTTAATGAAAATCATTGGATCTCTTATATCACATTAGTATAGTACATGATTTATGTAAATCTTTATTTTAGAAGTAGTTACTGGAATAGATCAAAAACGACACATTTCTCCTTTACATTGTGATTGAGTAGAAGGACAAAGTAACTTAGTTTGGAAACACTCAAGTACCTAAAAACGTACCTAGTTACATACTTTCCAGTCACCAATCTCTGAATTTGTGCTGCACTAGCTTTCAAAATCCATCATGCAAAAACAGAGAGCCCCACTTTAAACATTATGATGGACGCGTCCTCACCACGAGCCCTTTCCCCTCCCTCTCCGTCCACCCGTGGCCGAGATGGAAGGCGGAGAAGACGGCGGTGTCACAGGTCGCTTTGAGCATGGTGGCGAACATCCGTCCTCCGGGCAGGCTGTGGCAGAGCAGTCCTGCAGAGGCTCCCTGAGGTGGCGTCTGTCTGTAGAAGCAGTGGGTGCAGAGGCTGCTGTCCTCAGCTGGGAGAGACAGGCCCGGGCCCAGCGCGGCGAGCAGCCACACAGCTGCACCCACGCCAGCAGGACGCAGCATGTCGGCGGTGAGCGCAGCACAACCCTCCTCTCGCACAGGCAGCGGGAGAGGCTTGTAAATAATCCAGTGATTGCCGTATTTATAGATGGGAAAAGATGAGGTGGTCAAGGCCGGCTGCTGATGGCTGGATGTTTCTTCTTACCTGCTCCTTGTCCTCCGCTCCAGGTTGTGTCAAACAATGTCTGCCTTCTTCTTGAAGTCAGCTGTACTCTCAGTGAATCTGTGCTGCAGGCTCAATCTTGCTTACTCCTTCCATTTGCCCCCCCCCCCTCCCCACTCTGACAGTTCCACCCTCTTTGACTCTTCCTCTGGCTGTACCTCCACTTCAGCCCTCCCTCTTGCGAGCGCTCTATGGTTACACCTTGAACTCCCATTGCGGTTAGGTACACAAGCCGAGCGCACGCCCATCGAAAGCGGTTGAGTACCTGCAAGTCTGCATTCCCAAATAGCTGTTTTACAAGTTAAGTCCCTCGAATAACAAACTACTGCCGCCCATTATTCTTGGAAAAACACATTACTCTGCGACGTGTTAAAACAGTCGCTTTAAAATACTTCCATATCAAGCAGGGAGTTCACACTCCAAACCCCAGGTGACACGTGGGCGACCATCCGCTAAATTTAACAGTGTCAGTCAGTTTGTGAAATCCTCATTAAAGCTTAATCCTGACAGTGTCGAGACCACGGGTCATTGTTTCACACAGAGTACAGCCATTCTTTATTTAACTTGCCAGACAGTGCCTCGCAGTGTTCAGGCCCACTTTCCTTGATATTAGAAACATGCAAACCATGTGTGCGCTGAGTGTGTGAGTCAATGACATATGTAGCTCTCTTTTTGACTTTTAGGAGAAGTCCAGTCAAGCTACCTTCATGTTGCTTAATCATGGCAAATTTGACTAAGCAGCTTCTATCAAATATGCAAAGAGAAGTTTTTCATGAGCTTTCCGTAGCCATAGCTATAGTTCAGTTAGTCAGACTCAGTGACTGACTGTGGCTCTGGAATGACTCTCTGGGTGTGATGCTTTGGGTGGGGCATCGAGTTTCACACAACACTGCATTTAAATGGTGCAATGAGAGTGTTATTTTAAACCAGCATGCAGCAAACAAAATACAATAGCCCCTGTACCATGTCTCGATCTGAATCAAACGTGACAGTTTATCTTTAAACAAATACTTTTAGTGAGCTGAAATTATAACGTCATATTACTATTTTTCTCTGACACACACACACTTTGATGCAAAACAACAATAATGAATAGGATGTACCTTTGATTTTTGACAAGTTGTTAAAAAAAAACAGTGCATGTTGAATTGACAAAACTACAAACAATCTAAGACAAAGTGAAAAATCCATATCAGAATGAATAATGCTGTTTAATGCAATTCCAAGTCTGAGATGGTGTTTGGACAATGCAAAACAAACAGGCTTGAAACGGTTTAAAAAGTGCATCCTGTCCTTCCAGAGGCGGTGGATGTTTTTTAAAGCGCAAACTCAATTCTTAACATATGTTTGAAAAAACACAATCATCAGGGAGATGTAACAGTGATGTTGCAATAAAACAAAAGTCCACAGGGGGGAGCATGGCCCTCCTTTTTTAAAAACAGGCAGCGGCTACTCAATACACAAAAAATATATATACATTCAGTCACATTCTGTCTCTTGTTCTCAAACACACAGATGTACAAACCTTCCATCCCCTGCTTTTAAACAAATCCAAAACACACGCCAGCTCTCACTCATTAGGGATGTCAATGACCAGTTCAGCCTCGTCTCCCTCCCCTCTATCTTCGTCGCCCCTGTCGCTGTCTCCATCGCTCTCTCCCTCCTCCTCAGCTGCATCGCCACTCAGCATCTGTCTGGGAACCCAGCTGAAGGGGCTGTTGGCTGCCGGAGGGACCGCAGGTGCTGATGGGTAATTAGCTGCCATTGGAGCAACAACCTGAGAGGAATTTGAAATACAGCAAACGTGTTAAGAATGACAAATTGACTGGAGATGTGATAAAGGAAGAAGTGTGGATGGAAGGCCGCAACACAGATAGCATGCAGCGCGTACATTAAACTGTAAACCAGAGTGTCACTTCAGCATAGTGTCAAACTTAAATGCCTCAGGAGACTGAACATCAGTGTCTCGAAATGTCATCATCGCCGGTAATAGCGAAAAGTTGAATGTATGAAAACCTGTCAGCAATATAGCGCAACAAAGTAAAACAAACAAGTAATATTCACACATATCACTTCGTCTTTTTTATGTAATCCGGCTGAAACCAAAATATAACCTAATGGAAGCGGCCATTAAAGTTACCATTGAATATAAAAGGCCAATTCATATGAAGGATGTGAGAAGTAAGCAGCAGAACTGGACTAATACATCTTATATTTCCCCTTTCTCTCTCACCTTCCCCGTTGTGTCTCTCTTGTTTTTAGGCGTCTTTGTTTTTCTCTCTTTCTTCATTCGTTCAGCTGGGGGAGCCAAATACTCCGGTGGGAAGGGCATCTTCCCAACACACATGCAGGCCCCAAATTTCCAAATGACCACACAAACAGGCATGAGCCATTTACAAGACAATAAGAGACACACACAGACAAAAAAATGAACAATGAAAGGACAGTGAAGCTATTATAAGTAAACAAACGACAAGATAAAACAGACTCATGGATAAGATGACAAAAGGATCAAAATCATATAAACAAACCAAACCAAAAAGGGATTGTGTTTGCTGATGAGATGACACAGGCGGTAATCTGTTTCTGAATAAGGGAAAGCAACAAGAGATGGATACTCACAGTGTTGAGGTAGGGTCCGGATCCCGATGACTGCAGGGGATTTACACCATGACGCGAAAGCAGGGAAAGATGAGGGGAGGATGATGACGGAAGACACGCGCCTGGACTGCTTCTTCTCCTTAAAAAGGATGCCAGAGAAATGAGTAAAAATACAGTGTGGCCAGTATGCGGAGGAGATTTTTCTCCACATTGGTCCATTTGGTTTGATGGGTCTAGCCATCAATCTAGCCAAATAAAATAAAAAATAAAAAAGATTATTCAATTTTTAGGTTTTACACTTCCATATAAACTGATCAATTGTTGTTGTCATCCAAAATTGAATGTTTTTTAAATGTTTTCTATAGCAGATAAATCTAGAAATGTCAGTTTTAGTCTGGTCATCAAAACAGACACACATAACTACACGGGTGGCCAAAATGAAGAAACGCACAAATTCTTGGAAACAACAAATGTCATGCTGCTATGTAAAAACAAATGGGTTGGATTTCTTAATTGCATGTTGAAATGCCCAACTTACTTTTTTGCTCCCTCTCGTTCCCTCTCCCTTGGGCCATCTCCTTCACTATTGTCCGAGGAAACAGTTGCTTCCGAATCTGCAACAAAACAGCAGAAAAAACCTGAACCAACAGTGTAGTCGACTGGTTTCAACTCTTAAGATAGAAATGTCAGATCGGCCATAAAGAACCAACAACTTGAGAAGGTTATCGCCTACCTGAGGAGTCTTCATCTACCCTCTCATACTGCAGCAGTCTGTCCAGAAGGAAGCTGGAAAACCAGTGAACGACACCGTTTGTGTGCTGAACGCACGTTGTGTTTCACAGACACACATTTTTATTTATTAACTCACCTTTTGTCCCTAGAAACCTTGAGGAGTTTTCTCTGCGCTCTCCTCAGCTCCTCCTGAAAACATTCCTGTTCCTAAGGAGATAAACAAAAACGCGAGATCGGTGCGTATTAAGAGGCGTGTGCAGTTTAGTTAACTACTAAAAACATGGCGCTCAAGGCCGACCGTTCAAACTCAGAAGGAATGTACTCACATATACAAGAAATTTTAATTTTCGTTTGAGATTTTTGTATTTCCGCTTGTAGTCAACTTCAGCGTCCACTTGACCGTTCATGTCTGAAATAAAATATATATGATGGAAAACAAAAATGTACCTTACATCGGAGCTGTTACAGTTGAAGTAACGTTAATACAGAGAGTTTGTTCAGTAACACTTCAATACAAGACATGCGAAGCTATGCTAAGCTAGACGACAGCTTTCGCCGCTAAGTTAGCTCCCTAAAGACACAGAGCTTTTGGTCTCACAGCCCAACTCAAAACGTACATCTAGATTCATTTAAACTACGCATGTGGTCTTAAAACATGCTTTTTGGTGCATTGCAGGGTTATTTTACCCGAGCGGTACCTCTCGACTGAGTCTGTCTGTTCGACGTGCTCTTGTTTACTTCCTGTGGCGTCTTCTTCGTTGTCTTCTTCTTCTTCTGTGCTTTTAAGTTTTCAGGCGCACTAGCGACACCCTCTGTTCCAATTTCTTTATTTGAAGACCCAAATTCCAGCTTTTTCTTGAATACACTGTATTTCTCGTTCATCCATGTAACGATGCATATACATATCTCCAAAAAAGAATAAAGACTAAGGCAAACCAAACAAAGTACAACCCTAAAAACCAAAACAAACAGTGTGTGTGTGTGAGCTTAATATTACATTAATAACCTCCAGTTATACTGCAAATCGTTTTGCCAATTGCCAAAGCTTTTTTGTCCTGTGCCTTGTTCCCATTACTCCAGCAATGACTAATGATGACGATGAAGTGTTAGTCTTAGTGTACCATTAGGTTTGCTATAATTCATCAGTAACTGCTTCCATCTAGTGGCATCTCACCACCCTTTTTTAGAATAGATTTTTTGTTCTCTTTAAATATATGGATAATAATTTAATAAAAAGACAAAAGCCCAAATCACAATGCTTTTTGATGATCTTTTTATCTTTGTAGAGATTTTATACGAATACAGAGACACAACACGTGACAATACCGTTTGTATTCCGTTTGTCCTGCATTTATCTAGCAATAGCGCTGACATTCCCGGATGTCCAAAAATGTCCATTTTATTCCTGAAAACTAAAAGGCAGTTCATTAATTTTAAATTGCCAACATTGATTTGTTCCCTGTCCGCTCCACCTGCCGAATACTGCAATGGCTTTGCGGCTCAGCCCGGTGACGTGGCCTCAACTCAGCACTATGAATTATAGATGAGTAACATTCCTCAGTGCACATACATAGCCAGACCCCCTGTGTGTCGAGCGGGCGAGGGAGGAGGGGGGGTGCGGCGCCTAGCATAGAGTACTTCTGTAGAAGGGAAGAGGGCAGAAATGCTGACAGTACATTGAGAAGCAGTACCCCCCCTCCCACTCAGACAATGTGAAACCCAGCCGGGGAAGGACAGCAAAGCAAGCACTGAATCCTCCCACATCCCGAGACATGAGAGAGCCACCGTGCAAAAATAAACCTGTTTTGTTTTCATTCCAGACAAAACAACTGCAGATACGAAACACAATATCTGCCTCTTTCCACCGACAGATACTTCTTTGATTGCGGAGACACCGGCAGACAGAAATAGACTCTTCTGTGTCTACTGCCATAAATCGCCGTGCCGGCCGGCACGTCCTCCTGGCACCTAAATGAATCTGCCTCCCTTCCACCCGTCTTCTCCCTCCCCTCATAATGGATCCATATATTGTCAAGTCAGGCTGTGGACACTGATCTGTGCTTGTCAATACGATTTCTTCTGCTAATCTGCTGCTTGGATGTACGTCCCCGTTGCTCTATTTATATGTGCACTTACTGTTGTTCTCATTGTGCCGGCATGTGTGTTCCCCCTCCTGCCTCTCTCTCGCACTCTCTCCACCTCTATCTCGCCTTTTCTCTCCCCCTGTCCTTTGCTGCGTCGCTGTGTCCTCAAATGTACCCCTCCCTATTTCTCCCTCCGTTGCTTTTATTGCAATTCTCTGAAGAGACTTCTTGATTTCTGTTTTGGTTCAATTTGAAGAATTTGGAATGTACCAAAACCACATCAAAGAGACCAACAACAACTGCAACGAAGGCCTTGTCAGTGATCACAAGGTAAGTTCCTTGTTTTATGCGATTCACCCGCTGCATTAAGAACAACCAAAACAAAACACACACTCTCTTATAATGGGACTGTATTTGTTTGAACGTCTATGTATTTTATGGACAAAGAAACGTTGTCTTGTGTGTTTCTGTGTTTGTGTGTGTGTTGCAGGAAAAGCTTTACGATGCTATTAAAAGAATAAAGCACGAGGTAGATGAGTGCAGAGAAGAAGAGAGAGAGACGTACGTAGAGTCACTACGAGTGGAGGTACTGTTTCTGCATTATTCATCCTTATATTTTTCAAAAATACACTGTTTTCATAGTGGTTCCAATACATATATATATATATATATATATATATATATATATATATATATATATATATATATATATACAGTACCAGACAAAAGTTTGGACAAACTTTCCCATTGAATTTAATTAAAAATAAATTGTCCGACCGTATATATATTATATACTGTTTATATATATATATAGCAATTGCACTGAGGCCAGCTGTGAAACTGATTATCCATATGGTCACACTGAATTTGTAGTCAAACCTGCGGTGAATTGATAATCATTATCATCTTTTCTCTTCTCTCATTCTCTCATCTCAATCTCTGTATTTCAGAATAGTTTTGATTCACTGGAACGAGAAATCAGTGCCGAGTTTGCAAACCTCCATCTTTTCCTGGACGAGGAGGAGTGTAAGGAGATAGAGCGACTGAGGCGGGAGAAACAGAAACAACTGAAGCAGCTGAAGGAAAGAAAGAAGAAGATGGCAGAGCAAGGGAGAGACCTGGAGAGAGCAATCTCTGTGCTGAACAGCAAACTGACTGAGGAGAACAGTCCTAAACTGATCAGAGTGAGGAAGCACTTCGTCCCATAATAACACAAACAGATTACATTTGACTGTCACCTATAAGTTAACTATACAAAGTGTCGATGGGGCTGATGTAAATTTGGACCCGGGGTGGGTGTGAACAGGGACAAAAAGACTTGCCAGTGACTTGTGAAAATAATCTAGTGTATAATTGCTCCCCACGTTTGGTGTCCTTTGAGCGTGTCGCTGCTGGGAAACCATGTGACCGTGCAGGTTTACTTCAAAGGGACTCAATCCCAGAGCTGCAGTGCATCCCGCTTAGCTGTTCTGTCCCTCCACACTCATTAGATCAATTATAGACATCGATTGGCTAAACTGTTGACCTTCACAGTTTTAAAAGTCAAAATCAATTTCTCAATTAAAAGTGAAAGTACAAAGGGCACATTATTGAGCAAAAAAAGGATGGGCAGCGCAAGCTGGCCAGCTTCATGTCACAGTTTGCTTTTGTGGTCCCAAATGTTGTTTATTTAAATAGATATTACTTTGTTTAAATGTTTCTCTCATTGCAGGAAATTCAAGATCTTCTAAAAAGGCAGGTTTTCTCAGTCAAACTTTTTTTTCTCTCCACTGTTTCCCCCCAATTATGCATGCTTAACACACCCTCTCACATCTCATAATCCGTCTCCACAATCCTCACTGTGGTCTGGTTGTATGCTACCATTCATCATCCAGTCCTCCCCATCTTGTCCGAGCAGGTCAAAGGTCTGCTTCGTTCCTCCAGCAGAAGTGGACACTGAGGTGCGCTCCGGACAGTTTGTGGGGCCGATACAGTACAGGATATGGAAGCACATGAGAAGCTCCCTTTACCCAAGTATGTTCTCATATCGTTCCATACGGCACGTGCGACGCCACAACCAAACTTCACTTACTCAATCTCCATTGGCCTTCAGATATCACACCAATGACCATTGACCCCGACACAGCCCACCCTAATCTGTCGGTGTCCCAGTCTTGCACTTCAGTGTGCTTTGAGGAGGACAAGGACACAAAGCACGTCCAGGCCAACCCACGACGGTTCCACTACTACTACTGCGTGTTGGGCCATCAGAGCTTCACCACAGGCCGGCACTACTGGGAGGTGGATGTGGGACAAAAGACGGCGTGGCGGTTGGGCGTTGCACGAGGAGATGTCCCACGAGGTGAGATGGATGCTACTGGCGCGTCCAGTGGCCTCTGGACTCTGGCCTTGATGGGCGGATCCGTCCAAGCCTACACCGACCCGAAGCCCACCAAGGTCAACGTGTCGCTCCGGCTCGTCCGCATCGGTGTGTTATTAGATTGTGAAAAGGAGGAGGTGTCTTTCTATAATGCCGTTACCATGGCGCCGATCTATACCTTTACAATGGGGACGGTTGGGGTTCCCTTGTTCCCCTTCTATAATCCATGTGATGCAGATGATGGGAAGAACACAGAATCGCTTAAGATCTTTAACCCTTCACTATGACGAGGGGATGCAGGAATTTCTAATAAAGATAGCAAATATATATTAATAAAATCATTCTTACATTAAGAGCTGAGGTGATTGAAAAGAAATAATTGGTTAGTACTTTAAATATCAGTCAATGGTTGGTAGGAAACATTTGCTTTATTTTGTTATAGGGTTTGGGTTTGGAATAGTCATGATACAAGCCACGGTTTGGTTTGTGGATATTTTTCAATCTTTTCTGTTGATTTTATAAAAAATACATACATATACATAATACAGATTTGATGATAAAATAAATTAATTATTTATTGCAGCCCTAATTATATGACACACTTGCCTAAACTTTCTGAACAAGAAAAATCCACTTTAAACCTTTTTTTTTATAACCATCCATATTTGTATCTGTTTTCAATAAAAACCTTGTGATTACTTTAGAGTTAGTGGAGAAAATCTGAACCTTGAAACTTGAGCAAATGTATTTGTTAAAATGGTAGATGAAATCACAGCCCGCGTTCTGCTGACGTCTATAACAGGCCACGACAGCATTATGGTGTTACCTTTGGCCTGTTTATAAATATCTCTCACGTCCCGGCTTAGCTACGATATGCCCTGGCAATGTTATGGAAGTCGGTATTAGTAAGACGCCGCGGCCTGAGGGGGGTTAAATTTGGCGCGTCACATGAATGACGGCTGACATTGAGGGAGACGTCTCACTGAGATCAAACAAGACAGAAGCGTCACACTCCAAGACAACAACACGGCAGGTGTCATGATCACTTGTTTATTCTTAGTATTCCTTTAGACATGAAATAAAGAAAACATTTTACAAAACATCTGTGTGGAGTGTTGTGCAAAAAGAGAGTGCAGAGAGAACATGTGGGATGTCACACCACACCAATGCCAAAACAGCAGAAGTAAACAGAGAAGACAAGGGCAGAGACTGCTCACAAAGAGCAAGAAGTGCCAGTGGTATTAAAAGTAGTGGTGTATTTTAAAGTGGGTAATCAGAGGTGGGTACGACTCCGGAATCCCTCTGGCCCCCTGTTTGATGTAACAACTCCAATCCCACTAAACTGAGCCTTCTTAAAGATGCTGGTAATTTGTAAACCAAAGGCTGGCCCTGCGCCGCACACAGTGTCTGCCTGTCTCACATCCCCGCTCCCTCTGGAGTGGTGTTACAACCGTTGACAATACACAGTAGAGGTGGTGCATGGACGCTCTGCTTCAAGACTCCCTCGTCGAGTGCTTAGCACAACATAACCCTGAGGGTTACTCAGGGTTATGTTGCCTCGTCATTCAGCCTCGTCATTCACCCGCTGCTTTGATCAATGCACCCGTGTGCCACAGACTTGATTCACTCGTGAACCTGGAAAAATCTCAAAGTCAGACTTTCATTATCACTTTCAATACAATCCGTCACACACATGATAGCATATCATAGGCCAGTGGTACCGCCTCGTTCAGTCAGCTGTGCAAACTTCTTTCTTTCATACCCTTCCTTGTAATAAAAAGGTGCTATTAGGAGTGTCTGCAAATGACAGAATACAGGCCAACTATCCAGTATTTAGGCACTAAAAAAAAGACACGAGTCACTCAAATATCTCAAGGTTACAATATCTGTTACGATATGTTGTGGCGTTAAACATTCACACTCATGACTTAAACACAGCACTGTTTTTTTCTTCACGTTGCAAGACGATGTAAGCAGGCACATGATTACCTCACAACAGACGGATGAGCACACATAGCGTACAGGGGTGTCATTCTGTACGAACTGACTATGCAGAGATTCAAAATGCATTAACCCTCATCGCGTAAATCATCACATTCAAACACATGTGCATCATAGGCACAAACGCTTAAACAGAAGCACCTCAAACACACATGATGGCGACGTTAAAATATCCCTCTTCTGTTACAGGACAATAAAAGCCTTTTTTTCCTGTTGTGGGCATGCTGCAGTCAGTGCTTTAAGTGGCATAGGTTAAACATTTGAATACAATGTGTAAATACCGTGAGAGATGCCGTATGCTGTGAGTATCGTCTGGTTGGAATGGCTATAAATGCAAAAAATTGATCTGAAAAGATCTAATAAAGTCTTCATGGATTTGTACAATATTTGGTTCTTAAATTAGTTTAAGACGTAAGTGAATATTAGTGGATATAGTACTCTATGTGTATATATTTTATATTCTGGATTTAAGGATGGTGAGAAATTTAGATTAGAAGTATAATACAATAACCGTTCTATACACTGGAAACAATCAGCCTTACAGGGGTTAAACCGGCGTACACATGCAATATTTACAAGGATGGAGTGTGTGTGTCTGTGCGTGTGTATAAAGAAAATTGGTTTGTGGTTATTTCAGCAATACCAGCTAGAAAGCCGGCATATTCCGTTTTTTTATATTGTGCAATACATCCGACACTGATACATCTGATACTGTTTGTCCACTCAACATCGGAGCCCCTTAATTTGATCTATTATCTTGGTGTTTATATAATATCCAATATCCAATGATCATATTTGAACATAACTTCATGTGATATCGCTTTTTTATAATTCTCACGTTTTGTATTATTTTAATTTATTTGTAAGAAAAATTGATTGAAAATATTTATTTTGAACTAAAAAATCATGTAAACACCTAATCTCTGTCGAGCTTGTGTCCTTGAGAGGTTAAGAATTAATCCCGGGCAAAGGGAAGGAGAGGAAGGAGGTAGGAGAGAAGGGGTTGGACCATTGAAGGAAGGACAGACAAAGGACGAGGGAAGAAGAAGGAATAACAATGCTTGCATTTTCATGCACACAGATGTGCAGCAGGAACACGGTGGTCCCATTAAGCTGCTGGCAGCCGCTTGCTACTAAACTGAGGAAATAATGTGTTTTTTTATAGAGCTGAGGGGAAATTGAGATCAAAGGCAGTAGAGTGGTTGATCCAGGCTTGAGGGATCCGTTTGCAAAACACATTTAATCTGAGATCTGAGACATCAGCTGGGGGCGTGAATCTCAGTCTCAGATACCATAAATAGTAATGTTAATATTATTAGTACGTGTTCTTATGTGGGTAAAGTCACACAAATCTTTTTTTAATATGTGATAATGTATTGCAGATATCACTGAAGCCAGAGCACCAGCACAAGCGTATAACATCCATACTTCAGCTATGTACAGTGTGTGAAAGGGCTTTTGTTTCCGTTTTGATGATGTCCAATCAAAAGGGTCTTCACTTTTGCTTGTTTTGAGCAGAAAATTGCATGCATTTTGTCTGTTCTACCCACATGCTGACAGAGAAACAAGCATTTTAGATGGAGGTCAATTACTAGTTAAGCTCAAATAAGGAATCTGTGTATTTTAGTGAAATCTTGTCAACCTTTCTGGCTGCCTCATAATGTTAGAAAAGACCTTATGTGAAGTGTTATTTGCAAAGTTAGAGTTAATTTCATCAACAAGCCGCTTTTGTTAAGTGATTTTTTTTTCTTCAAATTAGAGAGTCTTAACGATGTGTTAGTTGGTGAGTGCGACACTGTCGTCAAGGTATTACTGTGTTCAGGCATTAGACATGTTAAGTCTTTTGCCCCAGTGGCTTCTTCATTATTTGGTGAGGGGTGTTCGTCTACAGCGGCGGTAGACTCAGGAGATCTCAACGATTTTTTTGGCAGCGGCAGTTCTCAAGTGGTGGTGTTTGAGGCCTCAGCCACGCTGTCGTCCTTGCCAGCTTCCAGTGCGGCGCCGCTGGATTTCTGCTCCACTTCAGGGGTTTTAGGCGGAGCTGCTTTTGGAGCTCCGATAATATCAGCGTGATTCAGGCTCGGTTTGGAATCCTCGCCCGGCTCGGGCGTACCGTTGGTGATTGGCTCCGGTGTGGTCGGTTTAGGGTGCTCGGCTTTGGGCGTCAGAGCGCCCTTACTCTCCGGTGTGGTCGGTTTGGGGTGCTCGGCTTTGGGCGTCAGAGCGCCCTTACTCTCCGGTGTGGTCGGTTTGGGGTGCTCGGCTTTGGGCGTCAGAGCGCCCTTACTCTCCGGTGTGGTCGGTTTGGGGTGCTCGGCTTTGGGCGTCAGAGCGCCCTTACTCTCCGGTGTGGTCGGTTTAGGGTGCTCGGCTTTGGGCGTCAGAGCGCCCTTACTCTCCGGTGTGGGAGTGGCGGCTTGGGGAGAAGCTGGTTTAGGCTCTGGACTTGGGCTTGCTGGGGGCTTTGGATCAGCTGGACTCAGACCGGCCTTGGGCTCGGGGCTGGAGGCTGGGATAAGCTTAACTTCTGCTGATTTGGGTACATCCAACTGCGCCTCCAGTGGCTGTTCAGGGGTTTTCTTGATCTCGGGCGACGGAGAGGCTTTAGTTTTAGCTGCCGGACTGGACTTAACTTCCGTAGCTGGAGGGGTGCTCGGCTTGGACTCGGCAGCGGCGGGCGGGGGACACGGTTTGATTTCGGAATCAACAGAGACGCTTACGGCCAATGAGTCAAGGTTTTGATCGGGGGCATCGGTGTCGGTGTCTAGTGGGAGGGCGGTGTTAAAGCCGACGCCAGAGTCGCTGGTGTCGAGGTTGCCGACCCCAACCTCTTTGGAGGAAACCTCGAGACCCTGGATTAAACACACAACAAGGTATGGCGTGTTTATTCACACAACGCCAACAACAGCTTTCCAGAAGCTAAACAAGATAAAACAGACACGCAAGGGACTAGAACGGGAGCATATGTGAAGGATTTAAAAAGAGTCAACCAAACTGAAGGGAATATAAAGCTAAAACTGAATCAAACAGGAGAATAAATGTCACAGCTCGGCGACAGTGCAGTGCAAGTCCAAATCAAACGGAATAAGATGCAGCGGAAAACTGAACACATTGAGATTTGGAGAAAATATCAGGTCTTCTGGGAGATTGTTTCAGATATGTGGTGCATAACAATTTTTATTCGGGGGAACAGTAAGCAGGCCGGTCCCAGAAGACCTGAGAGGTCTGGAGGGATCATCACATAGCAGCAGATAAAAAATGTAGGTTCGGACCTAAACCATTCAGTGCTTTACAAACCAAGATAAATATTATAGAATCAATTATTTGTGATACAGGAGGCCACTGCAAAGATCCGAGACCTGAACTGATGCGATCCACTTTCTTGATCTTAGTGAGGACTTTAGCAGCAGCGTTCTGAATAAGCTGCAGCTGTCTGAACGCAAAAAAACAGTTTAAAATCGAGACATTATTAAAACCTCTTGAAGACTCAGTTTTGAGAAAGAAATATTACATATCCTTACTTTAATATCCACCTCAGTGCTCTGAGATTTCTCTGTATTGTCTGCCTGGGAGTGCTTGGAGTCCTCACTTAGTTTGGTGATGTTCTTGACCACCTGTGAAGATGCACACGGACTGCGTGTGAGTCATTCATCATATCACTCTCCACATCATCAGCTTCACATTTTCATTTGCATATTTGTCCCTTCAACCTGTCTGAAGGCCTCTCCTTCGTCCACTTTGCCAGAATCCTGGGCGATCTTCTTGAGGGCAGCAGCCCTCTTGGCCCTTTTCTTCACTTTGATCAGGCAGGACAGCAGACAAACCAGCAGGAGGAAGACCAGCAGACCCAACAGGGCAATGATGGCTACATACACTGACTCCAGCTTGTAGGCTTCATGTAGGCATGGCGGGAAGAAAGACAGCAGTGGCAGAGTAAATAATTCAACATCAATGGAAGCATTGATGTTCTGAAATTCCAATGAATAAATACAGCAGACAAAAGAACGGTATTATTCAGTGGATGATAATGGTTTTGATACCATTCTTTAGAATATACCACTACAACATCTGGTTTGTCCCATTTTGACCATCCTCATCCTTACGTTGCATCTCCAAGTGGATGGTAGACACAGTGAACCCCAGTATGTCGGTAATTTTGAACTGGCCCACATCTGCCCCCTTGACCTGATCCAGATAAACTCGAGAACCCTCCATGAAGAGACGGTCCTCAAAGCCCAGATCTGTTTTGGCCTAGAAAAAACAGACATCATACCCTTAACTTTGAAAAATAAACAGCGAAGAAAACACGTAAACATGTAACAAGTACTAGCCAAACTTCGAGGCGCACACTGGCAGAAATCCTACTGGATTTGTGAGACATCAAAGAGGTCTGGCCTGAAGCACCAGCACTCTCAGTGCTGATAATGTTAATTGTGTAACGCCAGCCGGCCTATAGCTATAAAACATAGCAGGAAACCAAGGACCAGACCAGAAACCAGTCCTGTTTCTAATTATGGAGCCTAAGAATAGACTCTGTTATATGTTCACATACAAAAGCATGATAATGTATATTTTGATATATATGATTCTTAACCAAATCATAGGTGGGGCTAAAAAGAAATCAGCTACATTTGTAAATTCCCCCTTGTCCAGCAGCAGATGGGGCGTGGGGTCCTTTTCCTGTATGTAGAAGAGATGGACCAAGGAACTGTTGAGTATCAGGTTGATCTTCAGTTTTTCACCGTATGGCAAGGTCTCAAAGTACAGGTGCTCTACGACACAGAAGGACGGAGAAGGAAAGACGTAATACATCAGAGCACTGTTTACAGGCTCATGGATCATCATTCTGAAACACCTAAGTCTGTTACAGCCCATTAACGTTCCTGTCGTTAAAAGTCCATTGTGCCGACAAAGAGCAGGAAGATCAGGAAAGCATCCTGATGGAAGCTGGCGACCGTTTAAAAAAGGTCATGCCTGGAAAAAGATATCGGTCTTCATCTGCGCTCTCACCTTTGACGTTGAGACACTCTTTCTTTCGGATATCGCCTTTGTCGTCCCTGATGGTGTAGCTGCCTTCGTCTGCACCCGTGACGGCCTTGAGGGTGACGTGGCGCTCAGTGACGCCAATCCGGCCGTGGTAGCCTTCTCTGGACATATTGGCGCTGGTCAGCAGCACCAGAGCAGGTCTGCAGCAGGAGAAAGTCACAGAGGATGAACTGCCCTTAACCTTTGTCGGTTAAGTCTGAGACGCGCCGTGACAGTACACATGCACGTCAGAGTTGGAAAAGGCAATCACAGATTCTGTTGGGTTAAAATGTCGAGTGTCATTTTGTTGACTGTACCTAGATGTCAGGTTGGCCTCCACAGCACTGGGCCTGTACTCCAAGGTGATGGGAGGAGTCACCCCTGACAGCGGAATATGGTAGTTGTCTCCATATTTAATGATCTGCTCGTTGGAGCAATCTAGAGGGTAAAAGCAGGGTGTAGAGAAAAAGATCAGCGATCCAAAAATATCGGGGCAGCTGAAATTAAAGGGTTGGAATGCAAGACAAATACTGGGAGAGGCAGCAAGGACAAGATAAAGAGGGGAAAACTGCAGAGAGCGAGGGAGAGAGGAGGCGGTTGGTGGTTAAAGAGCTGCATAATTACTGCTTGGCAGCTCCGGCATGCTTAAACACTCTGAGACACACACACACACGCACGCACGCACACACACGTACAAATTACGCCCTCCATATGGCACATCTTTCACATATTGCTACGCTACAGTCGCCTTTATCCACGCTGGGTTTGAGCGCGCTGCCTCCTTCTCTCATGTTTGTGTGTGTGTGTGTGTGCGTGTGTGCACTCTCATCAGAGTCAACGCGGCTGCAACTTGTAACACCGTGTGTAACACAGAGGTTTAGTGGCTGCTCGCTGCAAGATTAAAGCAGTAGAAAAGACAGCACCTGCACTACCTCTGACTCCAGGTCACATATTCAGATATATATTAAATAAGTATTTTAGATCATATAAGTAAAATATCATTATTTGTTCCATGAATGTGTGCATTACTGTTTGAGTGGTATTTTACTGTAATGGATCATCGGATCAAATTGTGTCATTTAACAAGATTGTCAAAGGTTTTGTAAGTAAAAACAAAAAAATTAAAATGTCAAGAGTGTCTCAAATTTGAGTTTATGTATTAAGTAACATTCCACTACTGCAGTCATGCATGTATCAGACATTCTGCCATTTGATAGCTGATAATTAAACATTCTTCAGAGTTATTTTTTGAGCAAAAATAAAGATAATCCCCAGGTTACAACTTCTTATAGGTACTGTGAGCTGCTTCCTTTTGTCCTCCTTCATAACCAGCTCAATACGTGTGGGTTTTGCAACAGAAAGAAAGAATTATTGTCACAAAAAAAATCAATTTAACATCTCATTGACTAAATTGTATAGATTTGATTGATGAACTGGCGATGAATCAGTAGAGGAAATGATGGTCAGGCGGAGCCCTTTTTGAAACTCATCATCGACTGTCGTGCTTGAAGATAGTACTCAATGGAATGAATCATAAAATGAATCATTCCCATTCCTCGTGTAATATACAGAAACCAGATACCGTACCTCGGACTATCAGCGTAATGCTCCTGATGTCTTCTGGCGCCTCCAGATTCTTCACGGTGTACACGCCCTCGTCCCCCTCGCCCACACTGTCTATGATGAGGTGGCTGAGGTGGCGGTTGACTTTGGCCCGATTGTGGACCACGTTGCCGCCCCGCATCAGGAACACGTCGCCCGCCCGCGGAGCGGACCTGTTGCGAAACGTGACATCCAGCGCCAGTGAGGGCAACATGATGTGGAAATCCTCCCCGTGGAACAACGTCATGGAGTCGCCGTCGTCTGGATGATGTGATGGACAACGGGACGGAGGAGGAGCAGACAAACACATTAGAGGGCCGTTCAGAATTCATCATTGATGAGTGACACACTCGGAAATGGATGTTCTGGAAAGTCTTACTTTTCACGGGCGCAGAAAGAGCTGTAAAAAAGTTGAATGAAAAAAAAGATCAAAATCTTTCATTGTTACTATTGAATACGGTGTCTGAAAAGCAGTACTTTTGAACACAGTTTATTACTTGCTCTTCTGGATTACTGGATCAAACTAAAATTAAACGATTTAGCAATTCAGTGTATTTTGATCAACCATTACTGGCAAAAGACTACGAGTAACGTAACGTACCTGTGGTGAGCAGAAAGCTGAAGGCGATCACGCTGACTGTCGCCATCTCAACTGATTTTTGGTTCCTAGAAAGGGAAAAGGAAGATGTGTGTGCGTTAAAATAAAGTATCTTGTTCTCAGGGAAACTGGTTTCTGACATCATTCCTGAATCAACCTATGGTGCAGAACCCATTGAGGCACAAACAGTGAACATCAACATACAGAAAATTGAAGTGCATCTTTTGCTTTGCATTCTTTGGAAGCAGGCAGGGGCTTTTAATCAGAAAGGGACATTTGACTTTATGCTAATTTGGGAATGTTGTGACTTGGAGTTAATTTAAAATATTGGCACAAAATACAGTCACAAACAAAAGCCCAAACGCTGCACCAACAGAGGTAAAACAAAAAAAATGTATCTTTGGTTTATTGAAAAAAGTTGTTAAATCCTTAATACAAATCTGACTGCAGCCAATGAAGAATACGTTTACATACAAGTGCTTCCTCATTCAACGGTATCACCAGCAGTACATCAAGGAGTAAATATTGCAGCAAAATTCTCTTTGCTCCAGAGACTGAAAAGCATATTTTGCAGCATGGCAAATCACCTGTGGTTTTAATTTAAAGAGGAAGCCCCTGTGCTCACCGTATCCAAGTGTCCTTACTGTGTGTTGCAGTCTCATAATAATTAAATGTATATGCCTCCTTATTCATGCATTCTCACTGTCTGTCTTTAATCTTCTCTTGTATATGTTATTTTAAGTGGATGGGTTAAGAAATCCATCAGGTTATTGAATCACAACAAACACCAAATATAAAAACCCAAGAGAATTTCGCAGACCCTGTACATTAAATTAATTTGCCATTTCCTGAAGGTTATTATTGGACTTGGACAAAAAAAACGCAAAAGTGCCACTTTTGTTGAGAAAACCAATGACGGTGTCACAATAATAGTAGAGAAAACCTGGGCCATAGGTAGTTTTATGTGTCAAAGTTATTGTTGTTAACGGCCATTACAACAGGCATTTCTGATATATAGATATATATATATAGAGATCCTTCCCTTTAAGTGTATGTGCATGTTTACCAGGGCAACTTGACTGTGGATCACTGGCAAGCAGTGTCCATTGATTATGTGCCTGGTCTTAAATAGAATAATTCATTTTGAGATAATTAAAATCATGGGGTCTTGGGTTACTCGACTCGGCGCCCTACAGAAAATGTCCAAAACAAAAAGAACCTGAGCACATTTCCTTCACCTTATTACGACCGTTTTGGAGAAGAAACAGGATTAAATGCAACCCCGAGGAGGCTGCGATGATGACAACTGAATTCTGCTACACTGATGCATCTGAGGCAACACATCAAGAGAATTTGTGCAATAGAGATTTTGCTGCAGTTTTCATTTACAAAGCCCAGGAGGGGATTTGGCGAGAACACCTGCAGTGCTCACAGTCACACTTTGCAGCAGCTAAAAACCAGGCTGTAAAGATAAAAATGTATCTCATTCCAACACAGGAGACTTCCCATTTTTTGCTGGATGTGACAAAGCATTTAGGCGTCTTCACACTGTGCATACGTCTGCCCTTTCTGTGTGTCCGTGTGTGATTGTGCATTTGTATTCTAAACATATTCCTAAACAGCAGAGAGGACATTTTCTTATAATCTGACAAACACCGTTTGCTAATTCACAGAAGGCCTCATACATCCCTTCGCATTATGTCTTCTACAGCACGACACTCGCGGCTCAAAATACCACTGATTTCATTGCATTTGAAACTAAATACGGAACAAAGCTTTAGTCCTATTACTTCAGTCACATTCCTTGTTTCGAGAATGGTTTTGTTTTCTCGTCTAGGTCTGAACCCTCGTGTGAGGCAACTGTATCCTGGTCTTCAAATTATAAAGCTGACTGTTGACCCCTGTAGCCATCCACATTTAATTAATGCAGCGATCGGAGATGTAGGTTGGCTCTGAAGGAGCAGATAAGTGAACCGAGTTATCTGCTTGTTCTGGTGTTTGTACGCAACATTTTGAGCAAGAAACCCAAAAGCCAATCCTTCATTTCTGTGTGACTGTGCAGGCTGCCTCACCGAGCACAAACATGCAAGCACACGAAAACACACGCAATAAACTATATTATAACTGGTTTATTCACACACTGCCCTCTGGGCTGTAAACCATGGACCCATCTGCTGTCTTTCCATAGCTTCCCCTCCCCTCGCTTCCCCCTTTTCTGACATTTTCTCACTTCAGTTACCATTCTCACGTCTGAAAGTGTTACTTTCTGCCACCGTTACGACCTGTTTTTTTTTACCGTTTAAACAGTAAAACGAAAATAAGGAAATACCATCGTTTTCTCGTTTTTGGTCTTAAATTTACAACTAAAGAGGATTCTAATACTGTATTCCAGCTCCTACTTGATACTAGATGACTGGTCTCAGCAGACCAGTGTTATTTTGCGGGAAATACATTTTAAGAGACTGTATGATGCTGGTGTGGCCATCATGCTAAAGAGCAGGTAGTGTGTTGCAATGGTTCCCAACCCAATTCCAGCCTGACGGTGTGAATCCAGAGATCACTCAGAGGGGTCACGTGACACGTAACATGGTAGCAAAGAAGAAAAGAGCAAAAATCAAGCTCTTTATTGCTCTTGTCTTGTGACATGGGGAAAATAATGTATAATGTTCTGACCTTTTCAGTCTAACCGTTCAATTTAGAATGGAAGTGTGACAAATACACCAAAACTAATGAACCAAACGACTCTATTCTTACACTGTCATTATGTTTTGCTTCATGAACAACACATGCTCACAACTATGGCTTCAAATGAACCATTTGTATCAAATAAAATAAACATTAGTATTAAATGCATCTCAGAAGATTTAAGACAATTAAACATTATTAAATCTATTTTTTCCCCCAGGAGTGACCTGGTTGAGCCGCTAGTTGTAAACCTACGTGACCTTACGTTAACACAGACGTGAGCCGCATCAGGCGCATCAACCACAAACAAGTTTTGTTGAGCGAGAGTCCTGACAACGACAGGGATTTGGATACCAATGTACCTGAGCCCCAGATATCAGCACAGCAGCACTCACAGATAATAACATTTACATTTACAACATTTTTTGCTCTTTTTCACTCTGGATCGCTTTCTCTATTTGATCATGTTTCCTCCTCCTTGTGTTATATAATCCGAGCCAGTGCATCCCACTCTGAAATCAAAGCCTGTGCCTGTGTTCCTTCTCACTCGAAAGCTCCCTACTCAGTGGAAGGACAGACATGTCTTTGTAGGCAAGGTTTAAAGAGGCGGAAATGCCTTCAAAGACTGCAGATGTGGCCCCACAAAGCCACCTCTGTGGCTTTACACTTCATCATTTCTCATCCTTTTTACCGTTTTTTGCATGAGTCATGAAGAGAAATGTCTCTTTGTGACAATGAGGCATGCTGGAAACGAGCACAAACACACATTTACAGAAATACAGATGCACATACTGCACCCTCCTCTAACAGCACCAGATATTCATAAATCATGAGTCAAAAAAAGGACTGGGAGGGGGGGGGGGGGTTGCTGCACAAAGAGACACATGTGGAAAGTGCCGGGAAGTTGAATTCTGGACCACTTTTAAACATGTGTTTGTGTCCCTTTACTCTGATTATCCCAGATAGTCCAAACTGCCAACGTTTGCGTCCCTCCAACACATCCCCCATTTCAGACCAGCACAGCAGAAGGAAATGATGCAAGGAAAATAAGCTCAAACAAGCAGAAGATCTCGTCTAAACCAAATCAAAATAGCCATTTCTCAAGTTGAGAGACCGCCTGCAGCGACGGGCAACCTACTTTCCTCAGAAGCAGTGAACTAAAGGGCGAGACAGGTTTCCAACATATCGCACCTGTCTGATTCATTAAATCCAGGGGAGATGAGGGTGGTGCCCGGAGTGGGGCGATGGAGCGGTGTACAGCACTGACGAATACACAAGAGCACAGAAGGTGAAGAATGTGGTCATTGTAAAGGATGACATTGTCATTTAGAGCCATTGATCGTGTTTGAGCAGCACACTGCAGCCTGAGGCTACACAGCCCTCTCGGATAATGGACGCTAATTAAGCTATTAGGTGTTAACTGTGCAGGACATATTGGTTTCTGACCAGACTTACTTACAGAAGAAGATGAGACTATAACATATAATAAAAATGCAAATTGTTCTATGACAAATTGTGATAATAAAAGTTGCATAATTCTTGGGATAATCACGGAATATATACGTTTTAATGTAAGCTGTTTGCATAAACAGTCAGATGACATCATCTTGCATCATACAACAAAAATAGATGTACATTATATTGAATCTCCCCGGCAGGATGAAAACGGAATGGAACCCAAAACATCCAATGATGGAAAAAACCGGCTCCATCCCGGGACCGTTTCATCAACCGTTCATCATTGACAATATAAATACATATATACATATATGTGTGTGTGTGTGTGTGTAGTGAGTGAGGAAGCTCACAGACACAAGGGCTGACCGGTCCCCTCCGGAATAGCAGAGAGGCGCATCAACCCAAAAAACCTGCAGAATTTAACCCTTCACACGCCGGTCACATCCCAGCAAAGCCGCCCGCACACGCATGTGAGCATCGCCTACCTCCAGCCGGGCGATCGGAGCCGGTCAGCGGACACGTCGGGCGGATTTCTCACAGGCGACTTTCTGTGTGGCGTCCGTCGCTTTTTTCCTCCCCCGTCGTCTCCCTCCCGTCCAACCTCGCCCCCCTGAAAAGCAGCACTTCACGACTCGGGCTCAACATTTGGGAGGTGCTGAGAATATGTCGGGCTCTGCTCTCTCTCTCCCTTCCTCCCTCTCCCTCCCCCTCTCTCCCTCTCGGAGACACTCGACTCGTGTCGGTAAACACCGGCCGCCCCTTCGCCCCGTGGAAACTCACCCACGGTGATCAGGCAGTGGGGTTTATTCAGGGAGGATGAGTGAGAGGATGCTGAGTCAGCAGAGAGCTGTGCGTCAATAAGTCAAGGAGGATAATTATGTGCTCGGATTACATTTGTGATGCATTGCTTCCCATCGTCTCTTTTCCAAATGTTCTACACATGGAGATAATTGATTGGTGGCTTGAATGGAATTTTCAACAAAAAGTTTTAAAAAAAGATGCTCATTCATGCAGTACAAACCACTCAAGACCAAAACATATCTGCGCCTCAGAGGTCCGATATAGACTTCAGAAAGGGAAGTCTGGAGTGTTTTAAATGACATAACAAGAAATCCTCTTGTTGGTTGATGAGTCCAAGCTCTTAGGGAGCAGACTGGGAGACTAAAGACCTGTTCATACAAGGTCCACTTAATGTTTCTGACGCTTTCAGAAGGGGTCAAGTCTTCTGAGCGACACATCAAAGCCTAAACTATCCAGTCAATAGTAACAAGGCTGATATGCCAATTAAAATAAATACAGAACTTAAACATAATATAGACATGATTTAATGTTTTCATCGGTAATCAAAAGATTTCACGGTTTGATTTCAACGTAAACTTTGGTAGTGAGACAGTTATAAAATCAAACTTAATTACAAGCTAGTGATGCCGACTTTAAAACACCAAATGATACGGAAAGTTCAAACAGAATATTTGAAGGTGGGTCAAGAAAGAAACCAAATGTGAGTTCTGTATACTGGTCCTTTTTTTAACATAATGACATGTATACATAAAGACAGATAAACGTTTGGCCTCAAGATATTAAAGTAGAAGCCGCATCAACATTCAGGTGCCGGTAGGTTGCGTCTCCTGACTGTAACAGGATTGGATGAAGCCGTAATGGAGTCGGTGGTGGTTAATGGAGCAGGAGGGATAAGACACACTGGTAGTTTCATGATTACTTTGTTATAAAAAGGCACGGTGCACTTTATCAGCATAGGAAAAAAGCTGTTTTTTCCCATTTGCTGGCTAGTCCCTATGTTCCACCATCCAAACATGATTATACGTCTCCCACTTGGATACTTGCTACCTGCCGAACTGGCTGATTGAGGCAAAGCACTTAGCACCCAAAGAGGTTAGCAGCAACTCACTGTAGGCCTGTTAATTCCTGCTCTACTTGTTATCGAGACAAAAAGAGGGGAAGACGGGAGGTGAAAAGTGACACGGACGGTTTTACTGCCCTGCATAGCAGCAACACCATCACAGCATTTGCAACTTTAAAACCTACATTGTTGTTTCTTCAACTGCAAAGGTAAAAAAAAAAAGGTACAATTGTAAGAACAGCTTCTTATGACGGACTTTCCAAAATGTAAGTTTCCAAAACGATCTTTCTTCCATCATTGCAGAATGCAATGCAACATCGACACTTAAGATACACACATGATACGTCCGCAATATGCTTCGATACATTCCTTAAGTCTTTCATAGTTTGCTCACAAATGTTTCTTAAAAGTCTCTGATTTGAAAGATAATTTATGTGGGACGAGAGTGTTATTTTTTTTTAACACAGTGCACCCAGGTGGGGCTAAGTCTTCTTCCTGCTCCTTCCCCTGCCGCCTGCAGGCTGCGGAGTATTTGCAGGGACAGAAAGTTTGTGGGTCTGAAGGTCAACTTTTTGCCGAAGGATCCCCGTGAGAATGAACTCAGCTGTGACCACCGGGACGGATTCAGAGAGCGCCGTGCCGCAGAGCGGCAAGTCCTCCTCACAGGAAATCACGACAGTCTTTGGCTGAGGAGAGGGGAGTACCGAATGGTCACAGGTATGTCGGATGATAGAGGATTCATTGTGAGTTCTGAGGGAGAAGGTTTACCTTGTGAGAAGAGGGCATTTTGGGAAGGAAGGTAGCTCCACTGCACGAGATGATGTCTTTCATGTGAACAGGCTCTGGTTTCACGGACTTAGTGACATGGATCTGATAGCCCTAAGAGAAAGAGAAAAGCAGACAAGAGATGACGCACAGGACATGTGTCTCTGCAAATCAATACATGGATCTTAGGATTGGCATTTTGTGTTTCATGTGTTTAACTTGCCCAATTTTAGCCAGTACAAGCACAGCATGTGCTATCAAAGTGTCTCTGATACTGATCTGAACTCTGTTACAGCAATGGAATCATTACCATCCGCAAAGTGCCCATTAAACATAATCAGTGCATTAACGACAAATGTAAAATTACTGCCCACAAGCTAGCGTCTAATGGTAAACAATCATCCCTGTGCTCATGAAAAGGTTTAGTTTGTGTTCAACTACAAAGGTGCTGAGATCAAAGCAACGCTCGGTGGTAAAAAGTCGGCTGAAGATGATTCTGACGCGAGTATGTGTGGATGAAACCACGACTCGCTATTCGTCACTGCGTCATTATCATCCACCAACCGCGTGCCATCTGACAAGGGAAATGCCACAAAGACGCAGTCAACCGGTCTCGAAGAGAATAAATAGCACAGAAATAGATGGTATGACGGTGTTACCAGTACCTGTAAGAGACGCTGACTGCTGGCAATCCCCAGGGAATCCTGCAAGCAGAAACTGAACTTCTTTTCCTGCTCTGGATCCTTCACAACAAACGCATTAGGAGACAGGAAGCTCCCAGCCTTACCACTCTGAAACACCGGGAGAGGGGAGCGAGACAACAACGAGATGAGCGTCTATGACAGTGCAGTATTTGTGAAGATGTAGACACACATTCGTCTTATCAAGTCGTAACCGCTGGTAGAGACACCGACCTTTTCCAGCCAGTGCGTGGTGACAATGGGGACTCCTTTGGCCAACGCACACAGGAACTTGACGGTCCTGCGCACCTTATCGGTCACCAGACAGTTCATGTCTGCCACTCCTTCGGCCATGCTGCCCCCCAAACGAGCCAACACTCGCTCCCCTTCTTCGTCCACCACACCTGTGAACAGCACCTAAGAGGGGGTTGTTAAGAGGTCTAAAGCCCCGTTCGCCCACAGGAATTTTACTGAACACGTTTACGGTAATTTGTCATCATGGGAAATTACAAAATGTAGGAAACAGGGGCATTAAAACAAATCTTGCTCTGGTTCCTGGAACGTTAGCAAGGCCTCGCCATGCACGTAATCACACATTGATGAATTTGTTTGTAGCATCGGATTGGTCCAAATTAAATTATCACTCCTAATGAATAACATCTCTAGGTTTGCTTAGAGTAGAGCCAAGCCATTATTGGGTGAAACTGTAGCTCAAAAGCAACTATTTATTTCCCAAAAACAAACCAAAAAAAAAAAAGATTTGATAGAAACGCTATAATCGCCATTGATGTCAATGAATAGGAAACAACATCCTTTTTAAGCAGCTGCATGCCGACTAGGGAAGTAATGCATTTGATCCACATTGGGAATGTTAAACCTGCGTCCTGAAGACAAAAGTAAATGTTCTTTGGCATTAGGAGGGTGTGTTGGATGTGAGCTATGTCTGCACCGATCTGTTCTGTAAATAATACTTTACACTGGTTCTGCTGTTAATGTGTCCCCCATCTGTAAAAGCCCTGTCCAGGTTGTTCCTGTTGAGTTCAAACAAGACCCCCCACACTGAATACAAAGATAAATATACTTAGACAAATATACTTAGACAAAGCACTCAGCATAGCATGTGATTGCCAAATTTCCCCCTTCTGCATTATTTTGACAATGTCCCAAATACGCCCACACACGGGTACAAAGACCTATCGAACCTTGTAGGCCTGTCTGGCAGCTCGCAATTGCCCCCCGGCGGCCGGCGAAGCAGAAGAGGAGCGAGGGGTCTTTGCCACGGGCGAGGAGTCCGTGAGAGCTTGTCTCTTCCGGGACGCGCTGCTGGACGGAGTCTGGGGCTGTTAAATGGCAGAGAGTTTGGGGGGGAGTTAAGGACATATAACAGACAAGGACAAGCATGAAACATACGAGGAGAATGATGAGTGATGTGTGCTGCCATGAAAGCACAGATCTTAAAAATGAAAAGAGTCCAAAGTGACTGTGAGACCGCTCAACCACTTAGTTCATTAGCGTATTAATGTTGATGCAGGTCAGGCCAGACTACTCTGGTTGCTGGGAGAGTTGGAGAGAGATGCAGGCCGTCCCTGACGTTGATTACCGTACATTATGATGGTTGGAAAGGCTGACTCACAGAGGAAAATGCACCAGAGCCTTTCCCCTGTAAAAGTGAAAGGCTTCCTCTTCAAGGACAGAAGACATTCGCGGACACTAATTATACACTACTCGGCTTTGCATTTGGACGGATTCATTCTTCAGCCATAATCTACTTTTGTATATTATGAACCTTTCCAAAACATGTTAGAAAGTAAAGAAGGGATTAATTCACCTCTGATGCCTCCACATGTGGATCCAGGTTCCTTTCTTCCTGCTTCTCTTTCTTCAGTTTCTGGACCATTGATGGACGACCTCTGACTCTCCTACGCACTGTCCCCTCCTCCATTTCCTCGCTCTCTTCTTTCACCTCCGATTCAGCAGAGGAGTCTTTTGCCTTATTCTTAGCTTGAGCGCTGGATGCTCTCCCTCTTCTCATAACTTGGACTTGTGCTGCCTCGATTGTTTGGGCTTCTGACATTTTGGAGCTCAAGCTGGAATCCTCTTCTGCGTTCGCCTTTGACTCTCTTTTTCTCCCTTTGGTTTTCTCCTTAGCCTCCTCCCCATCACTGACTGCAGGAGCTACTGGTACCTCCACAGTCTCACCCTTGACTGCTTTTTGGCCTCTGCCCAAGACATTCCTTTTAGGCAGAGGTGAATCTTTCCTGGCAGACATTTGACTCGAAGGGGACTTCTCATCTGCGGGTTTAGGCTGATTAGCATCAGCTCGCTGTCGCCCTCTAACGGTAGCAGCCGGCCGAGAAGGTGCTTCTTCTTTCTCCTCCTCTGGGGGGACTTCATTGGAGGTTCCCTCTGCTGTCCTACTTCTCCTTCCTCTGGTTGTAGGTTCGAGAGCCACATTCCGGCCACTCTGCTTATCGGCAGGAGGGACGGAGTCGGACTCAGTTTTCCTCCCTCTTCCTCGCTGCCTCCCGCCTCTTCCTCTGCTGTGAGAGCTCGGGCTGCCGCTGGAAATCTCAGCGTTGGACCTGGAAAGGACTCCCTGGGGAATGAGAGCATAAATGTCCCGTTGTGTTGGCTCTGCAGCGACGGTCCTTCTCGTGCTGCTCCTGGCGACGGCGGCCTGCCTCTTCGCCCCTCGGCCTCTCCCACTGCTCCCCTGGGTGCTCACACTTGAAACGGACCTCTCTGAGCTGACCGAATTGGAAGAGTTGGAGCGAGATCGGGTTCTCCTCGCCGGGACGTCATCGCTGGCTGATGTGGTCGGGTCTTGTTGCCCTCCTGGTGTCCTCCTGGCCGTTCTTCGAGCTGTTGGGGTTGTTTTGGGGCTGTTTTTATCTTTCTTGTTTCCTTGTTGTGCTTTTGTTTGTTTTTCTTTGGCCTCTTTTTCTTGTTCGTTCCTCTCCCTCTCGAGTCTTTCTTCTAGTTCCCTCTTTGCTGTCTTCAATCTCTCTTTTTCCTCCTCCTCCTTTCTTTCCTTCTCTTCTCTCTCCGCTTTTTTGCATTCTAATCTCACTTTATCCTCATCCTCCTTTCTTACCTTTTCTGTTCTCTCCTTCTCTTCTCTTGCTGCTTTTTCGCGCTCTAACCTCTCTTCTTCTTCTTTCTCTCTTTCCTTTTCTATTCTCTCCTTCTCTTCTCTTGCTGCTTTTTCATGTCTCTCATTTTCTTCCTTCTCCTTTCTTTCCTGCTCCAATTGTTCTTCTCTTTCCTTTTGTGCCCTATCAGCTATTTTCTTTTCATCTTCCTTTCTTTCTCTCTCTATTCGCTCTTTTTCCGCTCTCTCTTGTTCACGTCCTAACTTTTCTGCATCTTCAGCCTGCAGTCTTTCACGCTCTTCTTTAACTTTTCTTTCCATTTCCAATTGATACTGTTCTTCCCTCCCTTTCGGTTTCTTCAGGTTGTCGTTATCAATGTTTTTCCTTCCCGTTTCAAGCGTTTCCTCATCTTCCCTGCTATCTTTTGGATGCATCATAAAGGATTTCCCTCTGGCTTGTTTGTCTTGCTCTATCTCCTCCTCTTTTACACCCTCCTCCTCATCAAGCCTTGCTTTTCCTCTCCTCACTGTAGGAGTAGTACTCGGCAAAGCCTTCGTCGCCCTGCTGGTCCGTCTCTTTGGAGGCTCAGAACACTCTGCCTGCTCCTCTTCTTCTCTTCGTCTGGCCCTTGTTGTTCTTCTCCCTCCAACAGTTGTGCCACTGGTTCCAGCTTCGGTTTGTCTACCTCTTCCCCTCGGTGGCGGGGTGACAGTTTTAGTTTCTTGGGTAGAGCCCTCTCCCTGAATTGGCTTTGCTCTTCTTTTCCGTGGACCCGGAATTAACTCCTCATCGTCACTTTCTCTTTCTTCCCCTGCGGCCACAGGCTGAGCCTCAACAGCAGAGACTTCAGACGCTGTGAGGGGATGCGTCTCCTCTTCTTCAAGTGGCAGTGACTTTGCTTTTCTCTTTCTAGGACCTGGGGGGGTGTCTCCATCATTTCTTTGCTCACTTACGCATGTAGCCGACAGCTCAGTTTCAACAACTGCGGAGCTTGCGAGGGGCTGCGCCTCGTCTTCGAGTTGCAATGGCTTTGCTCTCCTTTTTCGTGGACCTGGAGCAGAGTCCTCTTCATCACTTTCTGAATCTTCACATGTCTCCACTGGCTGAGTTTCACCAGTAGAAAGCTCAGAGTTTGCAGGTGTTTGTGTCTGCAGTTGCTTTGCTTTTCTTTTTCGTGGACCTGGAAGTGAATCCCCAACATCACCGTCCTCCTTTCCACTCGTAGCCACGGGCCGAGCTTCAGCTGGACCAGTGTGCATTGGCTGCGTGTCAACAAGTGATAATTCAAATTTTGCGAGCGTTTGTGTCTGCTCTTCAAGCCGCGGTTGCTTTGCGTTTGTTTTTTGCGGAAACAATTCCTCACCATCAATTTCCTCATCCTCACTGACACGCATGGGCTGAGTTTCAGCCACAGGTTGAGCTGCCTCCACCTGTTCCTCTTTCTCTTCTGTTACATGCTGTGAGCTGGACTTGACTTGTAGTACAAAGGGAATAGGATTTGTGTGATCCAAACTCTCCTCCTCCTCCTCCATCTCCATGTTAAACATTGGTTGGGTTTCAGCCAAAGCAATAGAAGTAGATGAGGTGAAGATGTGGAAAGGCTGAGTCTCAGCGGCAGCAGTGTTTTCTCTCTCATCTTCATTGGTTTCAACCTCCGAATCACGGTCAGGCTCGGAAATAAAAGCCTGTGTTGCTTCTAGGGCAAAATCTACATGACCCTCTATGGCAGACTTTTCTGAACATCTGGCTGGTTCCTGATCATCTTCATGTGCCTGCAGATTTGAATCGTTATCTGAGGAGGCTCTGTCTCCATATGCTTGGGTATCTTCCAGATTCACACCCTCCACCGCAGACACAAAAGCTTGGGTGCTCTCTGTTGCTAGAGCTTGGGCCTGACCCTCCAGGTGGCTGCTTTGAGACAATCCCAGCTGGAAAGCCTCTCCTCTAATGGACTGTTTGCATGTTTCACTAACAGAGGACTGGATGGGGTCCTTGTTGTGGACCTTTGAAGTGCTTCCCTGGCAGTCTCTGGTAGGAAGAAGGAACGACTGGGTCTCAGCCACAACACACAAGTTGTCCTCCGGGCCGGCTGAGCAGGGAGACAGGGATATAGGTCTTAAACCTGGGAGACAGAGAAGACCAAATAAAGACGTCTGCCTCAGGTTTAAATGAATAGTCCGATATACCCCTTGGTTTATAAAACAGACATAAAGTTATATGTCAAAAGTAATTGACTTACGTCCAAATGCGGCAATCGGGAAAGCCTGAGTCTCCATATCTTCCAGTTCTCTTCCTGGAACCATTCCAAAGTGAAAATAATAAAATTAGTATCTAATAAAAGACCATTTAAAGAGGCATATATGTCAAATTAAAATGGCAAACAACTTATGCAGTAGATAAAGTCTACAACATGAGAAAAGGATGTTCACTTTAAATGGATCACTGAAAAAAGTGAGTATCTGTTTTTGATTATTTAGAGTCTTGCTTGCTAAAGTCATTAATGACCAGACATTGTGAGGTCTTTCTATTCAGAGTGCAAAAAATGCATATCTTTCTTCTTTCTATAATATTGTTAGTATTTTTGTGCATTGATTGTGTTTAAGTTGTGTTTATACACCTGGGAATTTCTGATATAACAAAGAGAAAATGATTGGCAAATGAAAAAGCACTGAACAGCACCTGACGACTGGACAGGAGTAGAGCAGTTCTGCTGGAGGGGAACCAACAACCCGGGAGTATTTTCTCTGCGCAGGCTTGGAATCTGGTTCTCACCTGCCTTCTCCTCATCCTCCACATCCGTGTCACTGTCCACTCTGAGGTCGGCGGGATCGACCCCATCCCCAGCAGGGCACCCGCTGGATTCATCAACATCCCTGTCTGCACCGGAATCTGACTGGAGAGCTTCTGACATTATACTAGGATTGGTGGACCAGTTTGAGGCAACAGCGGGTGTGAGCAGAGAAGAGTCGTCTTCCACATCGGTGTCGCTGTCAGACAGAAAACCTAAAACGGCTCCTAAATCTGCAGTGACGACGGACTCCGCCACAGCAGACACCACCGAGAGTTCCCTGATGGCCGGGGCGGGAAAAGCGCCATCCCCTGTCTCGCTGTCGAGTGTTGATTCCAGCCCGGTTGGATGGATATCTAATCTAGTGGGAGTTTCATCTATTTTAAAGCACACACTATTTTTCCCACATTGATTTTCTTCTTCCTCCTCCTCGATATCTGTGTCACTGCCCAGGTGGAAATTGTTGCCCTGCATAGAAGGGGAAGACACAACTGCGTCTGTGCTTTGAAGCGGGGCTGTAGCAATAGCAGCTTCTGACACCGCATCCTCGTCCACATCAGTGTCGCTGTCGAAGGTGATGCCTTCTGGCTGAACAACTGAAATCACATGAAGCGGTTTAGTGCGGTCCGCAGAGGAAGGCAGAGGTTTTTGAACATCCTCATCGACATCGGTATCACTATCTATATAAAAATGAACAGCTTGTTGGTTTGCATTCAAGGTCACTGGGCTTGCAGATGCCACTCTGTCCTCCTCTCCCTCCACATCAGTGTCACTGTCCATGTCAAGCACAGGGATCGCATCTGTCAAGAATGTCGCTGAAGATTTGGGCAATTCATTCTCTCCAGTAAGGCTGACATTGCTTTCCTGTTTCCCTGACACATGGTGTTCACTTTCCTCAGGGTTACTCCCCGCCAGTGCTGCTCTTTCTTCCTCCTCTTCTTCATTGTTGTTGTCCATGTTGACTCCAAGCGTGTTTTCGTTCTTTAGCTGCTGTTGGCCCATCTCAACGGCGTGGTCCTCCTTACTGAAGCCGACATGTATGTGAGGCCTGTTTTTAGCCAAGGACGGCGGTGTGATGGGACTTTCATCCTCACTATGAAACAGTGGAAAACAATGTGACCAGCATTATATTTAGAAATGTAAAAAAAAGACAATTGACTGTTTTGATGAACATACTTGTTTGTCTTACGAGTTAATATGTGGTGAAAGTACATATTTAAAAAAATAAAAAAATAATAATGTAATGATTGCTATTATACCTTTCAGGGACAATTTTGTTTGTGGGACTCAGGAAGGTGGAACAGACGGGACCTGATTCATGGAAGTCAGAATTGGACACTGAAAAAACCCCCAAAAAAACATGCATAACCTGTGATAGAAAAAACGCCTTCATTTCTGTAAATATTTTAAACTTTTCCATACCAAGAGCCTTGCGCCTTCCGTCTCCTCTGCTATCGTCTGAGTCCGAATCAGATTCTGGGACCAGGGTCCCCTGTGGGTGCGTTGGAGTTTGCTCAAAGGACAAGCAACTGGTCAACACAGAAGTCTTCCCACTGTCCTCCTGATCAGATAACAACACACCAGCCTCTGTATCCCCATTGACGCACCTCTTGCTGCCTGTGCTTGTGTCACTTCCCTCTTCTCCCGAGCCATCGGGCGACTCGGCATTCGCCCCCGAATGTTTGCCCACAGAGGCCGTCGTGTCCCCTTCCGACGAGTCAACAGTGCAGCTGACATACTGACACGGGACGTCTGCCACCACCAAACCGTCACCTTCGCTGAGGGCATAGCGTACATTAGGGGTCAGCTTTAAGTGGCCCTTGCGGGTCCCGTTCATACTCCCTCGGTCCCAGATCAAAGCCTCCATCTCCGCTTCATTGTGACGGCCTCTTCTCCTGTGGACGGAGATGCAGATGGTGGCGTGCTGCTTGGAGATAGAGGGTGCTGGTAGGGGCACGGTGCAGGTGCTGGGGTCACGGCCCAACACATTGTCGCCCAGAAAGAGGGGCATCTCTGTGTGCCAGAGGACGATAGACAACGTTAGATCTCTTTACGACGGTTGAATCGGCAGAGCATCGGTGTAATAACAGCAGCAGTGAGCCCACTCACCTGTCTCAGGGATGTGTTCATTTTTTAAGACCCACAGCTTAGCCAAAGGTCGCCCCCTCTTGTTTTCGATCTCCCCTTTATTTTCTTCCTCATCTGACTCCAAGATTGAGTCACTGAGTATTTGCGTGGAATCCATTCCTCTATTTAAAGACAGGCAACGTTAAATAACGTCCAGCTTCAACTGCCACTGAAAACAGCAACGTTAAGGCAACTTCATGCGGCTAACGTTAGCCTAAATAGCTAATTTCACTATTTAGCTTATAATGTCGTGCTAACTTCCACTTTGGAGTGTAATGTAACGTTGATTCAAGTTATATCCAACATGTATTTACGTGTCAGTGAATACTGCACATCTTACAGCAATTACAATTCCAGTCAGCATAACAACAAAACAAAAGAAAGACGTTTAGGTTTAAGCTAACGTCACTTGAAGAAATGTAATATCATAAGTTAATCTTATGGGAAGCCTGACAACCTACTGTTTAGTTACCGTTAACTATCAGGGCAAATAACCTAACGTTAGCTGGGAAATACGCAAGAAGTTTAACATTAAGAGATGATACGTGGGGCTTAAACGGCAACATTTCTAAATAAGCTTCATATTGCCATCTGGGTATTTTACAATATTGCCTTCGCATATTAAGAACAAGGTTGTATTTGAATACCATGCCTACCTTACACTGTTCTCAGTGGAGACACAATAAAAGAATATAAACATGGACATCCTGGAAGGAATGGACCACGCCCACAAGAGGCATCGTAATCGCAAGTGATTGGCCAATACACCAATCAGTCACATCAAAGATCTCTTACCATTGGTCAAATAGACCCGAGTCCGATTCAATATAAGAATGATTGGACCAAGATTTCCCGCACAAACAAATCTTAAAGGGGCCACCCCACTGGTTCAACTCCCTAACCCTATTCCATTATTCAGAAATATTTACATTGTGCAGAAGTTCAAATCTACTTCTTTGTTTTTGTTATCAAGAACTTTTAGATTTGTTCTACATTTGGCGAAGTAGTCCAAAGAGATTGTATTTGTTAGTAAAGGTCGGGTATAGTTTTTTTCCTATAATCCATTTTTATGTAACAGTGTTTTAATATTTGCTGTTCTAAAGCACATAGGGCCTTGAGGTATGTTTTATTACTGAAACATTGAGAACCTGACTTGAGAATATTTAAGCATTCCATATAAAGTATGCAACACTGTACAACAGTATGTGGACTGCACTTTTATATTAAGATCATCTAAAATGCTACCAGAGTGCAGTGAACATGTGTTCACAGATTTGAATCAAAGAAGTGGGAACGTGACTCTGCAAATAGAAAACAATTGGTCTTACTATAGTCTTGCAAACTGGTCATGCCCCACAACGTTTTGGAGTAGCTAACACACCTCCAATAAATATCACATTAGATCTACTTTGTGTCAGCAGTAATACTTCAAGCTTATTTAACTGTTTTATCTCTAAATACGCATGAAACAGACAGTCTTATCCATGCATAACAAAATGCAATAATGCATGCTTTTTTTCCTAACTGCAGTAAACACCACATGAACCTGCTGACCTCAACATGATTAACATTCATCTATCTCTGGAAAAATGCCTTAATATTCAACCCTTTAGTTTTTCCAGGTTTGGATATTATATTGAGATACGATGGCTGATTTGTAGTTGATGTTTTGTCAGACAAAAATGTAATGCATTGACGAAAGGCAAACACGTTTTTTTTAATACTTTATTTGCACTGAATCACAATTGATATCTATGCTAAAGTTTAATTCTAGAAATGCTCAGACACTATGTTTTTTCATCGTTTACTAAGTTGGTATTCTATGTTATTCCTTTTTCAATTTAGTCATTAGTGACATGACCTTCCCATTTTCGTCTTCAAGCGTCATCTTCAGCCTCCTCTTCAAATTCACCCTCTTCCTCAGCAGTGGCATCCTGGTACTGCTGATACTCCGACACCAGATCATTCATGTTGCTCTCTGCTTCGGTGAACTCCATCTCATCCATACCTTCACCTGTGTACCAATGCAAGAAGGCCTTGCGGCGGAACATGGCTGTGAACTGCTCTGAGATACGCTTGAAGAGCTCCTGGATGGCTGTGCTGTTGCCAATGAAAGTGACGGCCATCTTGAGGCCACGGGGTGGAATGTCACAGACGGCGGTCTTCACGTTGTTGGGAATCCATTCGACGAAGTAGCTGCTGTTCTTGTTCTGGACGTTCAGCATCTGCTCGTCGACTTCCTTCATGGACATGCGTCCGCGGAACACGGCGGCTACGGTCAGGTAGCGTCCGTGACGCGGGTCGCACGCGGCCATCATGTTCTTGGCGTCGAACACCTGCTGGGTGAGCTCGGGGACCGTGAGGGCTCTGTACTGCTGGCTGCCTCGGCTGGTCAGGGGGGCAAAGCCAGGCATGAAGAAGTGCAAACGGGGGAAAGGCACCATGTTGACCGCAAGTTTGCGAAGGTCAGCATTGAGCTGGCCGGGGAAGCGCAGGCAGGTGGTGACCCCACTCATGGTGGCCGACACCAGGTGGTTAAGGTCTCCGTAGGTGGGTGTGGTCAGTTTCAGAGTACGGAAGCAGATGTCGTACAGGGCCTCATTGTCAATACAGTAGGTTTCATCCGTGTTCTCTACAAGCTGGTGGACTGAGAGGGTGGCATTGTAGGGCTCAACCACCGTGTCTGAAACCTGAGGACAGTAAACACACAGAAGCGTTCTTCAGTCTCATGATCTCAGAGGACAAAAACCTACGGCGAGATGAACTGAAATTCTTGCGCTGTATCACAAGGGTATATTACCTTGGGGGAAGGCACCACACTAAAGGTGTTCATGATTCGGTCGGGGTACTCCTCACGGATCTTGCTGATGAGCAGGGTTCCCATACCGGACCCGGTTCCTCCACCAAGAGAGTGAGTGAGCTGGAAGCCCTGCAGGCAGTCACAGCTCTCTGACTCTTTGCGGACCACATCTAGGACAGAGTCCACCAACTCAGCGCCCTCTGTGTAGTGACCTTTGGCCCAGTTGTTTCCAGCACCGCTCTGACCTGGAGGAGAAGGAGTGACATACAGGTGAGTATGTCCTTGCTCATAAGGAGGCGTAAGTCATCCAGTATCAAGAGAAATTCACTGTAGTTCACCCACCAAATACAAAATTGTCAGGTCTGAAGATCTGCCCAAAGGGTCCAGACCTCACAGAGTCCATGGTGCCAGGTTCCAAGTCTACCAGGATGGCTCGAGGCACATATTTGCCGCCTCCACGATGAAGTGAAAAGGCAGAGAGAGAGAAAGAAGAACATACAAATTCAATTAAGTTTGATTTGTACAGCTGAAATTCACTAATCACAATTTTTCCTGGAAGGGCTTTACAATCTGTACACATGCAACATCCTCTATGCCGGGACTCTCACATTGGTTCAGGAAAAAAACCGCCAACACCACATTTTTAAATGGACTTTTAATGTGAGAAAATCCATGAATGACAGCGGACATGAGTATGCAACAAAAGTTATTATTCAGGACAAACCAGAACTGAGCATGTGTATAGATGATAACTCACCAGTGGCCTCATTGTAGTAGACACTGATCCTGTCCAGCTGCAGGTCACTGTCTCCGTGGTAAGTCCCTGTGGGGTCGATGCCATGCTCATCGCTGATCACTTCCCAGAACTGTGGACAAAAAATGGGAGGTGTCACTTGACGTTTTTTTTTCCAAAGAAAGTACACATGTACAGTATCCATTGAGGATTAAACTGTGATTTGATGGACTGGGGAACTTAAATGGGAAAAAACAACAATGGGTTTGCATTTTTCCAGATTTCACAAAACCATATACTAACACATTAAATACAATTCAGCTGTTCAAATGACCAGCTTTTTTCTGTCACATTATTGAGTGATGACCGAGCAGAATGCGCTTCTTTCACATTGAAGATGCAAAGGAGGGAACACAAAGGGGCGAGTGACGCTGAAAATAAACTCCCACTGAACTGCAGACACTGCTTGCCTTCAGATCTGTATTCATGTCATGTTCGCTTTTTAAAGACCTCCCACACATTGTGTATGCATTAAAGCCCATTAGCAGGCGAGCCACATTTGCTTGCACTAATGTATTTTAAATATCTTAAGGTCCTTTTTTGGTCATTTCTGCAAACAGCAGTAGGGGGATTTAGAGTAATCTGCATAATCGGGCTGTATTGCTGCTCAGCATTTAAGAGATTGGTGGTGAGCCGTAGTCTGAGTATCATTACATCTTAATACAGTAAGACCCTGTAAAACAAAAATGACTAAGTGACCTCAATAGCCAGAGGAAGAGAGCCAGAGGAAGAGAACAAAGAACGACCAAAACACGGGAAAAATCCCTGATAAATGACTGTGGGCCAGTAGATGTCTATTAGTAAAGACTGAAAATGCATATAGTGAAAGAATGGGGACAATAAGCAGCAAAGCAATGCCACACCCTGACCTAATTCACCACAGTGCGGCTCTTCAGCAATCCCGTCAATCATATACATCGGACATCAGAGTCAGTGAGTTCACAGGGACAAGAAACAAACAAATGACAATTTCCTAAACATGCAGTTTACATTCTGTGGTGCAAATGCCTTCAAATTCAAAGAAAGCATAATTGTTAAATGTTGTGATATATCGAGTAGCCATAAGGCACAGCCAGCTCCCACTGTGCATCAGCTGTTTCCTCCATTCCTCCCCCACCCCGGCCCTAATGTGTTTAAGGGAGGAAATAAATTGATTACACAGACAGGCCCTGCTTTACATGAAATATCCGTCAGCAGAGCTTCACAATGATAGCGATATATCCTGTACTACACGGGCAATCGTTGTGTGGTCTCTAAACTCTATTTGATTAGGGAAAGATTCCTATGTGTGTGCGTGTGTGTTTCCATTCAAACATATATTCTCTGTAACAAATTATCATGTGTAAGAAAAAAAGGAGGTAATAAAGGCCATAAAGACGTGGCAGACTGCTACCGTCACTGTAAGATGCAGACTGTAGGGCCCTATTAAAGAGACTAGTCTCAAATGTATTCAAATGAAATACAAAGTTGAAGAAGGATGAATATTTAATTGATTAAAGCACTGATGATGTCACTCAGGATATTCACCTCAGCGGTCTATTTTAAAATGAACAACTCTTAACAATCCTCCCTGCCACACCCTTCCCACTGGCTTTTCTGTCTGAACAGCTGATGCAGCCCATCTACAACCTGCAGGGGAAGAAAATCGGATCAATGTGGACTATTGATGCATTAGCCTTTTGGGGGAACAATTGATCCCAACCTGCTATCCCAGCTCCCCTCCCACTCATTGTCTGAGACACCAGCCCTTCGTGGGAACAAGACAAAGACCCCAGTGCAGAATACTGACTGAGGGGTTCCAACGAGGGAAGAATAGACTTGGGGTTTTTTTCTTCTTCTTCTCCTTTCTTGTCCCCCAGACAATATCTTGAGGTCAGCTGAATGCTCAACTGTTGAGGCGCAGACACGCCCTGTGTGGTGTGAACAAAACCGGGCGAGACACAAGCGCCCCGTTATAGCGTTATTTCAATGGGAGCGCGCACGGTGCGCCTCTCCGCGCCCACCGGCCACCGCAGTGCTGCACGTTCACACAGAAAAGCGAGCACACACAAAAAAAGAAAGAAAATCAGCTCATACAAGTGATATTTTATGATGTGCTGTGTGTATGAACACGGAGAGTTCTATAATTTATGAATGTAATTTTAATTGAATTAATGCATAATGAGACAAAAGGAGTCCTTTGTCTTCTTACACAGCCAAACACTCATCTACATAATGACTTTAAAGAGCTTTATGGGTGTGTCTTGCATTATGAGCCGGTGTTTTTTGTGTATTTTTTCCTTGTTTTTTTACTGCGAAAGGAAATGTTATGTCTTCCAAAATGTAATACACTATTACTAGTTGTATTTGTATGATTTTTTTTTTTCTTACCTTGGCCCCGATCTGGTTACCGCACTGGCCGGCCTGGATGTGAACGATTTCCCTCATAGTGGCTGCGAAAATTTGACACGGGAGAGCAGACGAAGTGTCTTCGTGGGGACAAGGAGCCGACCCAGGACTAATGTAGAAAATGCACACAATGAATTTATAACGTTGGAGCGTTTCCAGAGCGAGGCGGGGCCGGGGGGAGTGGGCGTGTCTAGACCCCACACCCAGCTGCTGTTGCGAGCGCTGATTGGCTGAGAAGGTCGTCCCGGGGGCGGGATGAGGAGGAGCGCCGTAGATCCGGGTGCGGAAAAGATACAGAGACTGAACAGCATGTTAGCAGCTGCTGTGCAGTACGAGCCGGTGATTGACAATTTTTTTATTTTCATTTTCATTCAGTCGTTTTCTATCATTCTTCTTATTGTAACACTCCCTGCAGACTAGGCAGATGTCAGATGTTTCAGTTTCAAGCCAGGGACGAGATGGGGTCAGACAGCTCAAGCCCCCTCTCCTCAGGCTCCTTTGTCTCACCATAAGACCCATTTAGTAGCAGTGCTGGAGTTGTTGTTGATGACGAAGTTAAGAACGATTTTATTCTGTCAAACTGTCGATTCGGAGTCCCGTTGCACTGACATATGGTGCATTTCTTCTTCTAAGACCACTTTCTAAGATAAGATATGGGACTCAATGATGGTGCCTGTTGATGTCATCGATGGATTTTTAAATAAGAACCGTATTCAATAGCAGCATAGAATCTAGCAAACACGCGCGGTGTAAACACGTTTCAGTGTTAGAATAGAGTATATGAGTTCCGTTGGGGGATGGTACATGTATGTGTTAGGGTGGGTTCTTAGTGACCGGGGGGAAGGAGCAGCCAGGTCACATTCAACAATTTGACCGCTCTGTGTAGGCCGCCTTTTTTTGGTCAGTGTTTTCCTGTTATGCCTCCCAGAGAGGAGAAGTGACTTCACTCATCCTCGCCTCAACTACCTGTACAAATGAAAAAGAGGAACCTTTGCTCTGTAACCTCACACATGTGGCGAAGAGTCTGAGGCCGACGGTTGAGGTCTGGGGAAAGTGGATAGTGTGTGTGAGCAAGCTTCCCTGCAGCTCCCGTCAGACAGGAACAAATCCACAATCCTCCATGTCTGTGTCATAATCAGATTACAGTTAGAGGACTGGTGTGTTATGACCTAATCTCTGGTGATGGATGATTATAATATGTTCAAAAGCGCCTGCCTAGTCCTGAATTTATTTTACCAATAGAATCGCTCATCTACTGATTTTAATTGTAATAAAAGATGGCTGCAATTGTGCATATTTAAAACTATTAGGTCTTGATACATTAAACATCAAACACATGTTGGTTCACATATTGTTCTACTACATTCTTCAATCATGCAGAGGAGTACTAATATATAGCAGATGGGCTGACTCTTTACATGTTTTGTGTTTTGTTAGGTGAAAATTCATGGTGATTGTTTAACTCTTTTTATCTCAGACAGATGATGTATAGGCAACTACTTCTAAAATCATGTCATAACCCCGCAAAATATTTTGTTTCAAATCTGACCTTCAGTTCAAAACCATCTTAAAACCTTCATGGCGGAGCAGGTGCATTACATACACACAGAGAGACAGACAGACAGACACACAAATAGATAATATAAATAGACAGATAAATAGAAAGATAAATGGATAGATGAATACATAGATAGATAAATGGATAGATAGATAGATGGATAGATAGATAGATGGATAGATAGATAGATAGATAGATAGATAGATAGATAGATAGATAGATAGATAGATAGATAGATAGATAGATAGATAGATAGATAGATAGATAGATAGATGAATGGATGGATAGATAGATAAATGGATATATAGTGCAGTTATCACAGCCAACCACTAGGTGGCGACTAACAGCCGACCTTGAGTCGTGACGATGGGCGTGGTCACTGCACACGTCCCTCTTCTCAGACATTTTTGCAATTTCAGTTGACGGGAAACGGTTTAGTGTTTGATCGTCGCTGCGTCGATCTACTCTTTTTTTTAAAAAAAGATCTTTTCTTGTGGTGACGCACTATCGGTAAGTTGAACAGGGCGATCGCTGTGATTTGTAACACGGTTCAGTCGTAGTGATTAATGTCAGATGTGGGGATTGTTTTCCACAGTCCAAGCGTTTGTGACGTTATCGACCAAGACCTGACTCCTTTGCCTTTACGTGAGCTTCCTAACGTTAGCATGCGCATTAGCCTTCTTCTGCATTCGTTATTCGGTTCTGCATTCGTTATAATACATCTACGAGGTTTTTATTTCGAGTCACGGCCCGTATTTTTTCTGTTATTTGACAGCGAAGGCAACGCTAGAAGCTCCATTGAGGGTTTGGCTTGGATGATTGGCAGAGACGTTTCCGTTTTTACCTGCGTGTTACTATTACACTGATTATTTTTTTACTACTAGCTAAATAATCCGAAATATATTTAAAAAGGCACGGTCAATATCAGTCAATATTGTAGTGACTTATATTTAAAATGCATTTAACACAGAAAATAGTATATTTTACTGTTGCACAACCAAAGCAGTGGTGCAAGTTTATGTCCTTTGTAATCCATCTTTCTTGTTTTATGTTTCTAATATATTGCTTTTTCCATTTCCCCCAAATATGTTACATCCCATATGCCCATGTTGACATTTTTAAGAAAACACGGACTTCCATACTGTCCATACTTTGACAGTCTTGCTCTTTTTGTCGTTGTCTCAAATCAGAAATCAACATGTTTTACACATGTGGACCCAATGAAGCCATGGTGGTGTCCGGTAAGATGCCTCAATAACGTCTGCCTACAACTTATGATTATAACTCACAACAACACAGAATGTTGATTCTTGATATATTTAATGATGATGATGTAATATTATTACAAATGTTCAGAAAGGCACGGCACTCTTTTGAGGCATAATCCTGTGATAAAATAAGTTGTGTTTACAGTTTACTAGTAAACTTGTGTCATGTGATCTAATCATCACGTGACCTGTGTCATGTTTTCTCCTCTACAGGCTTTGGCCGTTCTCCTCCTCTAATGATTGCTGGAGGCAGAGTGTTCGTCCTCCCGTGTATTCAGAAGATCCAGAGGTGATTCTTTTTTTCAATTTCCATCTCTCACTTCTTTGGGATTTTATTCAGTGGGCAGCTCACAAAATGCATGTTGATCAAAGATGTATATGCTGATATCTGTATCCATTACCGGGCTGCTTTGTTTTTATTGTAGATAATACTTGACTTTATTTCCTCTGTCTCTCTTTTAGTGTGCCTTTTTGTTCTTGGTCTTTTTTGTTATTATATCTCATCAAACGCCTTCTCTTCTCAGAATTGCGCTCAACACCCTGACTCTGAATGTGAAAAGTGACAAAGTGTACACGCGTCATGGGGTCCCCATCTCCGTCACTGGCATCGCACAGGTATACTTTAAAAAGTGAAAATACTACCACTTTTATTCGATTGAGTCAACATGCTGCTTTCCACAAAAAATAGCGTGTGTGTGTATGTATGTATGTATATATGTATATATGTATGTGTGTATATATATATATATATATATATATAATACATATATTTCTTTTAATAATACATTATTTTGAATACACACCAAAAGGCAGGGAAGATGATCAGCTGCTTATTTAAAAGTTACACCTGTCAACAGAAATTACAAATAAAAACCTAGATAATACTGTATTTGTATTTAGTGTCTGACCTGCTACTTGCCTTTGCACGTGTCCATTTCCTGTTTTCATCCAGGTGAAGATCCAGGGCCAGAACAAAGAGATGTTGGCCACTGCCTGTCAAATGTTCATGGGCAAGTCTGAGGCTGAGATTGCCCAGATTGCTCTAGAAACACTCGAGGGACACCAGAGAGCCATCATCGCCCATTTGACTGTGGAGGTTTGTGTTCTGACCTTGTCCATCCACAAAGGATTGTGATGTTCAGGACTCATCAATTGCTCATCCACAAAGTGAAGGCCCACAAACAGCCATGACCATATCTCTTCTCGTGTACAGGAGATCTATCAGGACCGTAAGAAGTTCTCTGAGCAGGTCTTTAAAGTGGCCTCCTCTGATCTGGTCAACATGGGAATAGGCGTCGTCAGCTACACGCTGAAAGATGTTCACGATGATCAGGTACTTCCTGTCCATTAATTTTTTTCCAATGGCAAAGAATCAAATGTTCAAAACACCACACTATGTACTGGAGCAGCGGGAATCTGAAGTCGTAAGCTTTTAGCGTCACATGATTTCCTCTGCAACAGTAATGCACTCAAGTGGTTATATTGACTCGCTGGGAGAATTGGCCCATCGTTGTGTAACCAAACCATCTTGTTTTCATTTGCTAAATGCACTACCATCCTCTTACTGCTCGCGATGCGTCGTCTTCTCGCTGACTGTCGCTGTTTGCGTCCTCTGCGTCCCTCTCACAGGACTACCTCCACTCTCTGGGTAAAGCCAGAACAGCCCAGGTACAGAAGGATGCCCGGATTGGAGAGGCGCAGTACAAACGGGATTCTGTCATGAGGGTAAAAGCTGCTTCCTTCCTCTCATTCTTCCCACGTGCTCATAAGGACAATCTGAAAAATGAAGATCATTTTGTAGTTTGAAAAGAGTACCGAAGTTCATTGGTGTCCGTCCTGCGTCATGATCCACACAGGAGGCCCACGCGATGCAGGAGAAGGTTTCCGCTCAGTACAAGAATGAGATCGAGATGGCGAAAGCCCAGAGAGACTACGAGCTGAAAAAGGCCGCCTACGACGTTGAGGTCAACACTAAGAAGGCCGAGTCAGAAATGGCCTATCAGCTCCAGGTATCGTTCAAGACCTCATCTTCAAGGGCCAACTGCCTGAAGTTTGATATTTCTTTGTTGTGCTGTGGAAATTGTGTCTGCCTGGGCCGTGCACAACACGTCCACACGTTTTCTTATGACCGACTTGCTGAGTTTGTACTAGTAGGACCGATCCAGGTTGTAGATGACGCCTGATTACTTTTCGGCTTTTGAAGGCTCACTAGTGTTTTCTTTGTCCTCTTCTTCCTTCGTCAGGTGGCCAAGACTAAGCAGCGCATTGAGGAAGAGACGATGCAGGTTCAGGTGGTGGAGCGTACACAGCAGATTGCGTTGCAGGAGCAGGAGATCATCCGTAAGGAAAAGGAGCTGGATGCCAAAGTTAAGAAGCCGGCTGAAGCGGAGAAATACCGACTGGAGAGACTGGCTGAGGCACACCGGTCAGTCCAAGAGCCCTGATACTGTTTCAACACAGCATCCAACATTTGAACAGTACTGAGAAGTACATAATTATATTACTTAAGGGAATTAAATAAGTCTCCTCTCCTTACCCCTGGCAGCCTGCAGCTTATCATGGAGGCTGAAGCAGAGGCTGAGAGCATCAAAGTGAGTGCTGGCTTTTGTTTTCCGTTTTTTGTAAAATACGCTGTGTCATTTCCGCTCTCCCGCTCCTGTACATTTACATCTACATTTTCTATTTGGATATGAAACCTGTACATTGACGCGCGTGTCTGCGTAGATGAGGGGCGACGCGGAGGCTTTTGCCGTTGAGGCGAAGGGCCGCGCTGAGGCAGAGCAGATGGCCAAGAAAGCAGAAGCCTTCCTGCAGTACAAAGACGGAGCCATGGTGGACATGCTGCTGGAGAAACTGCCCCTGGTAGGTCTGACACTCATGGATGAATCGATGGGGAGAATCACCCCCCCCCCCCCTCCCCGATGGCCATTTGTACGGCCGCGCTTTCACAAAAGTTGCCGTTACGTTGGATTGATTCAAATGTTCTCCGCATTGTTCTTTCAAAATCCCGCGCGCTCTGCCTTAATACCTCCGTTACTTCTCGCCCTGCAGATGGCGGAGGAGATCAGCAGGCCACTGATGGAGGCTAAGAAGATCACTATGGTGTCGAGTGGCGGCGCAGAGGTGGGAGCGTCCAAACTCACCGGGGAGGTGCTGGACATCATGACCAGGCTGCCGGCCGCCGTGGAGAAACTCACCGGAGTCCGCATATCCCAGGTGAGCCGGAGGGGAAAAACTACGCGTGAAAGTACGACTCAAGCCTTCGCGGCCGCGGCGGGGGGAGGAAAGTAATCGTCTCCCGTTGACTCAGCAGGTTGTAGGAACGCCCGGCCTCGTGATGTAAGACGGGTCAGAGAGTGGAAGTAACCAGGAGACGTGTCGCCGACCCGGAGCTTCACATCCCCCCCACGTGCCTATAACCACAGCAGCGCCGTAGTCTTGTCTGCTCGTCTCTGTGCATGCATGTTTCACTTGTGTGTCCCTCTTTCAGGTCCTTCCTCTCGCTAAAGGGGAGTTTTTGTTCTCAGTCATGTGGTTCCTTCTCCTGTTCCTGCCCTGAGCGGTTGTGCTTACTGCTGTAGATGACAGCAAAAAATAGCTGCGAGGGATAGAAATATTGATAAAGCGGCTTGTTTTACCAGGACACAAAATATCAAAAGTAGAACGTTTTATACCGTGAGAGGGTAATTTAAATTAAAACTAACCAGCCTCAATTTCTCTGCATGGGGATTTAATGAATCAACCGGCATGCTTTTTATTTTTACTTTTATTGTAGGAAGGGTTGGCTGTAGTTGTGTGCCTTTTCAAGTTATTAAATGGTGCTGAGCATATTTTATCACACTAACCTCATAGTTTTGTTTGTGGGCAAATTGTTGCTGGACTCGCGCTTCACGTTCATTCTTGTTTGTAGTTACTGGCCCCAAAAATAATATAAGTGGAAGGATTTTCTTTCCTGTTACAGAACGAAGGGAAAGGAAGTGTTCGGTGGGAACGACCGGCAGGGAGTTCATGTTGAACAGAGTGAAAGTCCAACGTGAGAAAAGGTCTTTGCTGCAGTATCTTCAGGAGTCTTGGCCTTCATTAGGAAAGAGTTAAGGAGGACCTTGCATGCCTGCTGCTTCAATGCGCTTGCTGTCTGAAGTTTGAACTGACATCTGGGAGATAGTTTGGAGTTTGTTCCTTTTTAAACGGTGTTCTATTATGTGATTGTGAGTTATAGTTTTCGAAATATTTGAGTGCTTTCCTACTGGAAGGTGTTGACTAACACTTTTTTTTCCACTCTTGAGAGGAAAGTTTTGCAGCTGTCAAGCCATATGCATTTTGTTATCGCCAAGTGCCTGGTCAAACCACGACTATCGAGTCTACTTTCTTAATTAAGGCTAATACACTTTTCTGTCAGGGAACTCTTCCTCACATCCAACTGATCCTAAGCCATGGTGCGTCAGTAGAGACGGCCGTAGATGAAAGCCAAATCAGTCTCTTGTGTTTCTTGTTGTGACTAATCTCTTACTATCCTTACAATGTATCGTTGCATGTCTGTACTCTGAAGTTGACAATGACATAGCTTTAAAGTTGTGTACAAGATGTATCTGTAGTGAAATGTTCAAAGTAAAGTTTTAATCACTAACACGTTTGTGTATTTATTTTATGTTTAAGACTACCAACTCCAGATTAAGATCAACAGAATATGAATAAACAAATATCCTAAATCTGTCAAGAAAAGCTAATATCCTCATCAAATGGGAGTATCTGGGACATTAGTTTGATATTGTGAATTTGATTTATCTGGTTTGTAGACCACTGATCAAAATTTCAGGGCCTCCCTGAAGAGAAATACTGGAAGATTCTTTTGACCAAAAGGTCAAAGCCCTGCAGCAATTCGTTCTCATTTTATTTGAAAAGGTTAAGTTTATTAAAACATCTACAAAAATAGACATTGAATTACCATGGCATCAAGCGTTCTACAGAGATACAGAAGACCCCAAATGTTAAAGAGTTTTCCATATATTAGTAAAGGAAACTACAATTCTGTCCTTAAAGTATGTACAAACTAGTTTTCTCAACCTCAAAGACACAAAGGACAAAATCAGACATCAAGGAGTGCCTAAGTACATAAAGTATATATATATAAAAATATGGGTTTAGGTGAACTACAGTGTATCAAAAATGACTCAAATGGCAATCAGTAAACGGGTATTACTTGATAATCTTGATCACCTCGGGACTGATTTACAGTGCTATACAATCAGTAAGGTACATCATATCGATTATACCACAGCTTGATGTACCAACATGCGAAAATGCAGCAGTTGATGTTGAGATTCACACCAATGTCCGATATCCCAGAATTAGAGTATTGAGAACTGTTATTCATTAACAGTGGGTTTGTATAGTACGCTCATGCATTTGGATGAGCACAGATTGACTCGACTGAACAAAAAAGTCCACATGAAATGAGATGAATCGAGGGTGCCATTCCACTTTTTTAAATAATAATTTACATCACATGGTTTGGCGTCGTGAGAGGATTTAACAAAGTTTTGATCTACATTGGTATAAAACTGAAATCACTGCAGGTGAAATGCATTCAAATCCACATTGACAGGAATCGCATCAGACAGAGAGGAGTTCCAGCACGGTCAGGGACGTGCATGTAGGATTTAAAGTGCAGCTGTGGAATTTCTTTCGTCCATCCTTTGTTTCTGGGTTGCAGAGACCCTAGCAGGCGGATGTCCTGGCCTCTGCCGCAGTAACGTCTCTCTGCTTGGGAAAGTCGTTCCAGTTTGTGGGCGGCGGCGGCAGAGCCTCCTCTTCTGTGGCGGTTTCACTTGAAGTGCACCAGGGAACGGTCAACTCTCTGTGGCTCAAAGATTACGTTCAGAGATGGGTTCGACCTTTTGACTACGGTGGGGGGGGGGGGGTTGGGTGGTTAACACCAGATGTAATTGCTGCTGTTGTCTGGTCCACATCATTTCACATTAGTACGCAATAACTTGGGAGTTGTGGCATTGGATGAAGGTCACCGTGTACGCGTTTGGGGGTCGAGCTAGAAGCTTGTCGAAGGGTCAACGAACGATGGTGAGCTCTGATCAATCAGCCATGTGCGAAAATCTTTACATAGCCATTTGGCTACGTCATTTTTTGCATGAAGCAATCTTACTGATTTAGACTAAAATGTGCACATTAGGCGATACATACTATAAATACTAAGACAATCCCTGCGCGTCCACTTTCATGTCTGAACAATAGGTGTGCTGCTCAAACAGGTTTTTGTGGCATATGCACAGTCACCCGTTACCCTGCATGAAGCATTTGTTTGTTGGTTACATAAAAGTCATGTCCTAGCTTCCTATGGTTGTATTTGAAGCATTTTATGTCGACGTTTCAGCACTCAGTAACCCGGCCCTCTTGCAATAAAGTATCTGAGAGGAGAGAAAGTTCCTATGCAGACTGCACCCATCACCCGTGAAATCTAGCCTAGATCCTTGGTTAGTTTTACTTTTAGGGTTAGGGGTCTGATCTGGAAAATTAACCGAACCAGCGGCGTCTCAGCCCCAAGTACCCAAAGAGACTACAAATATAAAAGCAAGCAACCATCTGCCTCCGATTTGAGGCACCTCCACCACACCTTCCACCCCTGTAGCAAGGATGCAGAAACGTACGACGCGTCCCCCCCCCCTTGCTCTTTGCTCCCGTTTCTCTCCCTCTACACCATGTTCATGGCATCGTCGGTAAGAAAGGAGTGGATGTCTGCAAAGGACGGGCGGAGCTTGCAGTCTCTGTTCCAGCAGCTCAACATGAGCTCGTAGAGACCTTGAGGACACACAGCCGGCTTGTTCAGATACACCTGCAAGACAAGGGGGAGGGAGCGACGCCGGCGTTAGGAGGATTCATAAGCCTTTTTTTTTTAAATATCTTGTCAGATTTAGAAATAAAAAGAAAACTGGTGGGCTTTCAACTCTTACAAGAACTTATATTGAGCTTTATTTCATCATATTCATCATTAATAATTGCACTTCTTGTTGGAAACCGTGTCTCTTCAGAGAGCCTTCAGCCCAGCCAGCAGAGGGCCACGGATATCATTATGAGCCTCCACAGAGGTGGGAGTCAGTAGCATGCCTGACGTTATGAACGCAATGTGAAAACTTCTAAGAAAATGAAGAACAGCATGTTATTATCTGAATAATAGCAGACGTGTTGTACCTGTCTGCCCTGGTCTCTGAAGAACTCCCCAGCGTTGTCAATGACTTGTTCATCTGTGAGGTTGGAGTACGGCTGCTCCTGACAAACGCTCAGCATCTCCCACAGAGTGACCCCGAACGCCCACACGTCGCTGGCCGTGGTGAACTTACCCTGAGAACATACAACCACACGGATAGACGTGATCATCTTTAACATCAAAATCTCCATCGGTATCCAAGTTATTCTCCTGCGGACAATATTTTTAAAAAGCTCACATGGATTTTAATACAAATTGATTTTTCTTACTCAAAATTAAATCAACTAAATATGTTGTTGTATTATTTTCCACGGTTGACCTCACACGTTCCCGTCCTCTCACCATGAGTATACACTCCCAGGCCATCCAGCGGATTGGCAGCACAGCTCGGCCCTGGATCCTGTAGTAGTCTCCTGCGTACAAGTTCCTGCTCATGCCAAAGTCCGCTATCTTGATGTGACGCTCGCCGCCCTCGTCCTCTCCGCTATCTCCCTTCTCGCCCCCGACCAGGCAGTTCCGCGTGGCCAGATCCCGGTGCACAAAGTTGAGCGAGGAGAGGAACATCATTCCTGACGCGATCTGGCTGGCCATGGAGATGAGGGCCGGGTAACTGGGGGGGGGGAATATAATAACCAAATCAATTCAAAGCTGTCTCGGCGTTCTTCTAAATCAGAATATATACGCGTGACATTTCTGGTTTACCTGATGGTCGGGGTGTTATGAGAAGGTCCCGTCTTGTCCAGAAGCACTCGGTGGGACAGGTACTGGTTCAGGTCTCCACATTCCATGTACTCGGTGACCATACAGAGAGGATCACTGCTCACACACACTCCCAGCAGGCGGATGATGTTCGGGTCCTTCAGGCGAGACAGGATCTTCACCTCTTTCAGGAAGTCGTTCCTACCATGACGAGGAAGGAACCAGGATGAATGGCTATCGCACAGTAAAGATGAAAGACTGAAATATGTAAATTTGAGGCCTTATGGGAAAAATAAAAAAAAACAACCAAATGAAGAAACGCCTGCGGCTCTGGGCGGCTTGTGTACCGCATCGATTTGTTTTGCAGCTCAATATGTTTGAGTTGCTCACATGAAAAAGTAGCTTTATACGCCCGGTGCAAAAAGGGCCGAGAGCCAAAGTGAGCACGCAGCTGGTGACTCGAGTCAGACGTCTAGAAAACCTCACATCACACATCTGTAAACATACATCCTAATGTTCCAGAATTCCAACACTGCCGCGTACAAATAAAAAACAATTACTGTGCCGCATACATTTGGAGGAAATCATTGGTATTAATTGGCTTTCTGAAAAACATCCGAGGCTCTAATTATAAACTATAAATCCTTAATTAAATCATGGCGATGGATGAATTTGAACTGGTCACGGACCTGGCATTCTTAGAGGCGTCCGGGCGCAGGATCTTCACTGCGACCAGAAGAGGGCGACCTTTCCTCACGTTAAAGGGGAACTCCAGGTTGGAAAGGTCCTGAGGGTTCTCGATTTCACACAGGTGAACCTTTAAAAGAATAAATGGAGGCAGTTAAAAGCACAACCAACCCTTTCGTTCACACAAACCAAACGAGCACATCTCATTCCTCACTTCTCCAAACTGCCCCTCGCCCAGCTTCTCTTTGAAGACGAGAAATTGCCGCGGCAGCTCCGGGAGCGCGGCGCCGTCGGCCCCAGGGCTGGAGGAGGCCAAGGCAGGAACGGCGTAGGTGTTGTTGCCGCTGACACCCTGCAGGCTCACGATGTCGGCCTCAGCGTAGTGAGGCACGCTGGGAGGCAGTGGGGGAGAAACGGGAGGCGACAGGGAGGGGTACGGAGGGGAGCCGGGATAGGGAGGAGGCTCCTCCTGAGTCGGGGGGAAACCCTTCTCCATGTCCAAACAACAGGCTGAAGGAAGAGACAGGCGGGGTGGATTAAATGGTGTGATTAAAAACAGCTTTGTTTTGCTTTGAAAGGATTTGTTAGAGAGAATCACTTGCTATCACCAACTGGTTATAAAAACAGATAGATTTATATTTTCTATAAAATCCAAACTATGTAGAGAATTATGTTTTATTGTTTAATATCCTATAAACAGGATCTTAAACGTACATATTACTGTAACAACAAATAAAAAGACAACATACAGCGGCTTAGAGAGATGGATGGCCCAGTTGGTGATCTGCAGTGCCCATTATTAATATTTATGTCGCCCAATTCCCCAAATGTCTGTGATCCCATAGCTGGTATCCACATCACAAAAAGAACTGATGGATTAGTCTTTTCTGGGACATTGCATTGGTATATTCTGTTTTCTTGAAACCCAATTTCAAGCCTTAATTTGACAAAAAAGGTGCAACAAACACGTTCAGCTTCAACAAGTCTGACATTTCCCCCAAGTCAAAGACCTGTGAGGAATGTGGCTGAATACCAAGTTGTTTCCACTTTGTTCAAATTATAATGCAGACAGCCACAAAAAGGAATACTCCACGGTAATGTAACAGATAAGATCCATTACGTATTCATTCAAATATTCTACAAACGTTGTTTGTCCAGCCCGTGTCACACTTGGAACACAACATCTGAGGTAATGTCCATTTGTTTAAAGTAGTGACAACATGTAAGCATGTTAACATGTTCTCATTAGCACTAAACGCAGTACAAAGCCCTGCACTAGTTTTGCAGTATAACAAATTAAATGCAAATGGTGGAGAAAGAAGTCAACAGATTTATCTACTGGGCACCAGTACCAGATTTCATGTTGACTCGCTCGACACTTGTTGAGATACGTCAGCAAAGACCACACAAAGTTACAGTCAAACATTAACAGACCTACGCTGGCTAAACAATAAGGCGTCTGTGAGTTTGTTATTAACTGGGCAAGTTTGAAAACGAGTAAAGTTCCCCAAATGGCAAAACATTTATTTTACAACCTCTTATTAAAGGTATTTAGAGCGGTGAGTGAACCAGAGTGACTAACTATGTGAGTAACCGGAGGGATGATGACGGTCAAGCACATGCAAAAGGCCCGTCATCATCATTTCCCAGAAGCATCTCTGACTGAGAGCACTTCTAAAAGCCCCCACCCTGAAAAGGTAGGCAGGGGGAAGGGGACAGGACGGGAAGGGCCGCCCCTCCCTCCCCCCTTTCTGACCGCGTGGGCCCAGTCTGAGGTCTCTTACCCTGGGCCACATTGAGGCTCTTTTGCTGGGGCTCAGAGGTGTTGGGGACGACTACGGGTCTCGAGCCGTTTCTGTGATCTGACAGGAGCAGGTGGTAGGCTGGGTTGTTTAACAGCAAGGCTGGGAGAGCACACACACACACACACACATAACCACACAGACACACAAGCCAGGCGCGGTGCAACGCAGGGGCCGTGGTAGGGGGGGGGGCAATCCAATGACAACCATTAGCATGACACGGTCAGCATGTCCATCATGGTGGGAGGGAAGGAGGAGGGGTTGCACGGACACATGGAGCACGGAACGGATGAGTAAAGCGAGGACAGGCAAAGTTAACACAACTCCAGCAAACATAACAAGCAACAGTGGATGAAATGATGTTTGTTTTTCGTGTTATTTCAAACTCACACAGGCGCCTCGTAAAGACGGCGCGCAGACCTCCGGTGGTGCAACGCAAGCGAAGGAATGCTTTTTCTCCTCCCGCTTTTCTTTTTCTTCCCTTTTTTCTCAGAACAATAGCCCTTTTGTGTTTCCCTGTGCGCGGTGCATCTTTATGGAGGCACTCTTCCTCTCGCCGTGTTTGGTTTGACTTACTTTTGTTTGGTGAGGCGTACACGCAACACAATAATGTCACAACATTTCACAACGTTTCTTGATGCCGTATTCACTCTCCTGTGTAGCTCCCTTTTTCGAGTTTGTTGATAGATATATACGATATGATATATCAAATGAAACGCAGACACGGCAAGCAAACGAGAAAGTATTTGCAAACCACGTACATATTTGTGGGAGTTTCTATTCTATAATGCATGGAAGTTTCATTGTTTCTTTCATCTTTTCACTGAATCCTCATTCATTGTGTTTGGCTGACCAAAGAAGAGTCTCTGTCTACATACATATGCATGTTGATGGTAATACTCCATGTTCCACATCCTGCTGCTAAACTAAATAGGATTTCTCCAAACTAAACCACTAAGCTCCAACTGTAACAAACAAACCCGTCTCATCCATAAACGGACTCCAGAAGGTTGAATATGCGTGTTTGAAACTAACCTGTGCTGTCTCTGGGATCCCTCGGCCGGAGCAGCGCGCTGGGCTCCTGATACTCTCCATCTCCCTCTCGGTCGTGGTCGCGGTCGTCGGGGAACGTGTGGATGCGCTGGTAGCGGCTGGAGTAGCTGTGTGTGTTGTTGATGACCACGTTGTCCGAGGGGACCGACAGGTGAACCCGCAGCTCATCACTGGATAGGCTTCCCTGGGCCTGGGAGGGCAGAGGATTCCCGGGTGATGCAGGAAGTACGAGGTGCTGGTAATATGGGCTCATTTGCCAGTTTATTGGGTTCAACAAGGTAAAACCAACGCGGCCTACTGTAACAGTCCTGCAAAAACACCCAGTTCTTATACTATCATGGATAGATTTATGAGAATATGCTACTTATCAGTACCTACACCTCTCAGGAAAACCCCAAACTTCCTCTCAACACTTCTTCTCTTTTTGACTCAACCTGTATATGATTAACTGGCACTGAGGGTAAATGTATCGTTTGGATTCCTAAAGCAGAAGGTGATTAAACTGCGGAATTGGCCCATAATCTTGAACAATTTACATGCAGTTAGAGATCCTGCGTTTGGCAGAGTACCACTGGAGTCGTTATCCCAGCCTGTCAATCATTTTCTTCGGTTCCAAAGAAACCCATCAGCGAAATAACACAAGCGAACATTTTCTCACTCAGGGTTATTCTATAAAAGTAGTTACAATGAAAGATCTATGGGTTATCCAGAATAACCATCACATTGCGTTGTGCTTTTCCAGAAAACCGACACTTCTTTTACATCTATTGTACCTGGCTGGTAACATAAACCTCAAGAGATAGACGGTCCAAAGGTTTGCCTATTAAAACCAAATCTTCACCGGTTACATCCATTAATTATCTTTAACAGCTTATCCCTTGATGGGTCGCGAGTTTGCCAAGCAACTCAAGGTTGCCAGGTCTGAACGGGGCCCCGAGAGTCAACAATTAACCAAAGCTGCTTGTTTTTGGACTGTGGACAGAAGAGAACTCACGGCGCTGAAGAAAAATAATGAATGAACACATTGCATGTTGACTCACCTTGCCAAGTATCTTTTTCCAGTACTGCCTCCACAGAATGACCGCTATGACAGCCAGCAGTAGAAGGATGATGCCCACCAGGCAGCCAATCAGAATAGCTGTATTACTGCGGTCATCTTTGACTACGGGAAGGCCCGCCCTTGGAGTGCTGGCACCAAATTCGGCATCTTGAGGGGGAAAACAGGTGGACATGTTCAGTCTTCTGTGGGTACCAGCTTGGATGTCGACAACTTGGTATTATTTGTAGATCAGATGAGATGTGCATAGATCACTATGCAACACTGTCTATTTTACCACGTGTTAACATGCTGGCATGATTTAATGAGTTGTTGTGGTCTGTGAGCATCGGCTATTTCGGTGCAGTAACACACACAGACATTGTTTCATCAGGTTCATTAACCATCCGATGAAGACTGTCTGTGCTTCTAATCGCCCCCCTGCTTTGTGAACAGAATGAGAGCTCTGATTTGCTTCGGCACATAGTTAAATATTAATCCGAAGGATCCCGACAAGAAAAATCCCCTTGAAGGTCAAGTGTGGTATGATATTTGAATGAAGAAAGGAACTGAAATCTTAAAAGAACTTTAGCAGAATAAGTGATGGTTTGTGTTGGTCGAGGGTCCATGGCATTAATATTTTTAAATAATTTAAACTAGCCAACGCGTATGCTTACTAGTCAGTGAGGACAATGTCCTAAAAAAAACGCTTAGACCCTCAGCTTAAAAAAAATATATATATTACAATAAAGTGACACACATAACGTGAGTTCAGGTTTATACATAAACACACACACACACCTAATAGCACACACACACACACACAAACACACACACATTTACAAGCCTCCACGTTGTCACAACAGAAAACAACCGCTTCCTCTCTCCCAGTCAGTTAAACACCATGCGGCTCATGAATAAACCCAAACAAAGCCGTTCGACAACAGCCGGTAACGAGGACAAAGCAGCACACACACGCCATAGAAAACCATTTCCAGAGTATTGATGTTTAGCTGTGTAGAACAGTTTACACAAAAAAAGAACATGCAGTTTGTGACACCGCAGGAAGCCGAGTTGTTATTGGAATAAATATGATCCCATTAAGCTGTGTTAGTGATTTTCCTACAGCTGTACATCTTCAAACTCGGGGGACAGAGCCCAATGCCAAAGCCCGGCCCTGCAATCCCTCGCCCGTTATAAATTCAACAGAGTAGCGAGACGGTTTTAAGATGCTGGAGGAGAGCCAATGCAGATGGAGTTAGCTGCCGCCCCTGGGTTTACCTGCGCTGTCTATTGTTTCGTTTTCTGCTCTCTCACCTGACAGCGTCCAGTTACCAGTGGTGTCCATCAGGAAGGAGGAGGTGGTGGTGGGGGGTTCTGGTGGAGCGAGGGATGGAAAAAGGAGGAATGTGTAAGAAGAAAGGAGGTAAAGCCTCAGAAGAGGGATGGATAAGAGAGGAAGGCAAGTTGTTTTGATTTTTCCCCACCATGTAAATCTAAATCAGTAAATGTTCACCCCAACTTTAAAAAAGCCAGATTGAGAAGATCATATTCTCGGGAATATCTCATTCACACATTTGACCTAAAATATGAATCCAGATTTCTCATTTCCTTTAAGTAAAAAGACATCTATAAGATAAGCATCCAGCAAATACTTTGGCTCAAGGCCAAAGGACGAGCTTGTGATGAAGAGGGCGGCTGGTGAGACATGGGCCTCCTTTGGCACTCCCTGCAACTCCACTTTAGACACATGGCTTAGACACGCTGCCGACATGCTCACACTCATCACAACCGCAGACAAATAGACGGGCACAGAGGCGAGAGGCGGTGAGGGGAGAGATCAGATGAATCAGCGATGTGGGTGACGAAAGGAGACCACTAGAAAGAGCGGCAGGTGGAAAGGAAGAGAGCAAATAAAAGGGCATGTGGAGGTGGAGAGGAGGGGGATGAAGACGAGGAGGAGGAACAGCAGGACTCACCATATGGGCCGGCAGTGGTGTTGGAGGAGCCGTGGCTCGGCGTGGGAGAGGAGGAAGTGGGGTTGACGGGAGGATGAGTGGAGATGGTGGTGGGAATCTTCGTGGGAAAGAAATCCTTCCCCGTAGCATCCTCCTGAAAGGGCTCTGGATGTAGAGAAAAGAGCGGGGGCGACAGTTTAATGAAAATGCATCACGTTTTATATAACAACGTGACTAATCTTAAGAATTTTGTATTGCGGTGTTACCGTGGCAACCCAAAATAACTGCCCATCCAATAGCAACATCAGCTGTGAGATTTAGCGACATGGTAGCCGGCATGCCAGATCACTGCAGGGTGAATTCATTTCAGCTGAATATGATGTGATTACAGGGTACTTTGCTGATTCTTAATCTGCCAAAACTGACTGATTAGTTACGGCAATCTGAGATGGAGAGCATCAGCAGAGTCCTCCATCTGACTTCCAAACAGATACAAATGAATCCTGTGTTGACAGAAAATATAAAATCCCCTTTAAGTTTGCTGCGTGGGTGCATTTCTATCTGTAGAAAAGAGGATATAAAGAATAAATCAACAGTTTACCCTGTAAAGGCTTTTTGTGGATATCAGCATTATTTTTTATGTTCATATATATTCTGCCTTGATACCTCAAATCAACTAAAAGCAAACGGAGTACAAAAGCTTTGTGCTTCTCTCACAGTAACACATTTCACTCAAATCCCTTTTGACTTTTACTTTAAGAATTTCAAGAATACTGATTGGATATACACACATAGTACAACAATCCTCTTCGGTTATCTCCTGGTGGCAGCCATCTATATTCAGCTGCTGTTTGGGCAAAGCCAAATGAACCTCCAGGGCAGCGTTGGACATAGCTTATAAAATATGTGTGGCATAAAGCCATTCCAGAGGAAAAACTGCCTGTCAGAGCCACAGAAATACACATCTCACAAAATCCCATTTCCTACCAGAGAGGAAGGATATCTCGCTGATCAGGAGCCAGCGGTCAGCAAAGTAGAATTTGCAGCGGAGGATCTGAGCCGGCCGGCCACCCAGCGGGAGGGAGATGGGTCTGGATGAGGGGTCTTTCAGATCCTCGAGGGGCACAGGCAGGGTGAGCTCGGGGGACCAGGGCTGGAGGATGCCGGGCTTGAAAAGACACTCTACCTTGCTAAAGACCCGCACGCCCTGAGTGTGGCGGTTGTTACTGTGAACCTAGAGGAGGGAGACGAAAGAGGACGGATGAAGAGATACGAGATGTTTCCCTTTAACTACCTAAACACCGGATTCTTCTGAACCCGTACTCGTTATTCATTCGTGGCGAGGCACGTAGAGATTCAGTTAACGCACAAACAGGATGACACGTTCTCCTCATGTTCCACCATAATTGCTTTGGCACGACTTAAGAGCTGAGCGAGACTACAAATTAACAATGTGAGAACGCAGGAGGGGTAAACAAAGGATGCAGGGGAAAGAAAGTGTGTAACAAAGATGCAGATGATACATCTTCCACAGGCAGGGAAAAGCTAAAGAGAGGGACACCCAAGACATAATTGTGGCTGCAAGGAGGTATAGGAGCTTGAGGAGAAGAGAGGGGGTGATTAACTGAGAGGGAGGTCAAAGATCTGAGAGATAGAGAAGTAAGGCGATGGTGGGAGGTTCTATTCTGCTAATGCAGGAGGGGTGATGCAAAAGGACTGCTCTGACAGGTTAGCGATTAACCTCACACTTACTCCGAGGCAGGGCCCTCTAACATAATCCACATGTTACCACACACACACACACACACACACACACACACACACACACACACACACACACACACACACACACACACACACACACACACACACACACACACACACACACACACACACACACAGGCTGCAGAAAGGGCAGCTGCACCAGATGCTGAGTTGACGTGCAACTGATTCTATCTGAAAGGGTAACAAAATGAAGGGTGGGGGTACGTATTGTATGTTGACACTAGTGGTGGGGGACTGATAAGTCAACAGAAGAAGAAGTAATTCACTACTCCTTTAGGGAAAATGTGTTCCAATGACCTGTGCAAAGCTTAATTTGAGAGCATAACATTGTATTCATTATGTTTTGCTTGTTTCATTATAAATCTAACTTACAATCATGAGTTTCCTCTGATGTTTTTGTGTCATTTCACCCTCTTCCACATGAATTTTAAATACATTCCCAGAGGACAGAACTGGATCCTTACAAAGTTGTGGGTTTATGTTTAAGGTCCTGTAGGAAACGCAGGTTATGACCAACATAAGGTCAAGGAGCAGATTTCCCTTTGGGAGAGTGATTAGGTGCAGGTTACGGAACGACGGAGACAATTCAAGAAAGAATTCCTGGTTCCCACTGTGTTTATTTAACCTGTGTGTCGGACATATCCGCTCTGCCAGGCCAGCATTACGATGTATGTCAGCTAGAGTTAGTGAGGTAAAACCACAGGGGAAAAGGCAGGAAAAACAGGATACGCCTTGCAAAAACACAAGGAATACCGCTGGGAAAGAATCGAAAAAGGTAACTGAGGAAAAAAAAAAAAGGAGAAAAAAAGAAGGAAAAAAAGAGCTGGCAGAACCCAACCTCAAAAAGATAAAATGTCGCTTTTATGACACTGACTTTAACACTGGGGATTCCGGCTATTCAATATGCACATTTACAGGGCGATGTCCACCCAAACCAACATTGCAACCCACTTCCAACAAGTGTCAAATTAAAGCTAATTAAATGTCTGCAGATCTATACGAGCCAAAACGCTGCTTCCCGGTGAGATGACACAGAAATATGCTTCTTTTAAGTGATCTTACTGGTTGGAGATGCAGGTTTTAAAAAGGCTTTTAATCTTATGCAAACAGAACAACAATGAAAAAAAAAGCAATAGGCCTAATGTCCTGCTAGAATCGCTCCAAAATGCCTATCTTGTGCTAATGAGGTAATTCATTAACCAAATGAACATAAATGTATGCAAACATGTGCATCAAGGTGCTTTAAAATTAAACCATTATCGTATAAGGGGGCCCGGATACGTTTCAATCACTCGCTGTTCTTCCGTCATAAAGACCAAGAACAATGTTGCACACAACACTGACCTTCACTGAGGCACAACACCAGAAGGACACCATCATCAGGTCTGACAAGGGGTGCGATGAATGACTGCATGTGCATTAAACTTGACATTATATTAGAATCTGGATGACTTGTGGACGTACTGAGCTGCAGTGTCTCAGGGCATGTTTTAGAAAGACCCCCCCCCCCCCGAGGACAAGAACGGAAATCTGGGCTCTTAGCCTCAATGACGTCTGAATTACAGGCAGCTCAACGCGGTCGGCGATTCCAGTGAGATAATGATGTCCCTGCATAACTCTTTCACGTTCATTCAGACAAAAACACGTGCGCCGTCAAACTTTCACTGCCTACCTGCATGTTGTGGAAGACACGCGGCTTCTCAAAGTGAAACTCAATATCCACGCTGCCTTGCCCAAGGGCTTCCCTGCTCCAGCCCAGGTAGTCATAGCCAGGCCACACCCTCAGCTCTTTAGTTTGTATGAAGTCATCTCCTCCCAGGACGCCGTCACACAGTTGACCCAAGCCTCCGAACTGCATCCTGCGCACAGATTCACAAATGAATACATGTATTCATGTACTGACATGCAAAGATGCACAAATTAGCATATAAACATAGAAGTACATGCAAACATGCTCGCGCACACACACACACACACATCTGGTTAAAGCACGTCTGGATTACATTAAACGTGTAAATTCACCCGCTAGCACAACATTTCAGCCCCATTACCCGCACAGCCCATGCAAGTGTGGACCCCCACCATTCCCAAGTTAAGCCGTCCTTCGCTCCCTGCCAAAACATTACGACCAGGAAACGCGCCTCAAATCCCAGAGCAACAAAGAAAAAAAAAACGTAATTCCCTTTCGATTAGGCGGAACCCAGACTAAACTTTCAAGAAAACATTTCCCTGGTACCCCTCTTCAGAGCAAACAGATGTGTGCGCGGCAGAAAGGAAGTTTGGTATTCCAATGATCGCTTGACGTTAAACAGTAAAAGCTTGTGAAAGTTTATGAAAGTGATCATATTTGCAAAAAAGAGTGTTGACATTTACACCCATGGACGTGTCGGCTTCGTCATGCATTAGATAGATTAGATACTTACTCTCACACAAAAAGCAGAGGGCGTTCTGAATAGCTTACCCTTGCTCGGTGCTCCCATCGTAGGTGGAGTCATTTAGGTAGATGGGTATGCCAGATAGATGCATGACGTGACCCACTGGAGCGGTGTACGCCGTCAACCCATCTGAATGACAGAAATATGTACCAATATTCACTACTAGTTGTTTGATTGCTTAAATAAAAAGAAGAAGAAGAACAACATCTGCACAAGCTGCTTTGAAACTCAATATATCATCATGAGCGGATACACCTTTTACTGAGCCAACATTAAACAGTAATCATTGCCGCGGGGAACAACTGTTGCTTTTCTTTTATTTGAAAAACCAAGAAAGAATTGGCCTGACACAACTTTTCCCGGTGAAATTCAAGTCTCTCCGCCCAAATATACATTTAATCAGCCCCGAGAGGTGACGTCAGCTGCACGTGTTACAGCCCGCTGCTCTGCTACCCATCAAAAACAGCGTTTCATAAAGGACTTACAGTATTCTCTGTTTGCACATCAAAGGGAGTCTGCGGATGTGACTTATGGACTTAGACGTGGGTTTCATGTGTGAGAGAGTTCAGGTCACGCCATAATATCTGATGCAAGATGAGATGCAGAATGTGCATAAAACTTCTGCCATTCTGCGCCATGTATAATTTGTAGGGGTGAACTAAGCTGCACTGAATGCACATTAGAGCCCATTTTAGAAAGATGTTCTCCCCAAAGAGACAAATCCGGGCCTGGGGCTTTTTGGCCTCTGTGACAGTTGTGATTCACTGGCAGCCTGCTGCTGTATGAGGGAGGTGGACAGTGCAGGAGAGGAGGAGAGCCGGACATATATTATCTGCTTGTCAGTGTTGCGCTTTGGGAAATGTGGCGAACAATACAATTTATCATTCATCACAGTTTCCAAAAAAGGGGAAGCCTCAGCGGGGCTGTTAGTTTGATGCAATGCCTCAAATCAATGCATGCGATGAATGGGGAAAAAAATGCAGTCTTAATCATTGTCATCTAACAAATCCCACCTGTACCATTTGAGCTCATTTTAAATAGTGACCTCAGTCACATTCACAATGTGAAATGAGGTGCGATAAATCAAGGTCTGGAGGCATTTGCCAGAATACACGGGCCAAATGAATAATAATAAGCAACCGGTATTGTCTCTCGCTCGCCGTCGCACAAACCCTTACCGTTCCAAAGACAACCGTAGAGCTCTACCCGAAGGCAAACGCTCATAACGCGGTCAGCCAGAGGGTAGAAGCGCACCATGCGGGCCACTATGGGAGGGCCCAGATCTTTCAGCACAACATCATACGTGTTCTCATTCCCCGACACCGTCTGGGGGCGAGAGGTACAAAAATCAAAATCACACAGTGCATTGAGTGCTCGTCTCCGTTGTCCGTGGGACTGAATGAATCTCGCTTCTTCGCTCAGACATTTTCTTCAGTGCGTCTTGAAATGATGTTATTGTAAAAGTGAGCTCAGATGCACAGACTTTTTCTTAAAAACATAAAATAAAGAAGGACTGGTCTTAGGGTGCAGGCCTCAGCTAGTTTTTGTTGGAGCACGACATGAAGTTTTATATTGTCTGGGAAACTGAATATAGTTTGCTTAGAAATTTTCTAAAATAATAACGGGAAGAGAAACCAAAACAATGATTCTTTCCCTGAAAGATGGGCTGTTGGAGTTCAAAAATCCCATGCTATGATCTAGTAGCATAGTACATAATACACAGTGCAGAACTTGTAACAATGACTTTCTGCACAAGGTAAGCCACTCTTTGCACAGTTGATAACTGGCAGTGAAGGCAAATTAAGTTTATAAAGAAAAGTTAGCTGACAAGAGTTCAGCTGGTGGCAATGCACTAAATGATAAATAATTCAAAGAGCAGATGATTAATCCAGCTCGACCGGTTTAACAAGGCATTCATATTGAAAAACAGCCGCAGGAGATTGAGCTGTTACTCATCAATCGTTGTCCTACATGAAAGGGGCAGTGGGCTCTGCTTTAATAGACTAAATAAAGACCCCGCTTACTTCCGTGCCACAGCGGTCCTTCCAAGTGAGCCATTTCACCCCGTCTCGGGAATAGTGGAGCCGATAACTGCGAGCAAACTCCTGCCCGTGCCCGTCGGCGTGACGACCCTGGGTACCAACCAGGGCCAGGAAGTGGAGTTTGTGCAGGTCCACCTGCAGGGGTCAGAGAAAACATTATCAAAACACACGTCCCTCTGTCAAATATACACAAACAGATTCATATGAAGAGAAAAGAAAGACATTGGGAAGTCATCAACTCATCAACAAAAGCTTGAATGAGGACGACTCAAAGGGGCTGCAGTACCAACCTGCCAAATAAGACATTTCTGATTATTTCAGTAGATTTATGGTCATTATTCACATTCGCAATCGAAAATCACCACAATTCATGTATTGTGAGAGCTTCTGTAATAGGGTTTGATTGTAAGGGGGTTGCAGACAACACCATTTCTCACTCAGATATGATGATAGAGGGCTCATTGTTAAGGGAACGGTGTTATTTTATAAGTAACCAAAACAAACAAATTATACTAAAATCAAAATTTCTTGTTTCTTGTTCTTCTGGGTTTGTATCCTTATGGTTGAAATGCACTTATTGCAAGTCGCTCAGGACAATAGCGGCAGCTAAATGACATGTAATAAAGTAATAATGTAATTATTGTCCGTAGGAAGAGCTTCTCATTGGCTCAACGCATGGCCGTGTATAAATGAAAGCGGTTATTGAAGAATAATTTACCAAGCCTATGACTGTTATAATAGTCCTAACATTTAAATCAGCTTCCCAAAATAACAAGTGTCTGACCTGAAGGTATTCTGACCCACTGGGGAAAACGGCCTTTGCAGGACACCATGCTCCGTCCCCCTCTCCAGTGCTCAATCTGAAACAGAGGTTTTGTCATGATTTGTTGAAAGTAAACTTTTAAGTGCACCAAATCACAGTCCAACATCAAAACGGTTCCATTCAGAGACACAAACAAACACCCTCAACAAAACAGAGTACTTCAAAAACGCACAGCGCAATCAACACATATACCACAGAGAATTCAATAAAACCGGTCCGACCCTCCTCTCCCAACAAACATATCGATTCCACAGCAGCAAGACGTTCACATAAACGAGGGAGTGCTATCTGAAAGAGAAAAACCCGGCTTTTTGGGTAAAGGTGCACAGCAGAGAGGGAGAAGGGTCTGGGGGAGACTGCAGGAAAAAAAAACAGACGCATGAAGAGAGGAAAAAGGGGCAGAGTGAAAATGACTGGCTCTTCAGACCTCACGAGATGTAGACCGCAGAGACCAATCTTTACTCGCAGCTCCTCGGGCTGCCATGACCGCACACAAGCACCGCTAAAAGACGTTCACTCTGTGACCTTGGTCTATCGGTCTATCCAGCCTGAGAAGAAATGTCCATGCTGCCGCCACAGACCGGCCGCATGAAGAGCTTGGCGCGTCTGCGACGTCGGATACACTCGTCTGAGTGGCTTTGGAACAGACGCCAGGCCGCGACCACGCAGGGCTTCTCTCAAAATAAAAAGGCTGCTACTCAGTCCGCCACAACAAATAACTACATCCACTCGGCCCCACTGGCACGGCCTAGTATTACAATCAGCCCCCCTCTGTGGGTGAGATCATCCAGCCAGAAGCCGTGAGATGATATGGACACACGAGTGCTGCACATAGTGTCACATAGTGCTGTGATGGAAGAAGAGGATGAGGAGGGAGAGAGGAAGGATGGAGGAATGCGGCTGTGCAGAGAGGTTAACGTTGCTGCTCTGCCAAGTGCCTTATTTTTCTCACATTTCTCTCCTTCTTTGGTTCCTACCAAAATATCAGTACTTCCCTTTTTACCCACACTGTGCTGATATTTCACTGCTGCGGAGGAATAACACCCATTTAATACCTACCAGCTTTACATACCTACCTAAACGCGCCACCTTTCCCTCAAACCCTGTTTCCAGAGTCATTTACCATTGCAGGGATCCACTTTTGACTTTCAGTCCATCACAATGTCTCTTAGCTTGGGCTAATAATCCTTTCCACATGGTCAGACATTAAGCCAAGAGTACCAGCCCGTACAGACCGATGAACACACACATTCATGTTTTCATGACTAATGGGGATATTACATCGACTTACCTCAACCATAATCGCTACAGGCCTAATCCAACAAAGTTAAACAAAGTCCTCATCCAAAAACGAATAACCCCAGTTTATGGAGACGTGCACAGAGCACGTGAGCTATTGTACTCAAATGCAGAGTACAATAGTTTATTTGAATGCCACTGTGACGACAATGCCGATGCTATATATAAACCTCACATGGGCTTAAAAATGGGCTTTATCTTTGAAAATAGTTATTTTGGTCAATTCAGTCAGATCATTGTTCTAAAATGTCACAACGCTAAGCTTTGTAAATATGAATGTACTTGTGTTCCACGGGTATCCTCTCTGCAGGGTGTCAACACAAAATGATTTGTTGTGTAATCCACAACGGTGAACATCCGCATTGATTTGTGTCAACGTTACATTCACGGTAACGCGGTCCAACGGCTTTGTGGCCGCACAAAACAAGGTAAGAGAACAACAGCCCTGATTAGTGTGGGGTATTGAACTTAGGGACGTTCTACCTTGCACACAGTCACACAGATTTCCTACCTTCCATGTTTGGCCTCAGTAGAGTCGGACCAGGCGCTGGAGGCAGTGATGTCAGAGTCTGGGATGGTGCCATCCTCCATCCCGAGGGCGTAACGACACTGAGCTGAAAGGGAACGATTGAGGGAAAGAGAGATAAAGAGACAGTGGAAGAGAGACACACATCAGCGACATTTTCATTCATATGCAGCACATGTCCGAGGGGGAAACGTACTTCCACTGCAGCCACTATTGTTCAGGGAGCATAATGTTATGTCATCACTGGGAAAAAGTCCGGACTTCATAATCCACTCAGACAGCGAGAGGAGGCAGAAAAAAAATAAACCTGACAATACACGTTGCTGTCGTTTCTCATTTCCCAGCATCTCTTGGGGAGTTTCTGTACTAATTCAGGTGAAGAGTTCACATGAAGCGTAATGCATCAATGCATTTTGCATCACTTATTCCGGTGAACCCCCTTTGTCCTGTCAAAAGTGACAGCAGGAAAAAATGTAAATGAATCTAAACACATCAATCCCAGAGGAGACACTAGATACACAGTCTTCTTGGGGACATTTTTCTCCTTTTGTCTTTCCAACTCGCGCTCCAACCAACACAAAGCCACCTCCTCGGGGGTCCTCCGATCCTGCACAGCCCCTGTTACGGTTACCAGGGCTCTGAGATTTGCAGGAACAGAACAAAAGAGAGAAAAGAAAACCGAGGACGAATGAGAGAACACAAGACGGGTTTCCGATATCTGCCCAGACTCGGGTCCAGCAGCGGCATTATCAAATGACCCAAATAGCGTGGTCCCGGGCGGAGATTACCTGACAACCCAGCCTCTCGCGCTGAGTCAGGCATGAGGAGGAGATGGTGCAGGGGGAGGATGGGAGGCTGAGGGGGGGGGGTAGTGATAAAGTGCCAAGGGGTACTGGGTGACAGTGATATGGAGGGGAGGGTGACAAAGAGGCATCTAACTCAGTTTCTGTCATTGAGTCAGCGAACAGGAATGTCGGGCTGAATGACAAACCCTAAAAATCCCGACGGCTGCAGTAGGCAGGCAGGCAGGCAGGCAGGCGCACACACACACACACACACACACACACACACACACACACACACACACACACACACACACACACACACACACACGCCCTGCAAACAGGTGCCAATTTTATTACATCATCATCACCACAAGTCAGCAGCCCGCTATCTGCAATCTTCTCAGTCCGTCTGCTCTTAGTTTACTTTCTCCTCTGGTCACTTTTTATAAAACAGTCGCCCGCACAACCAACCATCCTGCTCGCACAGTTCAGATGGATTCATCTGTTGCTTATCTGTTCCCCTCTGTCTGTGCTTTTGTTTTTTTGTCAAGTTTCCACCCCTGTGTTTCGCCTCCGGTCCCGCCCCTCTCTCAATAGCTCAGCTGTGGCTCATTCCGGGCTCCTGAGTTCCTCGTCGTCAGTCCGTCCCAGTACCCAAGCTGGTCTCAGGTGCCGTTGAATGTCGCCATCAGCTGCAGCTCACCAGTTTGCATGTTTTTTCTTTTTGTCCTGCAGTGTCCGGCGCACGGAGTACCACATGACTGTGGTATGACATGAGTACACGTGACTCGCTTTGATCAGACTCTGGTTATGATGTCGGGCCACAGGTTTCCGCCCCAGACGGGAAGACGACGGTGGAGTTTCCCTCCCGACTCCGGTTGAGCCCGAGCAGCGCTTTCGGTTCCCCGCTTGACCATTAGAATAATTTAGTGTAGGCACATTAGTCAATAAAGGTGCTCCTAGTTGAACAAACGATATTTGCATGAACTACGCTTCTATTTTGCTTTAACTGATCATAAAAATATTCAGACAGTTTTGTTGATTGACAAATTAAGTGGGTGATTGTCTAAAAAGAGTGAGCAATAAAACCAGAAAATTCAGAGCATTTGATGGTTTGGAGAGTTTCTCAAATATGATCAACTAAGAGATAAAATAAACATCAACATAATGAGCAATATTAGCAGCCCAGTCACATTTACAGTCTGGCTCCTGCAGGCAAACTGTCTCCTCCCGTTACACCTGGTTGGCTCTCGTTTACCCTCATGCACGCCTTTCCGCGACATTTTGACAGACACTTTCATGAGCTCATGAGCATTGGCGGTCTTGGCAAGCAGAAGAGGGTCGGGGTGTGTGTGTGTGGGGAGGAGGGGGCGAGCTTTCTCATTCTCCCATTACACAGGACACGACTGGCTGGCAGACAGGGAGAGGACACAGGATAGCCTGTTGATGGCTGACAGAGAATGCGCCTTACTGACCTGAGAATGTGAGGAGAATGTCGGAGGAGCAGGACGGACCACGGCTGTGCCGGGTGGACGCGAGGGGGCAAAAATCATGTCCGAGTTTCGGGGGAACTGCCACGCAGTTTTAAATGTGGCGTTCTTTTTTAGTAAGACCAGCCCAATAAAACGACACAATACGTTCTTTGTTCAGCTACACGACAGCTTACCTGGTTTGAAGTGCCACTCGTGGTCCCCCGAAGAAGACACCAGCGCTACCAGGACTGTGACCATGGTGACGGGAAACAGCCGCAGGGTCGGCAAGGCCATGACGGCAGCAACGCAGCTGGTTACCTGTCCGGGGACACACAGGTGTCCACAGGCATACCTGTCGGAGAAAAAGATTTAAATTGATCCGCTTAAGAATTCTTGTCTGTGCTTGTAAAACCTGCACCAACAGCCATCCAGCCGCAAAAGATTGTATTTTCATGCCTGCATATACACATTATATATACACACGGTACATTGTACACACACACACACACACACTAGCCTGAGGCGGTTGAGCTCTGGGCTCCCTGCTCAATCGTTAGCTCTACTCTCTCAATCAAATCCTGCCGGGCTAAAGCACGTATCTCACTGTCTTTTCTTTTTTTTTTCTCTCCACTTTGCATGCTGAGCTCAGCAACAGAACAAGCACAGAGCCGTATTACAAAGACCACTTTCACACACTAATTATGTCTCTGTGGCAGCCGGATGCAATGATACAATAATAATTAGCTGCAGTTAGAAAATGCGCAAGCGGCTTGGTAATTCTTCATTTGCCAATTGAAGATGATATAATTAGACTCCTTTTACTCCCAGAGAATTTGGGGGTTCTTCAGAATACCAACGAGAATAATTTGTCGGCCCCCGGTCGAGGATTGTTTGGAATAAGTAACAAACAGATGAAGCTGCAGAGATTGGAGAAATGAAATCCAATGAGCGAGCGAGAGAGAGACAATTGACAAGTGTTTTGAGTTAATGGAGATGCAAACATGCTCTGTGCAAAGTAATTAACTTGCTCGTGACGCCATGTCAGATGTTTTGGATGTGATGTTGGGTGACTTTAAGGATCTTCAAGCTTAAAAACACCTAGACTTTGATTGTTGGACACATTTAGACTAATCCAGTCTAACATAGCAGTCAGGTAATGGAATCCTACCTTTATAAAGGTTATGACTAAGCTGTATTTGTGGTGCTGCTGAATCCTGCTGTGATATACTGAGAGGCGTTTTTTAGGTCACCCTTTTAAAAGCCACATTTCTCAGTATAATGCAACATAACTCAATGAATAAAAAAAAAAAACTACAGCCTACAAAATGTGGAATTTACAACAGGACTGCTGTATTAGACTGAATTCGTTTAAGCTAGATGACCTACAGTAACAAACAACTGGGCCAACGTACAACATTATAATACTTCTGGCATTGTTGGTTGAGAAACTCCTTTTCAGTGATGCAAGAACTATTCTATGTGTGATGTACAATATGTGAAGAAGTTCAGTTCACCACACCATCCCCGGAGCACATTTGACTTGTTTGTCCGGTGGAAGACTTCCAGTGCTGAAGCAAGAGGGAGGAAAGAAAGCTCATGATAAGTGGAAGTCTGAAGCGGGAGTGACAGCTGGGAGAGACAGAGAGGCCAGGCTGTCTTCCCTGTAGACCCTCTGTGTTTCGGCTTCATCCATCCAACCAGACTGGGACAGGCCGACAGCTGACACACAGCTGTAGTGACAGAAGACTGGTGGGAGGGGGAAGTCGTCCAGGGGGGAATGTGTGGAAACGGAGTGAATAGTAGAGTTCGCTCAGGCACAACGGGGCGGAGACGGTGGAACAAGAGCCGCGATGACACGGGTCCATGCATGCGAGTGTGTGTTTTTTGGGGGGAGGGAGGTGGTGTGGAGAGGGTGACTTATGGCCCCCGCAAGTCGTGCGTATGCGTGGGTCCGTGGGTCGCGACTCGCGGGCACAGAGGAAATCTCAGGGATAGCCAGCCAGTGCAGCTGTCCTGAACGGGAGACACAATGCAACCCGAACATAGTGCACGTGTTCGAGCGGTAGTCACAGTGGCCCACGTGAGTAAGTAAATGTGCCTGATGGAAATATATATTGCTTACAGGATTAAGCTACGTGAGCAAAATCAAGAGCTGGGGGCCCAAAAACATTTGAGGTAGTCACCATAGCAACCACCAAACCAGATCCTCGACAGTATCTCATCCCCTTTTTATCAACGAAAGGGCAAACAACCTCCCATCCGACACGCAGCAGCGAGGAGAAGGAAAGCAGGCAGACAAACGCTTTGGCGAGCAGGAACCGAAAGCGGCCACGGCCATCAGAGAACATTGTTGTTGGTGTGGAACAGCTGTGGTCAGTGCATCAGAGAGAGGCAGGAGGACCTGCTGTGTTCAGAGCCCGATCTAGGCCTTCCACATTTTGTTTCAGCAAATCCACACGCAGGACTCGTGAGCAGCTGCCGTTTTTCTGTCCCACCGACAAGAGCCGAGAGCAGACGGACGCACAGGGAAACGTTTTTAGTGAGCAGTCATTGCATCATTAAAGAGTTTGCCAAAGTCCCTATAATTAGATTGCTTCAGCGTACAAAACTGTAAGGACTGCTTTGGCACCGTCTGGGCCTTTTCTGAGAAGCCCCTCGCGTTGGAACCAAATGTTCACGTTCGTTAATCTTACCGGTTGTAGAACCTAAAGGATTGTATAGGATCCCCAAAGCATTAACTGCATAATGTATATGCTTTACATCACTGCAGAGAATGTCAGAACTATTTCATATTCCATATAGCCAGTAGTTTAAAACTGTGGCAGTACGGTAGAACTTAATCTTTCATATGAAACCTAAGAGAGGTAATATCATTGACATTCGTTATTTAGTCCACTCTACTAATATTGGTTGAAAGTTGTATGAAGAAGTAACCGGCTTCTTGTCCTAACCAAAATATCTAAAACAACCAATTATTTATATATGGATTGCATGGAAATTTGGTCCATTCAAAGAGCTGTGTGGAGTCCACAAAAACAACGACGCATGAGTTACAGGCAGCCTCAGTCATGCATGACTCGAGTGCACTGGGAGACTCAACGCATTGTTTGGGATTTCCATCAGTGTGAAGGGAAACTGTTGGTGTGATACACACCACTACACCTGTTGCTATGTGCTGATGCCTGCCACCGTTTCTGTGTTACTACCAAAGAGCCACGCCAACCCACCGAGCTATTTCACATTGAAAATATGTTTAAAAGAAGGTTATTAAAAAAGGTTGAAAAGGTGAACATCTACTATTACACCATCTATCCATGTGGTTTTCTTTTGCTTAATTATTAAAAAATGTATTCACTCTAAAAGGAAGGAACAACACAACTTCTCTCCCTTAGTCAGATGCAAACTGTTGAGTCTGGAGACATTAGCTCTTAATCTGAGAATAGAAGCGACCTCTAGTAATCGACTAAACTGACATCAATAAGTGATCCATGATGTCAGAACGCTGCACGTTAAGTCTATTATACCCTACTATTGCTCACAGTGCTGATCACACATTAGTCATCAAATCGTACCGTTGTATGTCACGATATTCATCCATACGAGGAAGTACCAGTCACCTCAGTGGGATCTGACCTTCTGGAGTTGAAAAAGAGGTTGAGGGAGCAGAGGGGAAGAATGGATGAGTAACTTAAACAGAGTAATGGGCGCTGAAGGACAAGGCAGCGACTGTGGCCGAGTCAGAAAAACTAATTAAACAGCGGCAACAAGGGAAGGAGAAAGTGTGGCATGTGAGTAAATGAATCTCGATGAAACAGCAAAGGAAGCGTGGAGGAGATTGTAAAAAGATTGTCCATTGTTAAATGTTGGTGAGCATCACACGACTCATTAAAGAGAGCTCAGCTTTCCTCCCAAAATACCAAGTTGAAAACCCGCAGACAAAGCAGAGTGGGGCTGTGCAACAACAACAACAAAAACAACCGGTCATAACAAATCTAATTTACACGCTAACACTGGTTTTAGATCGGCACATGAGCCGAGGCTCGGGGGGGACGGGGGGGATAGTAGTGCAGTAACGGGTAAAGGATTGTCCTCTGGCTACACAAAGCTGCAATCGATCACAACTTAGGAGTGGGACGTTAATCTTCTCCATGCCCGCTTCAAACTTGGAGGCATCAGCCACTCCGTTGCGGCGTTGCTCGGCATATCTGCATGGCAGACAGAGACAAATGATGAGTGATCACCCTCGGCTGCTCTGGCACATGAAGAATGCCTTCATCCATCGGCGGCCGCGCAAACCTGGGTGGAAGTGTGGAGACCCACAAGTTGTAGCCAGAAACATTATGGAAGGAACTTGATTCACTCACACACACACACACACACACACACACACACACACACACACACACACACACACACACACACACAAATTGTAAAATGGAAAAAAACACTGAATATTCACATTCATCAAAGATCACAAAAGGATTCAAAAGTTCCCACAGTGAGTGACTTCTTGGCCTTTCCTGAAGATTTGCTTTAAACAGGCATAATGTTTGAAATTATTAAAACGTTAATGGCATCTGGGTCTTTTCTTAACAAGCTAGCTGTCTAAATAGTTTTCTGAAGCATGCAGCTTATCCAGAACCTTTTCTGCATCCTGCACACCGGGCTCCAGACCTCTCAGAGCAATGCTGTATATTTGTTCTGGTAATGTTAATGGTCATTTTTGGCAGAACCCATTTCTCCAACCTATGTGCCAATTAAGAACTTGGAAAAAAAAAGGGGGGACCTTTTGCAGGTTTGTCTACAATTGAAAAAGCCACACTCGGGTAGACCCAAAATGTGTCCATAGCTGCAGGCCTGCAGTCCAAACACAATATTGCATCTGGATTGCGTCATTGAGCTCCAATGTCTCGGCCTCTGCACAAGCGATTGTAGTGATCATTGACGTGAACAGTAACCACACGGGTAGATTGTCTCTAACAAATGCACAAGAGTGCCCAGACCTAACAAAAGAGGTTATGGGACAGCTGAAAAGTGACGAAGAACAGTGAGCAAAAAGGCCAAGTGAGCACCTCTAGCCAAGTCGGCGGTACATTATGGTGTCACAAGTTCTTTTGACTGACTGCAACTGGTGTACGGTTTTGGTTCTCAGCGCTTGAAGCATCGTACATGTCAGTGCATGTAGTTTAACTGTTATGGTCTCTCCTTTTTCTCTGTATAATCCATCTGGAATGAAAAGGAGTGGCTTTTCACTGAAAGTGAGTTAATGAAAGACCTTTGAACTACTTAATATAGTACGTGACAAAGTTAAAGAGTTCAACGGAGCTGCATGAAAACGAGCGTTCTCCACTAAAGACCAGTTTTACCTGAGAATCTAGCACATATGTGGGCCCCATTAGCATGTCAATACGACAGCGCAGTATGTGCACGGTTATAGTTTGACACGGGGGTCGTTTTAGGGCTGCAGTGCGACAGCAAGCCGCAGCCCGATTCCCTGAATTCAATTAGCAAAGTCTCACTGGCACCTGTCAGAGAACGGGTGACAAGCAGACGGGAGGACGGGGTGAAAGGGGAGGCATGTGACAGCACTATAATACTCCAGCAATGGGCAGAGACTAGATACAGGAAGACGGATGGAGGCATGCTGTGGTGGAGGAAACTCCCCCAGTAACCGAACAAAGAGACTCAAGTTTGGGGACAAAGAATCAACCCAGCGAGCAGCCATTGAAAGACGAGGTGGGAAAGAAGCAGGGACGGCCTGGAGTGGAACAGAGCAGAGCAGAAGGAGGATCCAGCAGGACCAGGTCAAACAGGAAGCACTTTGGTGAGACGGCCTTAGAGCCAAAGTGAGAGAAACAGTCGTGCCAAAATTCAGGCCTCTCACACGCATCTGCTTCTCCGCTGTGATGAATCACCGCTGAACAGAGAGAAAAGATTTTGAAAGACGTCTTTGAGCTGCTTGATGTCGAGTCACTGCTGAGGGGGAAACAAAAAAATAAAAAAGTACACTACATGAAAAACCAATTCAAATTGAAAAAAGGTTGTGACCTGAATATTAAAGTCTGCGCTTTGCTGAAACTCAATCCACAGACACGAAGGCACATGGTTAAAACCCTCAGGTACCAGCAGACAGTCCTCCTCTACGCAGAAAGCCTCCTAACAGGAGTTGAACTGCACATCTCACGGTTTCCTGATGCGAATAGTCAGGTCCTACGCACTAAGCAATTCAAATTCATCATACAAAAATAATTCATACATAGAAAGAAGTTCCCCTCTGATGTTGAACACAATTTTTCTTCCATGTTCCAACAAAGTTTCAAAAGCAGCTACTTTTCCAGAAGTAATGGGTAATTATTAGCTACATATTGAGCCATTGAGAGGCCCGCTGTGCTTGCACTTCAAGATGAAAACACCACCCGAGTGTGAAGATTTGAATAGAGACGAGAGTCCGAAGGAGAGAACAGGGCACACCGGCTTTTAAGTTTGACTCAGAACATTGGTTAGTTTTTCCAGAAGCGATAAGTTGAAGTGCCAGTTGTGGTGTGAGCACAGTAAACAGACCCATCGAGAAAGACGCATGGGCAAAGAAAGACGATACATATATGCAAAAAATTGCAAAACATGCAATGCAAAAACATTCACACAGTGCTGCAGGAGTGCAATGCTAAATAGAGAAAGTAGAGAACTCTTGTAATAGAGTTGAGAAATTACACATAAGAGATGTTCTACTTGCTAACATCCAAGTATTCTACTTCTCATCTTAATGAATTATATTGTGCATATAAATCAGCGTTTACATTTCAGTCATAAACGCAGATTCATTTGATAAGATAGTGTGGCCAATATATAACCCCAGCTTGCTTATATCCAGGCAACGCGGTTATCTAAGCAGGGCACCCTGGACAAGAAGCACAGAGAGATAAACGAGGAGACCCACGGGGACGAAAAGGGAGGCCGAGGGGGGGAGGAGGGGGAGCAAGATATATGAAACATCTAGTGCTGCTACAAAGGGGAATAATCAGATGTATGCTGAAGGAGGAGAATATGTTCTGCGTGCAAGCGAAAGGCTGATTGGCAGAGTGATTAATTAAGAGGATGAAAGGCCTGCTGGACGCCTGGCAGGGACACAGGTCTGATATGGAAGAAGGTAGTGATGGAGATTCACTGGGAGGAAATCAAATACAGATACTTGAGACAACTGAAGTCCATGCAACAACACCCGGGCCTGGCTTTGAAGTGTCACCACCCATCACGGCACGAGTTTTGTTTCCCAGACCGTCTCATCAAGCTCGCTCTGCATGTGACCACACAGACGACAAATGTAATTTAGAAGTCCAGCTGTCTAGACATGAGGGGAAATTGGTTTAGGAAAACAGGGTGGACAGTTGAGTCCATCAATTGGTTTAATATAAGGGAAGTATAGAGGTGTGTGTGGGGGGGGTTATCCCAGTTGCATTCCAATGCACGATCGTCATGAGAGAAGACGCGCGAAAGAGTTCGTATGGACGTTCAGTTCAGTCCGCTGTGCAAAAGATGCACTCCGGTTGTTGTGTGAGAACTGGTTTGAGATTCCCGTCCACCTGCTACAACAACCAGAAACAAAGACAAAGTCACACACGCACGCTGCCGCCAAAACAATGGCGCAGATAAGAGGACAACAGACGGAGGTCAATGATCAACCAGACTACACAAACCAGTGTTAAACAGAAACAACCCAAAGCAGCAATGAAAACTCGTAAATGATTTGTCTTGTAAAAAAAAAAAAAAAACATCTTTTCAACACTTTTGTTGTCTGAGGACCGAAAAAAAAAGGAAATAACAAAACAGCCATTTCCCATGCAGACACTGTCGGAGTAAATACTTTAGAATACTGTACGTACCACACCTCTAAAAATGGTAGAATCCCATTTTCTCCTAATCCAGCAAAGAAACAAATCAATAAAAATAACTCCTCTCCAAGAGGGTGCGTGCGCGCGCAACTATACTCACATAACTGGTATTAATATATTCTGCGTCTCCTCTGATGACTGCACAGTCCAAAAAAAAAAAGAAAAGAAAAATCTATGCAGGGCCAGCGGCTCTGGTGGGATGCTGTGGGAGACCGAGCAGCCAGATGCCCATTAGCGATCGGGCAGTTTGCCGTGAGGGACTGTGCATCCACACGGAGGGCTCTTCCTCACTTTATGCCCCTGCCTTTGTTGCAGAGAGGGAGGCGTGGGGAGAGAAAATTGCCTCTATCTATTGGCAAATAGCACAGTCACCCCCACGTCCTCCTTCCAACAGCAACAATGCCACACCTCCCTACTACACCACCCCCCTCCTCCCTCCTTCACCCCCCCACCCAACAATCCACATCTACAGTTTTCATGTGGTGGGGAAGGCAACCGCTCGCTGCACTGCACACCCACTAAAGCCCTTTGTTTACTCCTCCATCAGGCCCACTCCGCCTATCCGCGGGCACCAAGGCGTGCACAGACACACAGGGCCCAGCTCGCAACAGCAAAGCACGCCACCTCGACCACATAACACTCCCGGCTCCGGTCTCCTTCCGCCGTCCCTCAGAAGAAAGTGAGGCAGAGAGCTGAAAACACGCCGCTTCTACGGTCATTTTCTTCATTTTCTTGCACCATCTGGTTCACAGAGATGATGAAAATCATTCATAGAGACACATGTTTAATTCACTTTCCCAGCCCCTTTCTTCAGCCTCATAATAAAAAGATTTAAAAAAATAAAAAAAACACACAAAAAAGTTCAAAGTCCAAACGCTCTGACGGCTCCTCCCCGGAGTTTGAAAAGGTTTTGTGGATCAACATTTTCTCCTCTCTCATTTCATTAACTCCCCCCAAAAAAGAAGAACCACCACATTCAAGGCCAGAGGTGAGTGACAGCACAGCGGGTGGTCTTATTGGAGTTACCTGAGGTGCTGTGGAGGTCACGGGGGTCAATGGCTGGTGTGATGATGATGATGATGATGACCACCACCTGGATGCGCGGAGGACTCAACATTAAACACCTCACTGACCCTCATTCGTCAACGCTGCAGCTGCAGGTTTTAAAAGCGTTGCATTCCAAGAAGATACTTTTGTTTTGTTGTGGGAGGTTTTGTGCGTTTGAATGAGGTGCAACGTGAAGCAAGGCGGCAAAAACACACATCCGCGTGGTTCTGTGGCCATCGGATGGATGGATGGAACAAACCAAGATAAATATGTGAAAACAAAATTAGGAACTTGAAAGTCAGACAGCAAGATGTCCCACGGTTTGGAGTGAGTGGAGGTCACCGCACACACCGGCAGATCACTTCAGCAAATGCCAACAGAGTAGCTCATGAACCGCACAAATGCGCGCAACGTTACGCCGCATGTGCGCACCGCGCGGTCCGCGGACAGAGCTGCCGTGTCCGCCTCTTACCGAGACTCTCAGACGCCACAGTGACACACACACAGTGACACACACACACACACACACACACACAGACAGACAGACAGACAGACGGCTGGACACGTATCCCCGACAATATATCAGTATAGCCGCTTGTTATGGAGTAACGTTAAAGTGCAGGGTTCGAACTTACGTTACTTACCTAAAAAGTCGCGGGGAGGAGGTGCGCGTTCACCGCAGTCCAAACTTTCTTTTTTTTTTTTTAGATGAAGTCTGTGTTCGCAGTGTTTCGCCCTGAAAGGGAGACGCTGGATAATCCACACGGTGGTCCGGGAGGGGGGGGGGGGGTCGTTGCGTTCGGGGAATGACCTTCGGCAAAACTCGGCAAAAACAAGAAATTATCCGAAAACCGCTGAGCGCAACAGGCTCGCGTAAAACCCGCAGCCGGACCCTCCGCCGGACACTTTTAGGATGAATGTTTCCAGAACTACTCCACAACGAGGGAGATTTTTACTTATTGTTTTTTTTGTTGTTGTTTGTATAATCGTCGAGAGTCGCCGTCCGGGGTCCCCGCGGCTCGGCCCCTTCTCTGAATCTGAGCCCCGTCAGCCTCGACCGGACTCCGCAGCACTCGGGCCCGGCAGTCGCCACCAGGTGCTCATCTACATAACTGCACCGGCTCCGTCCAATCACGTCTGCGAGCAAGGTGTCTGATTGAATATTCCAACGTGCGCGCCGTCCAATCGGAGCGTCCCGTGGGCGGGACCTGTGACCTCAACAAACACTGTAGATGTAAAATGTAATTTAACGAGTCTCTCGTGACGTGATACAGCAGCACGCGGAGAGCTTAAACCATTTGGATGGTTTGCACGTATGACAATGCGTTTTAAAACGGATTTCTTGAGGATGTAAACTTGTAAACGCACTTGAATGATCTGTTCTGCCTCTCAGCATCTGGCCTGAGCCATTAAATGTGGACCCACACTCCTCTGCCTCGGTATTTACCTCTAAAGGAAACTTTATTACAGAGTATTGCCGGTGTAACTGTATACCATTACTGCCCCTGGGCTATAATGGCTCAGATTGAAGGGTTTGGAGTAAAACACAGCATTGGCGGTGGAACCAGGAGAGTGGTGTATATAGGACCCCGAGGCCGAGCAGGAGCAAAATGGGAATCTATGTTTTTAAAAGAGCCACATGTGTGCATGTTTATGCTGAATTACATTGTACGTTGAGCTAATCAGGCACACAGAGAGAAAAAAAACCTCGTGTTGAAGTTACAGTGTATGTTTGTACTTGTCTGACTGAGAAATTTTAGCTGGCGGTCAATCAGCAGCCAGTGTCAATAAAGGTAATTTAACACTTTCTGAGCCACACCTTTGATAAAAAGGCTCAGTGAGCACTGATACTTTCGCCGCTGCTCAGTGTTTGCTTTTGTTTGCGTGTATATATACTTGTATTTTGTGTGTCCATATTTCAAGGTGTTTAGTATCTCTCAAACCCTTTGAATCTATAGGGGGTTTGTCTGTGAGTCATATTGTTTTAATTGAAATAAAGAAAAGTTATATATTCATGCCATTACTTGAGGTACTTTACACTAGAGATACATTTCTTTTTCACTATTCGCAGCTTTAGTTACTAGTTAGTTTTCACATTAATAGTTTATATACTAAACAGCAGCTTTCTGCATGTTCAGCACTTTTGATACTTTTGAGCACCTCTATGATTTACCTTAAATATGATGTTGTTATTATACATAAGTTTATGATCCGAACACATCTTCCATCGATATTCACAGTAAACACAATTAAGAACATATCAGTTTTTATACCTCAATTCTTAATAGATTTGAAGAATTTCTGCTTTTAATCTAAACCAAATTTACACGAACCCACCTCCCTCAGAAGAGTTCCTGTCTGGGTTTATAAAGAATTTAGCTGGACTTTCATCTGGCTTGGCCCTGTTTTCTCTGCATATCATTAACATTCTCCCCCCACTTTTCAATTCGGATCTAAGGCGAAATCTCTCTCTCTCTCTCTCTCTCGTTCTCTTTCTCTCTCTCTTTCCCTTTAGGCATAAACTATTAAATGTATCATACCAGCAGAGTTTTCTTGTGATGCAAGTTTTTGTATGTTTTCCTTGACCTTGCTATCCAATAATGGTCAACAAATAAAAGGTGGATGCGTATGAAATTAGATTTCAATCAGTGTTTTGCACATATTATCCTACTGATAAGTGTATTCATTCTCAGCGTGTGTTCTCTCCCTAACTCTACAGACCCTTTCCACCATTATTCAGCCTTTTCTGTTGTGCATATTGTCCAACTGTGCTTTGTTTGTTGTCCGGGCAACTACAAATCCCCTGGCAGGAATTATGACCTTTTTCTCTATGATTTCTCCTCCACCCTCCACTTTTTTCTGATTATTTTCCATGCTTCTCTTCTTCCTTTCTTACGAAATATAGTCAGTTCCTCCTGGAGTGATTTTTTTTGTTCACTAAAACTCCCTCCTTTCCCTCAACTCATTCTCACTTTGAGTGAAAACCAATGGAGCATAAAAAGCAGGTCTGATCCTGTGAGGAATTCACCCTCAGAGAGAGAGAGAGAGAGAGAGAGAAACGGAGGAAGAGAGAAGTTCAACTTCTACAGCACTCAGCAAGGACAAGAAAATACTTGGGTACTATGCCACGGGTAAGGAAAGTTAAAGAGACCGTAAAATAAATGAGTTGGGGTTTATCGATTGAAAGAAAGGATGTTTTCGACAGACAACAACAGGGTGTTACAAGTTTAAAGAAATTCTTTACTTTTCCTAAATAGGTTTTTGCTTTCACCAGAAATGAGCATTTTCACTCATCGAACTTTCTGCTTGCAAGCGATGACAGATGATTTATTGCCTGTCATTTGGAAAACACAACAACCTTTCTTACATCACTGTGGACAAAAACTTCAACCTCTTAGAATTAGAATTGGAAATGTTCCACTCAAAGGCGTCTTACACACACTGAGCGCGTACAATCCCTATCATGGACGCACAGCTGTGCAAGGCTGCAAGGTTCAGGCAACGCTGATCAGTTGCAGAATGCAAAGCTTGCAGTTTGTTGGGAACTACATACCAAGAATACTACCTACTAAAACATTGCCACTAGTGTTTCTTTTTCACCGCAGAATCCAAAACCAATAAATGTCTCCAATTTGCACTTGTCAACAAAACCTCGGAAGCGCTCAACAGCTCCTTTTAACACAAAATACCACAAAGAAGTGTGACTCCAGGTCCAGGTTTGCCTTAAACATACATGTACGTATGTGTGAGAGTGTGTCTGTGTAAATGTACAACTCTATGCCCCCATCTCTGTTTACTGTGACTGGTCTTGACTCTGTCAGTATCCGTGTTACAGGCCCACAGGTTTTATCTGGTTGAGCCCCTGGAGAGGATCAGGGAGCGGTGGAGGTGTCAGGGGTCACGGGGTCAGCGTCTGCCTCAGGGGAGGTTCCTAGGTGGAGGTCAGGCATCATCGTCCATGGGGTCTCTTTTTATGTGTTCAGTGTGGAAAACTTTCATGTCAGCTCCTTCTCACACAAAGCTCTGTGACTTTTACCTATTCTGTCCTCTGTGTTTGTTCCATGTTGTTTTTCTATTTAGGCATTTAAGCTTGTTTGTAAATTTACTCAACAAGACCAAGAGTCTTCACAGCAGTTCTCGAAGATCTGACTAAGTTCATACTTGAGTCTGGGGATCTCCAAAGTTGTGAAGATGCATCGTTTGAGAAACAATTGTTGGTCAATACATGCAAAGGTTGTTGCTTTCAGTCCAAACCAAAGCAGAGGCCAACATTTGCCTCTCAGTCATACATATTTGTTTTTATCTATGTTGTTAGACAAAGCCTCTTTTTCTCTTCTGAGACCACACATTGCTTAAAAACAGGAATTACTTTTGATGAATAGACGTTTTGATGCATCATCTGACACCATGCAGATGATGGATTCCGATCCTCCCTGGAGTGTCATGCATGCAGCAGGAAGTGTGATGACCTCAGTGTTGTCAGGGAATGTGGAAGAGAGAGGGTGAGGTGGGAGGAGGTGGTGTGTGGGGGGGGAGAGGGGTAGTTATGGATGACCCCCTCACACAATCAGGAGACCCTGGAGACACTTCTCAGCTGTAGCACCGCAGTTGTGTCTCCTCTTCCTCGTGGCTGGAAGTGAAGGGGGGAGAGAGAGGGGGGATTCCAGCTCTTTTTGGGTGTCAGGTTCCGCCCCCTCCCATAGAAACCCCCTCTGTACACACAAACACACATCTGACAGTGTGGAGGACCACAGCCTGCGCTGTGGCATTAGGGAGGCTCAACCACAACTGTCGCCCTCTGTTCAAACAGTACCCCTCTGGGATTCTTTTGCCCCCCCCCCACTCTCCTCTCCTCACCTGTCTGAGCCAGCCGTTGAATACATGGCCGCCCTTTCTTCTCCAATCTCTCTGTGTTGCTAACAATAGAGCTTTGGGAATTACTCACTGTAACCGTTGGATGTGCTCTGATCTTCTTTATCTGGCCCTCCTTCCTGTTGTCTTTACCAATTACATGTTTAGCCTTTCCACAGCTCAAACAGTAGTTTGACTCGGCTGAGCAGCCATGTCATGTTCCCAGGGTGTGTGTGTATGTGTGTGTGTGTGTGTGTGTGTGTGTAAAGACATATACTTATAGCTACCCTTTAGGTATTGTAATTGATATTCAAATTAGACGAGGCCCACAGGAGAAACAAAACTCATCTAAAATAATGAAGCAATTTCTAAATCCTTGCCTGTGGGCTCTATCGCCTTGGTAACCCAAGTCTGAGCTGCTTCCCGTCTCCACTGCTGGGTTTCAAACTCTCTCTCCTTTAAAAAAAGACGAAACACTTTCAGGCAGACTGTTGCTGGCTCCTTCCAGTGAGAGTGAGTGTTGTGGCGGATTGGAAGCCGCTGAGGACGCAATGAGTTGGTGGGGAGGAGAGACTCAAGGGTGTGTGAATGAGTGCCATTGCAATGCAGTGAGAGGTGGTGCTAAAAATACTTATTGACACATGGGCTCCAACTCACAAACAGGGTCACAGACAAACGAGCAAGTGACCGAAGGGGTCCCATTTATGCTCTACCATGCAGAAAAACACCCATCATTGGGACAATTAAAATACACAAAGCCGCCACTATTTAAAGTTTAACTGAACACGTTGAATCCCTTTGATTTCGCATCGACGGGGCTTTTTGGTTTTAGAGAGCTCTTCATCAAACAGAGAGACGGCCTTTTCCACACTCAAATACAAGTCCACTGAGCAAACAAACCCAGCTGCCGCGGTGTGACCCTCTGCAGGAGGAATATGGGAAAGCTGCTCTGTACACATCGTGTTGAATACCTGCTGCGGCAGAGATTGTTCCTGAGTTTACCTCGTAACGTGACGTGCCGATTCTTTGTTGAGGGTTTTTGTGCTCCATTGACAGAGCTATTATCACAAAAATATAGGTGTGGTGTTCAGCTGGACGACTTATTGTGTTTTTAGAAAGCTTGGGTAGATGGACTTTCTATACATCTGGTCCGACGGGGGAAATATTTAAACGGAAGGCACCTTCAACGCAGGTTTGTGATGTAACCTTTCCAACCTGAAGCTCATTCGAATCCTCACATTTCTCAGAATCTGTGGCCTTTTCAAATGGATTTTTTAGTGGTTGAAGAATCACTCAAATATTTTCCACGTCAGTAAAAGTACCAAGACACGTTTCAAGCATTCTCTATCGCACGTAGAGATACTTCAGAATAAGATCAGAGGCAAATTACCCCATTATACATGACATTGTTAGATTATAAAAAATGAGTGAGATGAGACGAGATAAGATGGATGGTTGACTTATTTACTTATTTACTGCACCTATAAAATAGGAATATGTTGGTTTTGCACATGGCATTGTTGTACATTGATAATAGATACAACAGTATGTAAAAAGTAAAACGTATTTGTTGTTGCAGCTGCTAAATATACGAGTTGTTTCCAACCTGGGGGTCAAGCCCCTCCAAAGGGTCACACGATAAAAATAAGGGGTCATGAGATGATTGAGGTGAGTTGGAAAGAAAGTTCCTCTAAAGATTTTCCTTTTTGTCCTTTGTGTTCATATTTTATTTAATGATAGAGAATTATACCTCGTTGCGCCTTGAACAGCAATTTAAAGTAAATAATTATTACAGATGGCAGATCAAATAATATTGTGATAAGGGGTATATTCTGCAAAGGGTCACATCCAAGGTTGGGAACCTCTGTTTTAATGTTTAACCACAGATATTTTACAATCTGTGGAATCTCCGATCTGTAGAGCCAAAACCCCGTCGCCCCCCCCACATCGCTGCTGGATTAACAGGATGGCTACTCAAGGGACAACTGCTAGTTGTAAATCAGTGTGTGTGTGTGTGTGTGTGCGTGTGTGTGTGTTATTGGGTGAGTGGGTGTGTGTGTGTGTGTGATTGGGTGTGTGTGTGTGATTGGGTGAGTGTGTGTGTGTGTGTGTGTGTGTGTTATTGGGTGAGTGGGTGTGCGTGTGTGGAAAGTGTGTTAAAACAAGATAAGGAATTTCTAGCACAACTTAACATACACAGGTTTGAAATCCGATCTGTGAACGCAACAGTGATGAATCCTCATCAGTTGTGGAAATAAGTAATTCTACTCAAGCACTGTTCTTTCTTCCGTGTCTATTTTTGGACACATAATAATTCTGCTCCACTACAGTTCAGAAGGAAATGTTAAACTTTTTATCCGCATGTAGTCATCAGTTGGTGTCTGTTTTATTGTCAGATATAAAACGCACGTTAGTCTTATACTATGTTTTCATAATTCATTTGTAGCTCTATGTACTTTACTTGAGATTTTGTATGTATTTTATTCTATTTAATAGTTTGTACTATCTGGACCCCTGAACTTTTAAGGTCAAATTATTCCATACAAGACGACAGAAAGGTTTAAAAGAATGAATACAGATTTTAGCAGCAGAACAGTTTTTTTTGTTGTTGTCATCACCCATTTATCATCTTATGACCTTGTGACCTTATGGAAGGTTTCGACCCTCCGTTGGGGAACCAATGAATTAAACTACCTGACTTCATGTGAAGTAGTTAGAACTAACTCCACATCAACCAGCTGCAACAGTAAAACATGATGCTTAAGCATTATTCCATCAATGTTAACAATCCAATTGTGTCAAATGTGAGTCACAGATAACAGTTCACTGCCAAATAAGTCCAACCCACTGCTGACCCGACAGTTAGTGACCCGGCTTCGTAACCCACGATTATAAACCCAATCTTGGTTGTAAAACCCACTGCACATTCGCACTATTAACACCACAAATGAGAAGCCTGCGTACAATCATCTGGCTGCACCTGACTGTTAACCTCAGCAGGGACTCACACTAAAGCTGGTTTTGATAGCCCTCTAGTGACCACAGAGGTGTACCTGCCAGCTCATATTTAGAACTATAATTTAGTAAAGTGAGACATGGTGCAGGTAGTGCAGGCTTTCCCTAAAAGGCCAGCTAGGACATTGCTGGCTCATACACTGGTGCCTATTGTTTGTTCCCCTTTATAATGATTGCTTTTGCCAAATTCCCTTTCGCTCGCTCTCTCTCTCTGTTGTGTGTGTGTGTGTGTGTGTGTGTGTGTGTGTGTGTGTGTGTGTGTGTGTGTGTGTGTGTCAGAAGCACCCAGGGGGCCTTATAAAACCAGACAAACACATTTTCCTGCGCTGCTTATGATCTCATATGAAACCAATTCACACACACACCTCCTCCCTCCCCCAGTCTCACCAACATGCTGGCTACGGGGGTCACATGTGGAGCACAAATAGGGGCAAGTAAGAAAGGGGCTGAAGGAATAGAACCCCCAACAACAGCCTGCATGTTGCGTCATGCGAAAGATTTCCAAGGAGAGAAAAAAAAAAAAAAAGATCGTATCCAAACCACATGGGCATGTTTGGCGTGACCGACGCATGGCAGCTAAGACATTCAACGCAGCAGAATACAATTAACAGTTTCGAAAAATTGATGGTGTCGTGCTCCAGTGAATCTGAGGTCTTTGTCTGGCTGCAATTACCGCCATGCAGGTTCGTGGGCCACAACATAGTTAGCGCTCTAGCTGGGAGAGTTAAGCAGCTCGGCCTGCGAGTGGGAAACAATTCCAGATGACTTCTCTTTTCCCTCCTCTGAGTTCATCCAGTCGGCAAACGGCGTTCACGAGACGCAACAAGTCGGCCCACGAATCCACATCGTTTGGGATGAGGGGGGGGGGATCTCCACCAACTTCCATCCCGTAAACAATGATTGTGGCAGTCCTCAGCGGTGATTATCATCACGCCGGCTTTCATTATAAGCATGATGGGATTAAAGGTACAGCCAGATTTACTCTGACAAGAGGATCGGATGGGCGTCAACCGTATGAATAATTGGACAAACAATGTCAACGAGAGACACTACTCGGATGAGACACCAATCTCAAGGGCCTTTTTAACACATGACTATAGGAATCATTTTATTAGAAGCTGCGTGAGGTGATAATTGAATCCATATGGTTTAGAGTGCAGTGGCGCAGCGGACAATGTTTTTTCTACGATACACACCCTGTTTTGTTAAATGGTGCCATGTAAATCAAACAGGGGAGAATAGAAATTGGAACCGCTTATATAAACAAACACAAATACAATCCAAGTAAACGCACAATGGGTCCCACCAAGTGTGTTTAAACATGACACTTAATATGTTCATCTTTCTCATATTGTTTTTTTCAAAATGCTGTTACTGCAGAAATTTAACTGCTTGAACATTGGACATGAAATGATACATTCACATGTGATTATAGCACGAGAGCTCAGGGTCGTAAACCGATTAGAATCTGATGGTCTGGGTCATTTCACAATTACAAGCTTTCTGCTTAGAATACCACATTGGAAAATTGACCAATTGAGTAGTTTGGAGGACTTTAAGTAGATGCGAGTGTGGAGCAGCAGTATCGACAAATCTCATTGTGGGTAATTACCTGTCTTAGGCAAAATGAATTACAACACAATCTTTAGTAGAAAGCACCAACATTTCCGTGAGAATACATGTAAAACAGGCAGTGTAATTAGTCTAAGTTTATCCAAACATGTCTAAGTTGTCCACTTTGATCAAATATCGCTAAACTTCTACTTAAGGGAAAGTATACGAGTCATCCGTTCTCAGTTTAATTACGCACAATCGTAAAAAGAGGGAATTTTTACAGTTCAACAATAAGCCATCGGAAGAACTTTCCCTAACAATATATTAAATTATCAGAAAAACAGGCTACAAGCAAAGACTGCGAAAGATATCTTTAAATAAAGAAATACAAAACACTCCGAGACGGCTATTGTTTTTAGATGAATTGTTCTTTTATTGCAGGAAGCAGTCAAGTCATCATTAGGTCTACGAGGAATGAAATGAGGAATGCAGCAAATAGCCTGAAAACACCTCAATCCTTCAAACTAGAGGCTGTCAGTTTGAATATTTCCAACAAAAATAATTTCCCGTCGGCACAAGTAAAAGACTGCCGTGCTCCTAACAGCATGGTAGTGTTGAGGGTCTGCTTGTACACTGTACCGATGGTAGAAATGACTGCAGGGGGCTGCAGTGTGATGCATTACACAGTAACACAGCACGGTGCTGTAGAGTTCCTTCGGTGAACACATGAATGAGGTACGACAGCAGCACACAATATTACAGCACTCAGGATTGCAGCGGAACCATCACACAGAATGAGAGAGTGAGGGGCCGGTCAACAGCAAAATAAAATGCCAAATGCATCTAGTTTCAACAGAAAATGAGATGAAAACTGGGCATTAACAAACACAGAACAGTCTGCATTAAGGGATCTGACCTTGGAGTTGAGCCCTGTGTAAAAGTTACAGTTAGCGAGGACGCAGATGGAGTGTGCAATGTTATTTGTAATGACGGGCAGATGGACGCAAAGTTGACTAATCTCTCTTTCTGGGTGGTGAAAGGAAGTTCAACGTTTCGCTTCTTCACTTCAATGCAGAGTCAGGTGAAACGATTCATAACACCCATCTGCATTGTAAATAAATAAGCATATTCAAAACTCACTAACGCCTTACAGCTTGTTTTGATTTATATGGAATTACTGGACTATTTTTTGGGCTTAAACTAATAATAATAATAACAATAATAATAATGTGATAATGAGCCGTTTCACCCCTCTTCGTCTTTGTGCTAAGCAAAGCTGGTAAATAACTTCATCAAACTGGTCCTCTGCTTCTTGGAAGGGCGAATGGATTTCCCAGGATGTCCAAACAACCCTGTCATTGATGGCTAAGCATTTTTGGTTGGAACCCGCTGCACTGCCATGAACATATGATCTTGTTTTAGCGTGTCCCCAAAGTCCCGTACTAAATACAGTGGAGCTCCATCAGCATCGAAGGGTAATATCTGTAGTAGTTAAAACACTACGAGTCAACTTCCTGAAACCGCCTCGTCCAGCAATACACGATTCACCCCTCCCTCCCCCTCCCCCACTCAACACACACGCTTTGAAAATTCCAGCAGACTGTAGAACCACACCAAATAAGATGTCAGTCTTAAATGAAAACCAAGTTCAAATAAATTAACCTCAAAGGGCCGTAATACTTTTATTTGTCCACTTTTATGGCCTAAAATCTCTCAGATCCCACACCCTGTAACCACAGTTGTGAAGCTATGGTCTATAAAGAAGATTTAGAGTCTTGGGCCTAAATTTCCAGCTGCTCTGAGAGCCAAATGGCTAATTCAGTGAATGACCTCATATCGACAGTGCATCTACTTTTTGTCATCCTCTTTGGCATCTCAGCTGTCGAGTCACTTGCAAATGAAGACATTTAAAACCAGTTGGTTTATTATTACGGGCTGAGGGAAGTTACTTTGTTCACTTGCTTCTGAGAGCTACATGCAAAGAAAGACACTAAATCAAACCTACTCGTAGAAGCAACACTAAAGGACAAACGCCATGGAGGAAGGAGCAGAGCGGAGGCACAGCATTCATGTGCTCTGAACACCGTAAGCAGAGGGAGACCGGGTGATTGAATTTAAACTACAGTATCAGTCAAACATTTGGACTACCTTCTCAATTAATGAATGAGAAAGTGTGTCCAAACTTTTGACTGGTACTGTACATCATGTTGAAGTACAGGTAATGAAACAAGGAGTGGAGATGCAAAAAAGAAAAAGTAATGAAACGTGTACTGGGATTAACGGGGGGAGTCAGGGAAGAGGAACAACGCGTGTCTCCCTGCAGGTCTTTCCCTCCGTTATCACTCACACTCATTTTCACGGAGGACATTGTACATGTTGACAGTGAAACCAGACGGCTTATCTTCCTTCTGCCTTGGTTGTCCAAGGCCTTCGTCTTCATCGTCTCCATCCTCATCATCGTCCGCGTCCCGGTCTCTCTCTTCCTCTGGTTCCGTACTGGACTCTCCGTCATCGTCGTCATCGTCGTCGTCTCGGTCTACATCTCCCTCCGCTGCGGTCCTTCCTTGCAGAGCAATGATCTCTGACAAATCTGGGTGATTTTCCCAGTGCTCTGCAGACCATAAATTATCAAATTAAATAATGAATTCCACCCACCCACCATTGTAACCTTTCAAATTCACTAGACGAGTAAACAATGAGTCATGGAAAAGCTTCTTTTACCACTCAAGCAGCTGTAACCGGGTGGTCTCAGGCAGAGGCACAACCTGCCATCAATTGCCAACCTGAGCAGACTGTTAGCTGCGCGGTAAACATCGTTGCGAGCTGCTTTTGCCGTCTTGTAGCCTCTCCTCTCCGCCCATGCTAAAGACAGATGAAAGAGAGCACATGACAGGGGGTTAGCGATAAGATAAAACATCATGGTATTGGCCATAATTAAAAACATACGAGTCTGGGTATCGTGTGATATTTCAAATACCACACATCTGTCATTTAAGGAAATAGACTTACCTTCACACACATCCCATGCAGTCCAGCTGAGGTTCTCAGACCCCTCGTTTCTCTGATGGGGTTTATTATCCATTAAGCTGGGATGTCTCAGTTTCAGCACTGAGAGGAAAGGGGTCCTTGCGCACAAATAACCTACTGAGCTGTAGGGCTCCTGCAGCTGAGACACTGGGTAGATACCGGCCAGAATCTAAGAAAATAAAACAAAGGTAACAATACAAAAAGAAGGGCAGGTAGAGGACATATTTCACAATTTTAAAAAACGTGAGTATTTGAATGATAATTTGAATGGAATATATAAAATCAATAGTCCATCATCCCACAAGTGTGAGAGTGCACTCTTTAACATAATGATATTTTGTATTGAGCCTAAACAGGCAAGTAAACTCAAAAGTTGCATCGGCACAAAAGTTGTACCTGCAACTGTTTGTTCACGAGGGAAGGAAAAACCAGCCCAGGACAGTCACAGAGTTTGACTGTCGGGGTGAGGTAGTAGGTCTGGAAGTATTTGGTGTGTCCTGGGGTTCGAGACACGCTCACCACCTTCCTCGCCACCAGGCTGTTTAGAACAGATGACTTGCCGACATTCGGAAAGCCTGCAGGAGAAAAATAACTGATGGGTTAAGGTGCAGTTTAATAAAAGCAAGCGTGAAGTTGTCCAGGGACGTGGAGTGAAAAGTACTTCATTTGATGCAATTATCCTCTTGAAGTAAACAACTGGTGAGATGTTGAAAACATATCACGGTTGGGACATTTATTAGAAACGGCTTTTCTTCATGAGATTCACTTTTTCAAAGAAACTTGTTCTGAATCTGGCTTCGGGGTTCAAATCAGATTTATACCTATGCAGCCCAGTGTGAGAACGCCATCTTTGTAGAGCTCTCGGGAAAGGTTGTCCATGTCCATAGCCCTGTCACTCTGATGCTCCATCCGCATCTGATACTCCGCTCCTTCATCAGGCCCCTCCCCATCCAGTTGCTCAGCAACAGCATCCTTCTTAATTTTCTGCTCCCAGCTGGATAAGTCAACTTCAAAAACAAGAGACAACACAAGATTTAATTTTAGAGAGTGAACAACTTCCATAATAAAGTCGTAACAACGGAGTATCTGAGTATTATGAGTAAGTTGGATACATACCTCTCCCAGCTGTGATCTCCTGACAGGCCTTCAGGATGTCTAAAGGACCACCAGCGTGACTCCAGTCAGCCTTCTTTCTCATCCTCTTCTTCTGGAGAACTACAAGCCAGCAAACACACCGATGTTTATTCTGACTGCAAGTTGAGCCAGTCGGGTTATTCTGTTGATATTGCACAGGTGTCTGATTTCATCCCTTCTCTGTGTCACTCAGTCCTCATCGCATCACACCACTTTCTCCGTACTTCCTACCCTCCCCCTACGCTTCCTGTTCCGCCTCACCTGTGCTGTAGGGCTGCCCCGGGTGGGAGGTGAAGCAGACTATATGCAGCTGGGGGAACTGTGATGTCAGGTAGTGTTTCCAGGCGATCACCAGAGGAGGAGGACACAAGTCGGCTTTGTTCAACACCAGGATCACCTGCTTCTGGAGATCTCCTGTGATGTAGTGATATACAGTTGGGGGGAACTGCAGCACCTGGGTGGTTTAAATGAATATAAATCCTTATTAAAATTGGAAGAAGACAATAGTAAAACAAACGTTTTTTTAACCCAATATATACATGAATAAAGGAACGTGTTATAGAACTGTACATACAGAGTCTGCAATAAGATATAATGGGAAACATTATTTTATGAAACCAAATCAGCAAACAGAGACATGACAAGATAAGAATAAATAAGAATAATAATAAAAGTCTGACATTCAGATGAATGTTGACAGTGTCTCCATCTAGTGGTCTGATCCATCCTGCAAGGCTTTTAATCCTTTAATCTTACCGGGTGTCTGATGTCCACAATGAGCAGGATGATATCTGACATCTCCAACACTCTCCATAGCTGCCTCCATGTCTAAAAGAATAGAGTGGTCTGGTCCTTAAAAGTGTATTTATCATTCAATTTTAATTAAATGCTTTGCTTTAACACTGCAGAAATGATATCCAGTCAAACAGCATCATTTTGGTGCTCCACTTAAAAGGCCATCATCTCTAGATTATTGTACCAGCTCAGCTCACGCTTTCAAATGAAATGATCTGCAGTGTTACCATTCTCACAACCGGAGCAAAACGGGACAGTGGAAAACACCAGATAATACAGTGGCTTGTAAGAAGTTCATGGGTCAACCTAGAATGAAATGCTGGATAGCTGCCTGAGCAGTTACGTATGTATAATGAGCTGCGGAGCAGGTTTCATGGATAATCAACACTTTACAGGTAACTCATAAACAGGCAGGATTACTTGATGGTGTTTTCTATCCAGTATACAGAAGAGGTCCTGTCCGCAGACTGACTCAATTTCTAAAACCACATTTAATAAAAATGGTTCTATAGCTGTATGATAAACCTACAACTCTGTGAGTACACTAGATACAGTAATGTATGGCCTGATCCTGGCTCACCGGGTCTGCGAGGTCTAATCTGTATTACTGGGTGATTTCCAGGCTATTACACAGACTGGTACAGTAAAAATACGGTACTAACGGCAAACTGCACATTTTTTAGAAAATTCACCAATGCTCTTATTGTTGACTTTTGTCTTTTATTGTTGCTCGCCAAAACAATGTTGAGGAAACTAAAAATAGGCTGCAACATTCATCAAGCTCAAGATCGGATTTTCATAACAAACTAAAAATAAATAATGGAGGAATTACTGGAATATCTCTGCAACAGTAAAAAGCTCTTATGAGTGTATGAATTAAGTAACTTACCTCCAGATTGTGCTCAAAATGGCTGAGAGACCCAGCTGCGTTTTTGGCGTGCAGGTTGTCCAGATATTCTCTGTATGACTTCTCCTCTTTCCGAAGCAGATTCTCCCGGGTCATCTCATAACTCCAAGCCGGCCGTTGTGGAAAACCAAGACCTGGTGGTGAATTATTAAGTTTAAGCGTGCTAAGCAGTGACCCACTCCATTAACCTACTCCGCTCAGCTTATTTTGAGACTGTCATGTAGAAAGCATTAAAAAAAAACAGGCAGACCTTTATCTGAGGGGAAGATGTCATTGATGTTAACCTCAAGTTCCTTATCCGAGATTGGCTGCAGTACCTTCTCCCTGGCCAACTTCTTCCCCTTTTCCACATCTTCTTTACTCTCTCTCTCAAAATGCAGTCGATACCTGGAGAGAGGAGGGCGGAGTCAAAAAAGCTTCACAGAGAGGATCCGTAATGATGCCAGCGGTGATAACTCACCTGTTTGGGTCATGCCTAACGTCTCTGCCGGATGGCTGCTGATTTATTCTCCTAACATCAGTGGTCTCACTGTCTGAGGTGTCCGACTGTCTCTCCCCTCCTCGCTCCACGCTGGCATTGCGGCTGTTCGGCCCTGAGCCCGTGTCACCTGCAAGTTGGGAGTTGACGGTCAGGGATCAAACCAATCGCAGGCATACATCAAATACCAAGAAATACTTCTCACTTATAAGAGTCTGTTATAAGGTCACTGTATGCTTCTAAAAAGCTAATCCAGGAGGAAATGTGGCATTCTCACAAGCCTAAGAGCAAATAACAAACATATAAACAAATTTAAACTGGTTTCAAATCGTTCCGTAATCACTGGCTCTACAATGATATCATGCATTGATTAAGATATCTCAGGTTGTTTGACCTAGTTGTGTACATTGTGGAATTATTTTCTAATCAATTATTTGAGTGAACATTGTTTGATTGGCATTGCTAAAGACACAGAACAGACTGGCCTGGATTTGAAAATGAATCACCTTTGTACAAGTCAAGGTACGACTGAACGAAAAAAGAGACCTGTTGACGTTTTTAAAGTGTTAGTGTGATACAATACTTCTTAAGAACAGTAGAGCTATTCGCCACAGTTGTTAGTCACACGCTCGTACGTAACTGCGTCCCTGACGTTCTAGTGAAGACTCGTTGAGCCCACATGTGGTGACTCAAGTGCTGTTTAGCACTGCTCTTCAGTGACAGCACACCAACCAATGGGATCTTCTAATGTGACATTCGAACAAGTCGTTAATGGTCTAAAACAAAAGATTCACTGACGCACGTTTCGTTTCACCAGCATATGGTACTCACGTGTACCGTTAAACGTGACGTTACACTCAAATCCAACGGCAAGTAACGTTAAAGTCACACTGTGTCATCACAGCTATTTAACTTATGTTAGCTGAGATGAAACCATTAGGGTTATTTTCGAGGCTAAACGAGTGATCTGATGCTCTACTTGGTAAACAACCTTAAGCCAACAAAGTCACACTGAAACGCTGTTTGCTGCTGAACCACATTTAGCTGCGGAGCAAGAACCGTTAACGCGAACGTTAGCTGCCCGCTAAAAGCTAGCATCGTGATGCTAACGGCGAACGTAGTCAACGTTACCTCTCTTTCTGTCCCGTTTGACTTGTAGCTGTTTCTTCTTCTGTTTGTTGCTAAATGGCTTTTTCCGCGGCATGGTTAGTGAGGTGGTTATTATAGCTATGTACTGCTGCGTATCGCTACCTCCAGCTTGTCACGCAGCTTTCTTCTTGACGTTATTTACATGGGTGAAGTTTCTCGACTCCTACACTTTTCAGTGACGCCATATCCACTGCAGACCGCAGAGAACGGTGGACGACACCACATTTCAGTATTCCCACACTGCCACCGTTTTCATAATTCTGTCTTTATTTAGATTATTTGATTTAGATTTATCTTTACCTCGAGTAAGGCGCTTTGCTCAGTGTGAAGTAATATGCATGTAACAATATTACGTTGCCTATGCTCGTCTAACACCCCCCCTCCTCTTTAATGGATCAGTCCACTTTTGTAAACACCTCACGCGTTTGCACATTCCAACAGGGCAGACATGCTTGAAGCAATAAATATACCTAGATGCACAAGAGCATCATTGATTAAGACTAGTTTGCATAATACAAGCAGCACAGTGTTTGCCCGTGTTTTTCAGATCTTATGAATCCTGTTGATACTTCGTTTCTCGACAACAACAAAAAGGCTTTTGCCTGTCACAAATGGGTTTTATTTATTATGTATTTTATCGTTCATCTCTCCTCTCAAATGTAGACATTTAATATTGAATATTTTGGTCCGGTTTGCCATCTAATCCGTCAACTTGTGTTTTGTTATGGTATATTTTTTTTCTCTTGTTTAGAACTTGCTAATATATTTGCAACAGCAATGTTCCCTAATAAAGTCACTATAGTACACCATTGTCATTAAACTGAAACAGAAAAACCCCAATGAGAAAGATATCAGACGGTTTATTGTATCATAAGCTGAAAAAAGACAAAATTCAGATGAGTCAGTATGTCTATAAAGACGTATTATAAACATAGTTATCGTGGAAGTATAATAGCAAGAGCACATTTGGATAACATTTCTTTTAGGACATACACACAAAGCAGTAGAATAAAATTACATGAAAAGTGAACTGGCTCATCATTTCCGCAAAGGTCATGTGAAGGCCTGTGAATGGGTCTAAATAGGTTATATGGATCATCACATCCTTTAAACACACAATCATACATTATGAACTTGTATATACATTATATCTATATATACTTGATTGACTGTTCTCTTTCCTTTGTCCCTTTTAGGGTTAAAAAGAATTGCAGGCAAATATTTTACAAACATAGTGACAAGTGAAAACTGAAAGTCTCTGCATGGAAGTATAAAATGGTACCTTCGTTCTTTCAATTTCATCAACAATATGACCCTAAACTGCTAAAGCCAACGCTGCATTTGTTGGGAAGAGCAGGAGGTGATAAAACAACAAGGAAGAAGCACTTTGGCTCTCTTCCTATTATAAAACCATCACTGTGATGGAATGAAACATACTTTATTGCCTTTACATGCACCTTCGACTCAGACATGACAGCTTAGCAAAAAGGAAAACTAATCAGGGCAGAAAGAAAAATGAGTGACAAACTAAACAAAATAAAAATGATCGTCTTCGGTTTACTGTGTCCCCATATTGTTTGTCCGGTCTTCCTCAAACCACAGTTTAGGCACAGTCACGTGTTCCTAAGTTCTTGTATCACCTTAGTATTGCTTTTATTCTTTGACTTTCAAACCTCAATTTCTTGAATTAATTTGACCTTCGGCACTCCCCAAACCGCCGTTTGTCACCTCTAAGAGTTAAGGTGCTCCACTTGAATGGTGGATGCCGACACAGTGAGACAGAGGTCCTTGTGGGAAGTAATGTCAGCTACGCTCACATGTTTGTACTGGATGTCACTGGCTGACACGGTTTTATACTGGTTGAGGTCAAATGGACAGGAAATGGTTTCTGTCTGGACGTAGTTGCCCTGGCTCTGTCCCTGCTGGCCGCCGCCCGCTCCTCCGTTCCCAGCACCCCCGGGTCGGCTTGATCCCCCATCAGCGCCGTCTAGCCGGCTCTGACCCTGGACCTGGCTTTGGTTCTGTTGCGTTGCCTGTGCTGCTGTTGCAGACAGCTGGTCTGGGTTGTGTTTCTCCATGTGTTTCACCAGATACGTCTCCTGAGATGAGGGGAGGATAGTTAGTGACTTTATTTTATTAAACAGCTGCCAGCTGCATAGTGTTTTGTATAGAAATACTTTTCATAAGTGAACAGTTATCTTACAGAGGTATAAGTGCGGTTGCAGAGACCACACGAGTAGATCCTTGCATGCTTGACTGTGTGCGTAGACATGTGCACCTCCAGGCTGGCTGCATCTACGTATCCTTTATTGCAGTTGGTGCACTTGTAGGGCTTGTCTTTGTTGTGTTGACGCCGGTGGGACTGGAAAGGATATGTTAATTGAAAAAAGTGTTAATACTGCTAAAAATATTTTACATAGCAAAAAAGTCGGGTTATGACCAACCATGAATAAATAAATAAATAAATGAATCATTTCAGACCTGTAAATTTGAGAGTTGTGTGAAGGATTTCTCACAGCCTGGATGGATACACTTGTATGGCCGATCTCCAGTGTGAATCCTGCACAAAAAACAGAAAATAAACAAGGTAAATAAATAAAGTGGAGTGACGCGGAGATCAAAAAGTGGCAGGTTCCTTTTTCAGAACGGCATGAACCTGTGAGCGTTCTCAGTTTATTTATTTTAGCATGTACGGTCGACACATATGATCCGCTCTATTGTTTCAGCTTTGCCATGCACCTCCGAATATTTTCCAATCATATGAACGGCATGTCAATCTCAGTAAACCCAGTGATGTTCCACTCATGAACATTATGGCAGTCTGATTTAATGAGTCACCATTTTTAACCAACATAAATAGGATTCAAAGCTGTGTATCTTCCCTCTTGATGAAAATGTGTGTTTCGAATAAGAGTCTTCATCAGCAAAACTCAGTCGTAAAAGATACTTATTTACATGGGATTTGGATGAGGAGACGAGTCTGTGCCGCTACATGCGGTGTTGAAAAAGGAACCTGCCGTTCTGAAAAAGGAACCTGCCACTTTTTTATCTCGCTACTGTACACATGGACTCCTATCACTTTCATGGTGAACTAAAACTGACAGAAAAACATCGAGGCAAATGAGAAACCCAAAACCAGTGACTCACTTACCTATTGTGCTGCTGAAGATGACTGAGCTGTCTGAAGTGCTTTTGGCAGTAGGAGCAGGTGTAGGGTTTCACTCCAGTGTGGATGCGCACATGTTGGGCCAAGTAGCTGGAGTTGGCAAATGACTTGGTACAATGGGGACACTTATGAGGCTTTGACTCTGTGTGGTTCCTGATGAAGGAGGGTGAAACAAAAACAAGAGGATCAAAAAGGTAGATTGACAAAAAAAAATATAGATTCATGATATTGTGCTTGACACATTCATAAAGGTGACTCCCTTATTCCATCCAAACCTTATAGGGTGGCTATTTCAGACAAGTAAAAGGGAGGTTAATATATCTGGAAACTTTTATAATTTTACACTTAATTTACATGAGAGCGTCATCTTTTGTTCCTTTAAATGTTATGTGTTAATATCAAGATAATAACAAATCATCAGTGAACAGTGAATTATCTTGACTCCATTTTAAATGTTTTTCCCTGGAGGAATTGGATGTATAAAAACAGAGGAAGACAACATTATAGGTCATAATTATGATTGTACGGTTTTACAAAAGCATCCATTTAGATTCCTGCTGATATGACATTTAAATTGATTCGATGACAGCCAAAAAGAATAGCAACAGATGACTAAAATTAGGCAGAGAGAAGGAAGGCAGAGCATGGCAGCAAGTTGTTTCTATCTCACGTCCAAATTCAGAAAAGAATGTAAGAAAAAAATGTCATGAGTTGTGTACCAAACAATAACAGAATGGGTTAAATTGGGAAGCCTTTAAATGTCTACATGTGTGCATGTATCTGTCAAAGAAGAGCTGGCAGTGGAAATGACAGAACATGCAGACAAAAAGACTGAACAGAGGGGAAAAGCGTACGTAAAGCGCAAGTAGGGTGCACAAACACAAATGAAAAAAAAATAATTATAAAACAGCACCATGCATTGGAAATGGACATTCAGATAATGTATAAATCATGGAAAATCTTCTTATGGGCAAAGCCCAAACTTCAAAAAATAAGCATGATTTGGATATTTTTTGGAAATAGGTCACGTTGGATGGAACTGGTAGCATGCGACCCAACATCTAAATGGCAGCGTGATGTGCGTTTGCACACCACACTGATCACCTCCCCGGGGAGGGAGAAGACGACTAGACTCTGGGCTTCAAAATGGGAACTTAGTAGAACAAGTTAAGAGGACAGGGGAATATGGTACGTGGTTGGTAACGGGGAGGAGGGGTCTGCAGTACCGTGTGTGCTGCTGTAAATGACTGAGCTGCCTGAAAGATTTCTGGCAGTAGGAGCAGGTGTAAGGCTTGGCCCCGCTGTGGATGCGGATGTGCTGAGCCAGGTAGCTGGAGTTGGCGAATGACTTGGCGCAGTGAGGACACTTGTGAGGTTTGGCCTCTGTGTGCGACTTGGAGTGGATCTGCATGTCAGACTTACTGAGGAAGGTCGCCGCACACATCCGGCACCTACAGGCGGAGAGACACAGAAATGGGAGGGCGGGATGGAAGAACAAGAAGGAAGAAGAGGGAACACATAAAAGGAACAAGAGAAGACAAAAAGGAAAATAAAAGAAATGAAAGTGGAGAACAGGGGAATCAAGCAATGACCCACAGAAATAAATAGGTTTTGATAGAAAATGAAACTCACAATAAAAAGTCAAATGAAATTATATAAAGATAAATGAATGGAGACGGGGAGGGAAGGGAAGGGGGGGGGTAAACACATGGAAAGATGCCACGGGAGAAATCAGTGAAAACTGACAAGGAAAAGTAGGTAGATACTCTGAAACGTGAAAGAGCAGGACACAAGACTGCTAGAGAGTTCACGAGCATGCTGTATAAAAGAAAGAGGACCGCCGGCAGCAGGCAGTCCAGTGTGTGCAGAGGTGGAGAGAGAGAGCGCGCCTTTAAAGCACTGATGCATTTGTACCTCAAACACAATACGAGAAGGAATCAACCATCAATAAAGCAGGCATGTTCCGCCACAACATGCAGTGAAGTGTGCTCAAAAGAGGTGTGTGTGTGTTTGTGCAGCAGCGCCTGGTTTATATTCGA